TACTTCTATGGCCTGCTTGGTTATGAGTGATGTAACCGCCTCTCTTAACTTTGGTAGTTGTTGTGCCTGTAAGTCGAACTTGTAAGGGTTGACTGTCAGCTGGAGGCGTGGCCTGTAGTGGGATACTGAAACGTGTTGAAGAATGTTGGAGACATAAGGGTCTTGTAACATTCCCCAGTTCTCCCAGTGTAGTTGGAGGCGTCCACCCACTTGTGACGGTTGTACTGGAACGGCTGGGGGTGGAAGACTCCAGTCGTTCCGAACCTGTCTTTCAGCGTTTATAGTTGCGGAACCTCTGGGTGTCCTGCCTCTTCCTGACCCTCCTCTATAGTTGCCATGTGGGCGACGAAAAGAATCTTTTCCCCTGGAGCTGGCTATCTTCCTATCCCGTGCTTTCTGTAGTCCCGAGAACTTAGATCTCCCTGAGTATCTTTGTGAAGTCTGCCTGATGACGCTGGCTAGCGTGTCCATCGACTTGATCATAAGGGCTTCTCTGGAGTCCTTAGTGACTTCCTTGGAGACTTTGTCTATTTCTCCGTCAAAGATGTTTGGGGATGACCACGGGGCTGTATAGAGTGGAGCTGTAAAGTTCTCACCCCAGCTGCAGGAAGCGAGGAGGCCTTGACGACGAGCTAAGGTCAGTGCTGCTGAGACAGATGTGAGATGATCTGTAAGGAACTGCTGGTCCTTCTTTTTGCATCAGTAGGGCCGAGTAGATCATCCTATCATCTTCAGAGGTCGTATTACTGAAATCTGGTGATAAGTGTCTCATTGATCGTTCTAGATCTATTTAGGCCAAAAACATGCGTCTCGTCATGTTTTCTATCTGCACCAGCTTGCGATCGTCAATCTTGTAGTTCTTGTTCTTAACATCACTGATCAGCTTGTAGTTGTCATCGATGTCTTGTGCCTTCAGGAAGGGTCCATGTTCTTAGCGTGGAAAGTTCTTAGCGAAAGTTCGGCAGATGTGGTGTCTGCACTTTTCGTAGCTTTAATGAAGGCTGTATCTAGATTATGTGGCACCGCAGCAATCGGGTCGATCGGAGGTAAGGTGATGGCGTCTGCATCGCCTTCCTTCATCAGGTATGTCTCGCGCTGAGATGCCACTCTTGGACGGTGAAGATAAATCTAGGTTGTTTACCATCCATATCTTATCTCAGCATCTGAGAAGATGATGCCTCCATCATCTTCTGTACCGCGCATCGGAGATGAGAGGTTGATGCTCTTCTGATGGTGACCTGTGGGTTGCTATCTCTATGTCGGGTGACACTCGGTGAGACCTGACTGTAGACCTGTGTGCCGACTTGTGTGGTGACCTGCGCAGGTGATGTACGTGGAGATCGGCGTGGTGAACGGCGTGGAGATCGTCTAGGTGATCTGGCGTCTATGGGAAGACCTAGATCTGCGAGAGGAGAATGTTGACGGCCGTGAAGCTCTTGAATAGTCCCTCGACGCCCTTCTGGACGATGACGATCTGTGTGACGGCCCTCGCAGCCTCTGCGTCCCGACCTGGGGAGCGCCTTGACTCGCGTGGACGGTTTCCCTGCTGCCTGGTGGTCTGGAGTCTGCATCTGAGGATGAGGCCGAGGGCGGTGACGATCTCCCGTCTTCGCTGGAAGGCTTCGCGAAGACTGTACATCTGGCGCCCTTCGTCGAGGTGGTCTGTGACTTCCTTCTCGAAGGCTGCTTCGTGCTGGCTGCTACGCTGACTGGGGTGCCTCTGGGGTATCGTCTGCGTTGCTCGGCCCTGGGCTGGCTGCTTTCCTCGACTGTAGTGGCCCTCCATCATGGTCATGATCTGCCGCAACAGCTCGTCTGGGATGGTCTGGCGACGAAGTAGTCGGTGCCCTCTCTGCGATGACAGCTGCTGAGCCCTCAGGAAGTCGTCTGACATCAGTGTAGAGGCATCAGGCTGCATGGCGATCTCTGCTGAAGTCAGGGTAGCTGTCACCGGGTCGCATCTTGTATGCATCGTCAGGGATGATGATCGGCTGATCATCGAGAGGCCCAGTTCGGGCGGCTGGAACGATCTCGGCTGAGAAAGTTCTTGACGCCAAGACTTCCCTTGGATGTCGACGCTGCCCTGGGGTCCGAAGTCGTTGGGAAGACGTCGTGGCCCTCTTGGACTTTAGCTGCGATGACGGACGCCTGGGGAGGCAGGACGCTTCTTAGAGGTGGCGGACTGCATCCCGCCCATCTTCCGACAGAGTCTCTTGCGAAACACCAGACGGGAGGGGTCTATCGACAGCAGCTGACTGGAAGGGGAACCGATGTATCGCCATGTCTAACCCTTGTTTGCGTGACCTATTCGCGTGTACGTCACCGACGCAAAGATATTTATGTGAAAAGCAGAATTGGATAGATTAATGCAGTAACTGCAATGTATATCAAACGCTGAAGGCGTGAAAGCACAACTAGGGCATAATACATGCGGGTCAGCAACCTAAAAACGTAAATTGCAAATAGTACAGATTTTCATCAACGTAAATACTAGCTGAACAATCACTTAACTCACGTGAATAAACAGTAGAAATAACGATTAATTATCAATGCAAATTAATGAAGGATACTAGCTATACCTCTATAGTAACCTATAAGAGGTAATAAACTAAGAAAACCAAAGGATATAGTGTGTAAGGAGACACAGGCGCTCTCACATCCTGCTCACTGGGCGAAGAAGGAGAGAGTGAAGCATGAGGCCAGAGGGTGGCGACACCTGTTCCCGCCAAAAGGGGCAAGGGAGGCAACTCGTGGTGAGTACCAATTAGTGATTTTACATTGAAGGGGCTTCAATTAAGGAGATACAAGTGTTCCACTATGTTCGCAAGAAGAAGACAAGCAAAAGAGCATGAGTCAGGATAAGGAAAAATTCTAGAATTACAGCCATTGTCAATGTTTGAGCACAATTGGTATTTGATTAATTTACAATCAAGAAAAATATGATCATAAAATATTGTAAAACATTTCAATAAAAAAACAAGAGGATATCAGTATGACATATAAGAGCAATAGCTATGTTCTGTAAATGCAAAAGCAAAAAAAAACATGAGTTCATTTCTTGGAGCACTATTTACATGCCTGCCATTGAAAGGATGACTGTGATTTTAAGCAGCACAAATTATCCTGATATAAAACAAAGTGATTATAAAAGTCATCAAGTATAAAAATCCTCGTAATTTTGCACTGAGTATCACCAATGTTTGAGAGCTCTGAATCCACACTTAGGCCACATGTTTAAGCACTACACTAATTACAGGCTTTATTGAGTAAGTGCAGTTTCAGTATTAAAGTCCGAAGTGTGAGTCATGCTGAGCTCCCCTCCCAAACTATGCTTGCACTAAGCAATATTCCAGTTATATGATGCTGGCCTGTAGATATTTCAGTTGGACCAGACAATCCAGTCACTGATATCATCCTTAATGCAAGACTGCCATATTCCAGATCTGTGACAACGACCAGTAAATAATTTAGTCTGGATGAGACAATCCAGTGATTGATTCCAGGTATATGACAGAGGCCTCCATTTAATTTAGTCTGGATGAGACAATCCAGTGATTGATGCTATGTTTATTGCTGCACTCAGCAATATTCCAGCTACATGACCAGAGGCCTCCATTTAATTTAGTCTGGATGATACAATCCAGTGATTGATGCTATGTTTATTGCTGCACTCAGCAATATTCCAGCTACATGACAGAGGCCTCCATTTAATTTAGTCTGGATGAGACAATCCAGTGATTGATTCCAGGTATATGACAGAGGCCTCCATTTAATTTAGTCTGGATGAAACAATCCAGTGATTGTCAGGACATGACATGAAAGGTATTGTGGTATGTATCATGAGCAAGGTAATGTGATACGTAGCGTATCATGAGCAAAACATCCTGATACATATTGAGCAAGATATTACGATATATATTGGATCTCACAGCTTGTGTAGTATCTGAGCCCAACATAAAGTCAATTGCATAATTCTAATTATTTCCAGAGCCCCTGTCTCTGAATTGATCTTGTGCTGGTACCAGGTGTAGTCTAGCCAATCTTCCAGTGGCACCAATCACAAACACAAAGTCAATTGTTAGACTAAATTGACAAGGGAGCTTATGTCAAACCAGAGACTGGCATTGGACATTGTTTTCGTCATTGATGTGTCAACGTTAGAACAGTGTTTCTTATGCTGTATGGCACTCTTTGAAATCTGTGTAGAACCAGCATGAATGACTGAACCGAAAAAGTTGTGAAATGTAAACATCAAGGCCTGAAATGACTGTAACATTATACAAAGTTAATTTTTTAAAACTCTTGATGATTTCAAAGAATGGTGATCATGTGAAAAGTTTCAGGACAGTCTCAGTGCTGTTACCAAGCAATATCAGAATAAGCACAACATCTGTAGACAAACCACAAAATGATCCAGATGGAGATTCCTTTTCAAGAGAAGTACAGTTTCAGGGTGGTGGAAATTAATACGAATTTTTAAGTTTTGAGGAACATGGCCAAAGCATGTTTACTTTCTGGGGTGCCCCCAAAATGGACATTATTTTTTATAACATATTTACAAACATATTTTCTGTTTCAGTCATTTTAGGCCCTGTAACTTGCTATGCAGAGTTTCATCCCTTTAAGGGGGCGGTGGGGTAGCCTAATGGTTAAAGCGTTCGCTTGTCCCGCTGAAGACCCAGGCTTGATTCCCCACATGGATACAGTGTGTGAAGCCCATTTTGGATGTCTCCGCCGTGATATTGCTGGAATATTGCTAAAAGCGGCGTAAAACAATACTCACTCACCCACTCACTCACTGCATCCCTTTAAAAAGGCCAGAATTTGATTGTAGGTTAAAATCCTAGTTATCTTGCTGGAATCCATCTAAAAAGGAGAGCAAAAACCAGTTCACTCAGTAGGGGTGGTGTGATAGCCTAATGGTTAAAGTGTTCGCTTGTCACACTGAAGACCTGGGTTTGATTCCCAACAGGTACAATGTGTGAAGCCCATTTCTGGTCTCCCCCGCCGTGATATTGCTGGAATATTTCTAAAGGCGGCGAAAATCCACACTCACTCACCCAGTAATGGTTCTTGGGATGATGGCTCTGTGTTGTCGAGAGACTCTGGCAGATAAGACTGAATGGCACAGAGGAAATTCTTCTTCACTCTTGCATTGCTGTCAATGTCTGTCGGCCATTTAATACGATGGACATGTTGTAGTCTGGATCGTGTTTCATACTCAAGTCCTTGTAACGAATCCGTCAAGCGGCCATTGTGAACGAGGATGATCCGTGCCCCTTGCTGGATATCTGTAGCTGCCTTCATTAAAAAGTCCAGTCGGGGAACCCTCTCATCTGAGGGTTCTACATAGATTAAAACGTAGGAACTGCTCTGCAGGGCTTCCAATGCGCCCTGTGCTTCCACTGAAATGAAACAAGTTAAAGGAATGGACAGTACCACACAAACATAAATTAAGGAATATACTTCACTCTACTCCCATGTATAGTGTAATAAAGTACACTTTTGCCCTGAACTATTATAGCTTAAGTACGAGGATGCTTGCTGAATTGTATTTCGTTTCTAAGATACCAAATTTAATGCTTACCGACAATTAATCATAGGCAGAAAACGGATTAAAAAATGACAATGCCAGTGGCCAAACTTAACAATCCTCGATCAGGGCTAACTGACGTGCTGTTCTATTGATGTGTCTGCACTCCTCAGTAACACGCACAGTACCAAGAACTTATTATTTTAAATAAATCTGAGAATATCGTAAACCACAGTCAAACCATGTCAAATAATTATTATGGGATCAACCGGTTATTGTTTCACTAAAGACATTGAATAATACATCAACTGCTGACTTTTATTGCATTTGTTACTACAGAAACAATAATATTAGCAGGACATAGATCATATTTGCCTGATAGTGGATTCACAGCAGTGCCTAATCAACATTAAGGCCCTACATGTTCACATATGAAGGTTGATTTAGCAGGAAACCTATACATGTAAAACATATGGTCACAGGGTTTGTACAGAATATCATAAAATTTAAGGCCTTTTTCGGACCTTTTCAATGCCTAATCAACATTAAGGCCCTACAGAAACACATATGAAGGTTGGTCAAATGTTGAACCACTTCTTTGAGTGGGATTTTAGAGGTTGGGAAGTACAATGTTGTCAACTTCTTCATTTCGTAAGTGTGACATTTCAATACAGATTCTTGTACCGTTGTCATTCCTGCATCACAAAATGTGGACCGATCAACTTAGCTACATCCTTGTGCTTGGAAAGTTTTGCTTTGTGATGGAGATTGAGCAACACTTATGGTCACTGCAGGGTATTTTTTATGTATAGGTTTCATGCTAAATCATTACTTCACAAGTTTGGCTAAATTTAGGAATTTTCAGTGCAAATCAATGGCAGTTAGGATCTTTCCAGGCTTAAACAAATTTAGGGCTTTTTTAGGTTAAAATGTTCAAATTTCAGGCTTTTGAAGCTCTTGTGAACCCTGGGTGAAACGTTTCTGCACTGCAAATTGTGGTCCCTGAAAATCATCAGATCACTTGATCTTAACATGCAAGAGATTTTACAAGGCACAAATATATGTTATGTTGAGATCTACAGACCACTACAGTTACAAATGATAGCTGAAGGATCCACCCAGGGTTTTACGCGACGTGCAAATGTGCGTCAAGTACGCTCAAATGAAGAGAATGGATGCAGAAAAAAAATCACTGCATCCAGAGGGACGCACAATATTATTCATTGTGCCTACAACCCATCTAGGACTTGTGTCTGGTTGTTTTGTGCAGCAGAGCAGTTATGTGATATCATTTCATCCATCAGTCCGCATGATCAATGATTCATTCCAGGCTCTAAAGAAATGATCAAAACATACAGTTCTCTACACTGTAGCTTCACAGGACCCTCATATTGCCTGCAAGGATCATTAAATGTAATGATTGGGGGCCCAGGGACATCCTTGTCTGTGAGTGAGTGAGTTTAGTTTTATGCCGCACTCAGCAATATTCCAGCTATATGGCAGCGGTCTGTAAATAATGGAGTCTGGACCAGACAATCCAGTGATCAACATCGATCTGCGCAATTGGGAACCGATGACATGTGTCAACCAAGTCAGCGAGCCTGACCACCCGATCCCGTTAGTCGCCTCTTACGACAAGCATAGTCGCCTTTTGTGGCAAGCATGGGTTGTTCTACCCCAGATCTTCACGGGTCTCCATGTCTGTGAGTTGAGGTAAAACCCTGGATCCACAAAACTGAAATAAGATGGGTGATATTCTAGTCAGTTCGTATTGTGCAAAACTCTAAATAACTTACATTGTCCCTCTGGAATGTCATCGTAAGGAAAGAAGACTGTATAATAGTTTCTCAAGTAGCTTGTTACGTGCCTCTTGACTTCATCTTCGTTGGCTGGGTGACACAAGACAATCACATCATGCTGCATGTTGGCTGAAAGGTAAAGTAAAACTCCCACCTGTTTGCTGTTTGATGATATACCATATGAGTGAGTGAGTATGGTTTTACGCCGCTTTTAGCAATATTCCAGCAATATCGCGGTGGGGGACACCAGAAATGGGCTTCACACATTGTATCCATGTGAGGAATCGACGTGATGAGCGAACGTTTTAACCACTAGGTTACCCCACCCCTCCCATATATACCATATGAAGCCAGCCTGTTACAAACTGAGACCAGCAGCTCCAGTGATTGATATTATGAGCACCATTGCTTCAGGCCACAACGACACACAATCAAACCTAATGCCAAGCCAGATCCATTTAGTCGCTGCTTACATGCATGAAATGTAATTGCTACCCTTTTCAGGGGTGTCATAGCATTAGCTGCCTTATAAGGGCTGCACAATATAACCGGTTTACCGGTATATACCGGTTCAGACATGAAAACGATACGTATTGCGATATGTTGATCGAAACCGGTATTTTGACACACATTCCGAAAACTTGGTAACACTCGAAAATCTTCGGATATTTCCGTTCTTTTACATCGGAAGCCATGCGTGTGTTGTAAAATGGTGACCCCCAACAACGAACAATTTATTGTGGTGCCAAATACTAGGGCAAAGGCATCAGTAAGGCAGCATTTTGAGTTGAAAAAGTTCATGGTAGATGGAACTATTGGTCAGAGTAACGCGGTATGTAAAATATGCAATGGTAAAGTAGTTTTTATTAAAGCTTAATCAAGCATAGTGATTTTGTTGTGTTTTTTGCTTTATAAATCAAGCATTAACGTCCTGAATTTTATTGCAATACATATCACAATACATGCTTTCGCATCGCAATATATCACAATATGAAAATTCTTTGCAATACCCACCCCTAACTGGCAAACAAGGATAAGTTGAGCACCGACCTGACAATTGACCTGTATTAGCATGTATGAGTGCCGCCCACTGGCGCTTGCCATTGTTAGTGAAAGGGCCCCAGGTTTTCCACGACCAAGTGTAATGCGACTTGCTACACCAACGTGAGTCTTATGAGCAAGGCATGTGCAGCTGGGTAACGCGCGGAATCAATTTCATCGTCATGCAATGCATGTGCACTAGCCTAAATCTGCTCATTGCCTACTTCTCATAAACGCGTTCCCTGTGCTGGTCCAACTTATCCTTGTTTGCCAGTTTGCCAGTTGTTGATATAGAGTCTGTCAACATAACTATTGGGACTGCACTTTTAACAAATACCTTTTTGCAAATATCTTTTTTGTTACTAGTATTTGTTTCAATGTAAAAGTGTTTACAAGTACCTTCATGTTTCTCCTTGACTTAACAGGAACCTAATTTTAATGTCACGGTGATCGCCTATCAAAAAAGTTACCTGTATGACTATCATTATTTATAGTTTTGATCAATTTATTCCAGGCATGCTACCCGTGAAGGTCCGGGTTAGAATATTGATCTTCAGTAACCCATGCTTGTCGTAAGAGGCGACTAATGAGATCGGGTGGTCAGGCTCGCTGACTTGGTTGACACATGCCATCAGTTCCCAATTGCGCAGATCGATACTCATACTGTTAATCACTGGATTGTCTGGTCCAGACTTGATTATTTACAGACCGCCGCCATATAGCTGGAACATTGCTGAGTGTGGTGTAAAACTAAAATCACTCACTCACTCAAATTAACTGATGTAATGTCTGATAGGTGACATAAGCATCAACAAGGTCTCTCACTCACACACAGATACCCACTCAGAATAACACACAAATACACATCCATGAATGCACATGCACACACACACACACACGCAAGCTCTCAAACTCACACATACACTCACAGAGATAATTACTAATCTACACAACAATCACAATTATAAATCAACTTGTAAATAATTACTAAGTCTTGGCGGAAGACGGTGACACTTGGTTCTGATCCGGAACAAGAGTTGGTCTCTCCAAGGCTGCACAACGAGGAGAAACATTACCAGGACGACAAGGATGACAGATACAGCCACAACAGCCACACCCCACGTGGGGAGAACTTCCTTCTGCGCTGAAACATAAATACCATAGTTACAGAGACCTACCTAGACCTGCTCTGAGATGTTGATAATAGGCATAATCTGCAGCAATACATTGTCATGATATTCAGCCTTGTACGAGTATGTCTGGTTTACTGTTTTCCAGCAGCAGTGAACGTATTTAAAGCTTAGATGCAACTAACATCTAACAACTATACTCGTTAGATACCAAACCATTCAGTCATTTCATAAATATGGTATTACATGGGACATCGTTTAGTATTTTATTTATTACTCACCCAACATTAGCAAAATAATATCAAGCGAAGTACTTCTTTCCTAAGAATTCAAGGAGTGTGATAACTCTCAGCTTTCCACGAGTCAAGCAAAGTCTAATACCATTGTTACAGAGGTATTAGCATTGTGACGTCATAACTGTAAACCACTTTGACATCATATGTACGGCATCACTCAATGTTATTACACAATATGTAATAACATTGTAAAATTATTAAACAGTGATATCTTCAACGGGTGAGTAATAAGAATACTTATTACAGTGGAAGCTGTCTAAACCGGCACTCGTCGGGACTGAAGAAAAATCTGGTTTAGACAGCAAGACGGATTGTAGAGCTGACACGGTTGCCTACAACTAGAACTGAACCAGTTTTATCACTCATATATATACATTGTTGTATCATTTGGTTCTCTCTGTTACTGCACACATTGACTCAACTCACTAATTACATTAGATGTATACCCAAACTGAACTAAGATTAAATTGTCTTTGTCGGCAATCATGTAGTTTCAGCAAAGGATTAATTGGTGACAATACACACAAAGGATTAGACAGCGCTGATTACTGTATAAACACAGGCTCAATTCATGCCGGGAACCGGAATTGACACCTGCTGGATTGCAGAACTTTTAAATGATGATAAATGTACGAGCCATAGAGGGGACTGAGATTTTATGTTGGTGTTGACAACTTGCCGGATCGGACAGCTGCTGGTTTAGACAACTACCACTGAGGTTTTAAAGATATGGTGGTGAAACAGCAATATGAACACAGTCGAAGCCCAATTTGCTGTGGAAATGAACAAAATCAAAGGAAGCTAGTTTTATGGATGTCAACTTTTGTATTATGAAGAACACAACATTTCAGTGTATATCCTTACTCCAGTTCCATGAACACTTTATCAAGGAGTAAGGATATCCTCCAAAACATTGTTTTTTTCCCCTGATGAAGGAGTAAGGATATCCTCCAAAACATTGTTTTCTTCCCTTGATGAAGGAGTAAGGATATCCTCCAAAACATTGTTTTCTTCCCTTGATGAAGGAGTAAGGATCTCCTCCAAAACATTGTGTTCTTCTCCTGATGAAGGAGTAAGGATCTCCTCCAAAACATTGAGTTCTTCACCTGATGAAGGAGTAAGGATCTCCTCCAAAATGTTGTGTTCTTCACCTGATGAAGAAGTAAGGATATCCTCCAAAATGTTGTGTTCTTCACCTGATGAAGAAGTAAGGATATCCTCCAAAATGTTGTGTTCTCAAAACGTTGTGTTCTTCACCTGATGAAGGAGTAAGGATCTCCTCCAAAATGTTGTGTTCTTCACCTGATGAAGAAGTAAGGATATCCTCCAAAATGTTTAGTTCTTCACCTGATGAAGACGTAAGGATATCCTCCAAAATGTTGTGTTCTTCACCTGATGAAGGAGTAAGTATATCCTCCAAAACGTTGTGTTCTTCACCTGATGAAGGAGTAAGTATATCCTCCAAAACGTTGTGTTCTTCACCTGATGAAGGAGTAAGTATATCCTCCAAAACGTTGTGTTCTTCACCGGATGAAGAAGTAAGGATATCCTCCAAAATGTTGTGTTCTTCACCGGATGAAGAAGTAAGGATATCCTCCAAAATGTTGAGTTCTTCACCTGATGAAGGAGTAAGGATCTCCTCCAAAACATTGTCTTCTTCACCTGATGAAAGAGTAAGGATTTCCTCCAAAATCTTGTGTTCTTCACCGGATGAAGAAGTAAGGATATCCGCCAAAATGTTGTGTTGTTCACCTGATGAAGAAGTAAGGATATCCTCCAAAATGTTGTGTTCTTCACCTGATAAAGAAGTAAGGATATCCTCCAAAACGTTGTGTTCTTCATCAGATGAAGTCGCAAGGATATGCTCTTAAACGTTCTCCTTCACCTGATGAAGGAGTAAGGATATACTCCAAAACGTGTTCTTCACCTGATGAAAGTGTAAGGACATACTCCAAAAATTTTGTGTCCTTCTCCAAAATGTTGTGTTCTTCACCTTATGAAGGAGTAAGGATATACTTTAAACCATTGTGTCTTCATTCACCTGATGAAGAAGTTAGGATATCCTCCAAAACATTGTGTTCTTTACCTGATAAAGGAGTAAGGATATGGTCCAAAATGTTGTGTTCTTCACAATAAAGAAGTTGACGTCCATAAAACTCTCTTCCTCATGTGTATCACTTCTAAATGCCATTCAAAGACCAGGAAAAATCTAAATTCTAAAAATCTCTTAATACCAAAGGGCACTATTGACCACCTGATCTTTAGGTGGGCAAAATTTCATGAAACAATACTTAGTTTTAGAGATATTGTCCGGACAAAACATTATGGGCAGACAGACCAGGGGACAGTTATATTCCCCCTGTATTTCATACGACCCACGAAGATCTGGGAACAATTGGTCTTCAGTAACCCATGCTTGTCATAGAGGTAACAAACGGGATCGCATGGTCAGGCTTGCTGACTTCGTTGACACATGTCATCGTATCCCAATTATGTAGATCAGTGCTCATGCTGTTCATCACTGGACTGTCTGCTCCATACTTGATTATCTACAGACCACCGCCAAATAGCTGGAATATTGCTAGTGCGGTGTAAAGCTAAACTCACTCACTCACTCACTCACTCACTCACTCACTTGGAATTATAGTGCACGATTCATTAGGAATATATCTTACGCAAAGGAACAAGCTCTATGGGAAAGCTGTGTCCATTCGGTGGCGGTGAAAAGAGAACACACACATAACGGGAGGTCATGTTGTCCTCGGTTATTGTCTTGAAGGTCAGTATACTGCCAAGTATATTCCCATTGCTGCAATGAAAATATATCAAACAGGGTTTCAGTCTCCAGGAGGTTTGTAAAGGGCACATCCTTTGCATATATTTTTTAAGGTTTCAGACTTGTCAATTTGTCTGTGATTTTTTCATCTAAATTTAATACCTCCCTTTGCTGGCTCCACCTTCTCACAGTAGCCAGTCAGATAAGCCATTACAACTGAGCTTGCCAGAGTCAACAAGGATGGCAGCTGCAGCTGCGAGGGTTTGATTGCTGTGCAACCCAGACTTAGGGAAAAAATCATAGACAAATTGACAAGTCTGAAACCTTAAAAAATATATGCAAGGACTCCTTCCACCTCTGAACATTACTGTTTACCGAAGAAGTGTATGATGAGAAGTGAGTCATGATAGAAGCCTTGTGATTGGTACACTCAACTTCCCAGCTAAGACACCTGATTGGATAAAAAGCCAGCAAAGGGAGGTTATAAAATTAGATGTCGTAGATGCATCCAGGGTAGAGTGGAGATTTATCAGAATGTATACCCTGGAGATTATCGAGGATGTAAAGGACAGAGATTATGAAAACACTGAAAACACTTTAGTTAATGATATTGGCTTTTGGTGTGGATAAAATGAAATAAGTGTTGCCTAAATGAACAATATATCTTTAACTCAGTTGAAGAATTCATACACTTGCATACCTTAGAATACAAAGACCTTCACATAACCAGGAGGTAAATTTTTCTCTAAACATGACTAAACATTAAACTAAACCAGGGCCCGTTTTACAAAGCTATCGTAGTGCAACGACTGTTGAATCTCCTATGCTGGGCCCATATTTCAGAAGCACTCTTAGTGCTATGATAGTCATAAGTGCAATACATTAACATTACCTTATGACTGTCTTAGCGTTAAGAGAGCTTCGAAAATCTAGGCCCTGTAACATAGACTTATGAGTCATAGTAATAATAATAATAATAATAATTCACTTGTATAGCGTCTGGTTGCTCACTGGCCCGTATGTGGGAGTCAGTAGAGTGAAAGGGGAAAATTGTTACATATTGTAAGCAGGTCTGAACAGAAAAGTTTTAATTATGCTTTTAAAAGAGGATTCACAGATGGTGGCTTTGAGTTCTGATGGTAAAGTATTCCATACTTGAGATGCAACAGTGGAGAAGTGCTACAATAGCTTTGTGAAATGGGCCCAGGATACCACTGGCACAGGAGCTCACCTTTATTCAGTGAATTCACGACACTGATAGTAACAAACAGAAAATATGTGTGTATCAAAGTGACTGCCTCATCAAAACACTGCTTTGTGTGGAAATATAACAAGGCAAGGAAATAATCTTGATTACCCAATGAAACAGAATGGCAATAAAAGGCACTGAAACTCAGTGAGGACACCAGGTGCTTTCACATACTCTTTCAAAATGTCACCTTTCCATACAATTGCAGAAATTGGGCTTGTCTAGTGTCCTGTTTTCACATATAACAGGCACCACTTTTATCACTACTAGTCATTGAATAACAGGGCGGTGGGGTAGCCCGGTGGTTAAAGCGTTCGCTCATCACGTCAAAGTCCACGGTTAGTTAAGTTTACTTCGTAATCGTGAACATGATCATCATATATTTGACGCCAAACTGATACCTTTATGTTAAAAATGTCCATACAAATAAATAACCCAACCCAGTAACAATTGTCCAATAAAACAGATTTCACTGGGGACCAAATGCAGAATAGAATGGATTATATAAACAGATCACTTAAAATCACTGATGAGACCCGGTGTTGGTGAAAGGTTAAGCATGTTTCATAGCTCCCTCCAGTCACAATTAACCAATGCTGGGTCAGATATGATCAACTTTCAGGAAGAAGTGATTAAGACTGGTGACTCAATTTTCCACTTGTCATCAAACCCTGATATCTATCACAGGACTATCTGGTCAGACTTGATTACTCACAGGCTGTATTCATCATGCCCGGAAGAGTGCTGAGTGCAGCATTAAACACCCGTGAAGATTCGGGTTCGAATTGGTCTTCGGCAACCCATGCTTGTTGCAAGAGGCGACAAATGTGATTGGGTGGTCAGGCTCGCTGACTTGGTTGACAAATGTCACCGTATCCCAACTGCATAGATCAATGCTCCTGATGTTGATCACTGGATTGTCTGGTCCAGACTCGATTATTTACAGACCGCCGCCATATAGCGTGAATATTGCTGAGTGCGGCATTAAACAACAACAACAAAACTAATACAAAATCTGACGAATGATGATGCTGAGTACACGTAGCAGACGCAATATTTCTCTGCAAATCCTTAAAAGACTCCTACCTCTTATTCACACGTTCCACAGAATAAAATTCATTATCTCCAGACAGCAATTTATCTGCTTTCCCCAACTTTCTCATCCAGAAAGCATCTCTAGTGTTTTGCAAACCACAGCCAAAGTACCCCCGGCACTCCAAGGTGATGCTTTGACCCAACTGGACAATCTGCTTTGGATCTGGCCTACGCTCTACTATCACTTTGCCGACTGATTTGTCACATTCTGAAATCAAAGAAAAAGGAAATGCTTGTAATGTTATCATCAACAGAAATAGAATCTTATTGGCCAGTCACTGCGTGGTAAAATATAATCACAATTAAGCTAATGATCAACACTGATATAATTGCATCAGCTGACTTTGGTATGGCATGAAAAGTAAATTTTGCCTTCGACCGGGCATCTGTTGTTTGTACAGCTGATGCCAGGTATAGAAACTAGGGCTACCACAAATATACTACGAGGCATATACAAATGTACGAATATCTATTCGTGAATACTTTATAAATGTTCATTATTAAGAAATTAAAAAAAACAAACATGTCATGTAATTGCTTAAGCTGAAACATACAAATGATATTTAAAAAACCCTGCAATACAGTGTGAAAAATGTTGCTTAGAATAACAATGTGCCTTGACAAAATGACACAAGTTAATGCTGCATGACTTGGATATACTCCATTTTGCGTGTCTCACTTTGATAAAGTGACAAACTAGTTCCCAGTAAATACACTTTCTTAAAAATATACAGAACTAGTCTATTCTAGTAACTACGAATAATGAATTGAATTCAAGAAGGGACATGGAGCGAATCATAACAGAACTAACAGAAACTGTAATACAAAACATGATAGGCCCTATTAACCTCTGCTTGAAGAGCCAGAGTGAGTGAGTGAGTATGGTTTTATGCCTCTTTTAGCAATATTCCAGCAATAACACGACAGGGGACACCAGAAATGGGCTTCACACATTTTACCCATGTGGGGATTTGAACCCAGGTCTTCTGCGGGGGACACTAGAAATGGGCTTTACACATTTTACCCATGTGGGGAATTGAACCCAGATCTTCAGCGTGACAAACGAACGCTTTAACCAATAAGCTAACCCACCGCACCTGATGAACCAGAGGACTGGATGAGCGATCGGACTCAATGTCTTAGTTGATAGTGCTATATTTTGTCTGTCTCAAGGTCCCTGAACTATACTACTTTCTGCTCTGCCCTCTCCTTACTGCAATAAGGTGCCGGTACCCCATGAATGGTTTGGGCCGTTGTTCACGACAACTAACAGTAATTTGTCTTGCCAGTACTATGAATACTGATACTGTGACAAAAACAATTCAGCATACAATAAACACTGAGATTGGGTTTAATGTAGTGGGTACCATGGTTACAAAGATAAATACAGCCTGAGACAGTATCATCATACAATTGTATTGATCTTTTGTACACTCTTTGTGTAGTTTTCAAACACGTGTGGAATCCCAGAAACCCATCTGTCATGCTTGTTTGATGTTTTTTATACAGTGTGAAAATATTGTGACGAAACTCAACATTAGCAGAAAAAAACCACACTGCTCGCATTTTGTAAAACCTCAAAACTGAACAAAAACAAAAATTAAACACAGAAATCCCATAATGGTGGACCACAACTTCATTGGTGCATGCATTGGGGCAACATATAAAAAATCATGGAGAAAATTACGAAAGCCTTGGTTACAAGTTGTTATTGTTGGGAGTTGGTGGTTATTTTAGTCAGATAGTAGTAACCATAGCAACCATTATCATGGACTGAGTTTGAAAATATTCTTTACCAATATGATATAAGATATCGTCTTCTGTATTCTAATCTAATTATATCTTGAGGATGATGTTTACTGCTAAGAACACATATCATTTCATTACTTTAATCAAAATGTCTGACTCCTCTGATGGACTCCACTTGAAGTATAACTCACCAGCAACATAAAGTTCGAACACAAAGGTGACATTGTTCGTCCCATTGCTTGCAAGGCAAATATAGGTTCCGTTGTCCTTCATTGATGCCTTCTGGATATCCAACACCTGTCGCCTTTGATGGAATGTATAGTTCCCGTAATCAAATGAAGTCATAATTCCATTTTCATAACGGTACCATTGAATCTCTCCCACAAAGTTGTTGGCGCAGCAACGGATGCTGACAAAATGATCCCTGTGTACATCATCTGCCTCACTATTTTGCCTTGAGAAGGACAGCTCATCTGAAAATTAAACACAAATGAGACTTACATGTGTACTGGATCAAGGATAAGTTTCACTTTATCTTAAGAAAATGTAACACATAAACAAGAAGACAAAGTCATCAATATCCCCCGCAACAGTGCCAACTTTGACATGGCAATACAATGTTTCCATGGAAACCACACAAAAGAAATTCACACACTGGTGTAACCCCCAAAAGGCACATCTATGGATCATGGTAAACATGTGTACCAAGTTTGATATAGCTATCATGTACATAGTTTGGGAGATCTGCTCCGGACAAGATGACATCCTCATAGTCACAGCCTATAGTCACGTTTCAACGAAAAAATAATTGTATCTGGGTTTAACCATCAAATGGCACATCTATTGATCATGCTTGACATGTGTACCAAGTTTGATGAAGCTAGCATGTATAGTTTAGGAGATCTGCTCCGGACAAGATGACATCCTCATAGCCACAGCCTAAGTCACGTTTCCATGGAAACCACAAAAACTAAAATTCATATCTGGGTCTAACCCCCAAAAGTGTGATGGACGGACGGACGGAACTTGTTTCTTTATCCCCCCAACTTCGTTTTTGCAGGGGATAACAAGTGTAGAAGTGAGCACAGCTCACATACCCTCGCTTCCCACTTTGGGACATGGAAATGACTGATACTGATATATATCATGTGACAAGGATCAGCAGCTCGCAAGACTTTCTCCTTGACTCTACTAAACTTTATATACATGTTAGATAATAGTTTTGCCATGTACTGATTACAGTAATGATTTATGGAAACATTAATTTTGTGTGTTTTCCATGGAAACATAACATTCAATTGAACTTGATGCACACAATGAAGTGGACGTAGATGAAGATTGTTATTTTTTAGCACATGGCATATATCTGTGGGTCATGATTAACTTGTGTATTAAGTTTGGTGAACCTAGCATGTATAGTTTCGATGATATGCTGTGGCCAGGTAACCATCAAACACATTTTGCACCAAGTCATGTTTCCATGGAAACAACAACAAAACAAATTCTGAAAAAAAATTAAAATAGCAAAAGGTACATCAATGGGCTAATGATTAACGTGTGTGTGAAGTTTGGTGAACCTAGCATGTAAACTTTAAGAGATATGTCTGACAAAACCATCAAACACATTTGGCACTAAAGTTTCCATGGAAACAACAACAAAACAAATTCTAAAAAATTAAAATAGCAAAAGGTACATCAATGGGTAATGATTAACGTGTGTGTGAAGTTTGGTGAACCTAGCATGTAAACTTTAAGAGTTATGCTCCGGACAAAGTTTCGGGACGGACAGACGGACAGATGGAATGAAAGCAATATGCCCCTGTTACTTCGTAGCGGGGGGATAATAACAAATAAATGAACAAACAAAACATGGAAAATATCAGGCTTGGCTAAGCTACATACCACCATGCACAAGCGCAACCAAGCTCTGGAACAGGTACATACAAACTGCAAACAATACCGGTACATAATCAAATATGGGAGCCTCATCATTTTGGGTAGTGGGGTAGCCCAGTGGTTAAAACCTTTGCTCGTCATGCCGAAGGCCCGGATTTGATTCCCAGTAAGGGTACAATATAAGTTGTTCACTGGTCTCGAGAGGGACATGGGCTGACGTACCCTCCATGTTTGTTTATGTTCCCTGAGCCTGAAGGGCGAGGGGAACATAACGAAACATCAAGGATACATCAACCCATGGGCCCCGAGGGACCAGTGAACAACGTATTTTATCTTACCGAACACCTCAATGGTAATTTTGAACTGTCTGAAGCACGGGTCATAGTATGGAGTACCAGACGACAAGAAAAACAAATTTAGAGTTATCTCCCTTCCATTGATTTGCATTCACAAAACATTGGTAATTTCCGTACATCATATGTGATGAAGAATAATGACAATTATTATGGATATACAACTTCTTGTATTCTGTGGAGGTGACGTTTTGACATAGGCTCTAATGTCGTTGTCAAGCAAGTGATACATGAGTAACAAATTGAGAGAATATATACAGGAGTTGTTGTTACAGTAGAGTAAAAGCGTTCGCTTGTCATGCTGCAAACCCAGGATCGATTCCCTAAATGGGTAAAATGAGTGAAGCCCATATCTGGTGTCCTCCGCCGTGATATTGCTGGTATATTGCTCAAGACCTGGGTACTATTCCCAACAAGGGTACAATGTCTGAAACCCATTTCTGGTTTCCCTGACCGTGATACTGCTGGAATATTGCTAAAAGCGGTGTAAAAAACATACTCACTCACATAGAGAGTTGACAGTATATACTTTCAGAAAAAATAATTTACCTGAATCCTTCACACACTGGCAGGTCACAACATCGACGGTCAACAATGCCCAGACAAGCAGCAGCTGCAGTGTTCCCTCCATCATCCGCTGGCAAAGAAACAAATGGTGTGCGTCAATAAATATACAGAATGTCATACCAGTGCATTTGGACCTTATGTATTAAACGACAAGATGTCAGGGTAGGAGAGAAACGAGTTCAGCGATCTCTTTTGATTACAAACCTTTTTCATGACACTGACTGTTTCAATCTCTAAACATCACTACTGAAATTTCAGCACTGAGGTCTCTGTGATCTGAGTAGCACTTTGTGCAAAGGATGTCTCACATATATATAACGTGAGATTGCACTCCTCCGCCTATTCAAGTGCCTGGTTCTGGTAACAAAAGAAACAAGTGTCTGCCACTGATATGGTAATGTCGTCCAAGCGGTCAAGTGTCGTAGTGACCTTGAAGATAAGGTCAAGGTCACCCAAATCAACTGGTGTCTGCGTAATCCCCCAATGTAGGCTGTCACCAAATTTGAAGACATTGAGTACAACAGTTCATGAGATATTGCGTTAATAAGAGTTTGAAAAGTGGTCAAAGTGTCATGGTGACCTTGAAAATAAGGTCAAGGTCACCCAAATCGACTGGTGTCTGGGTAATCTCGCAATGTAGACTGTCACCAAATTTGAAGACATTTGAAGACGTTGCGACAGGGGACAACAAACAGAATGATATTTGATACAAAGCAACTTGCATTTAATAACTATAACGTTACTCATTTTTTTTAGATTTAATTTGTGACACTCATTAGTGATTACACTGTTCAACGTCTGGCAGCCGTATCATATGGAAATTGAAGTGCAATACGGAAGTATCGCCGCTTTGCATGGCTGTATTGCTATTGTAAGATTAATTCGGTTGGTTTCTTGCTTAACTACGCACTCAGCAATATTCCAGCTATATGGCAGCGGTCTGTCATAATCAAGTCTGGACCAGACAATCCAGTGATCAACATCATGAGGATCGTTCTATGCAATTTGGATACGATGACATGTGTCAACCAAGTCAACCAGCCTGACCTCCCGATCCCGTTAGTCGCCTCTTACAACAAGCAAAGGTTACTTAAGACCGATTCTAACACGGATCTTCATGGGTATCGTAAGATTAAATGGGTGTGTAATCAAAGCATGGAGTTCCCCACAGTTGCGTATTGCCCACTGAGATACCATCCTGCAGTGAAGCATGAATACCCCACTCAGACACATTATATTGACTCCGAGCCGACCAGTCCTTGTTGTACCCATTAATGCCGAGCGCCAGGCAGGGACCAACAATTACCATATTTTAACGTCTTTCGTATGACGCAGTCAGGGATCGAACTCGCGACCTTCCGCTCTCCGGGCAGATGCTCTAACCACTACACCACGGAGGCGGTCCCTGAGTGAATGAGTGTTGTTTTACACCGCACTCAGCAATATGCCAGGTATATGGTGGCGGTCTGTTAATATTTGATTCTGGACCAGACAATCCAGTGATCAACAATATGAGCATCGATCTGCACAATTGAGAACCGATGACATCTGTCAACCAAGTCAGCGAGTTTGACCATCTGATTTCGTTAGTCGCCTCTTACGACAAGCATGGGTTACTGAAGGTTCATTCTAACCCAGACCTTCACGGGTCTAATAACTCCTGACGTGTAATTAAATACATAATGATATTCAGTCATACATTTGGTTTTACTTGCTTTTAGGATATTTCACAAATAATTCTCTTGGTAAGTGAAAGAAAACATAAATCTGATTTTGAAATCAGGGTATCTCATCCATGACATGTGGTTTGATATTACTTCTGTACATTTCTACATGAAAGTCTTATTGTTTGGTTCAATATGATGCACAAAAATATTTAATAGTAGATCCTTTTTCACAAGATAGGTGTTAATGCATTTTGCTATAATTGTATAGCAATTAATATAAATGTATAGTGACAATCAACGGTGAATGTGTTGAGACAGTGTCGGAGTATAAGTATCTGGGAACCTTCATTGACTCTAAGCTGAACTGGAACTCTTTAACACTGAAGCCCTATACAAAAAGTGTCAAAAACGTCTTCATCTCATGCGTAAACTGAGATCTTTTAATATTAACCCATCTGTGATGTCATCTTTTTATGTAGCATTTATTCAGAGTATTTTAACATTTTCCTTCCATTGTTGGTACGGGTCTCTCTCAGTTCATCTCAAATCTAAAATAGACAAAATTGTTAACACTGCAAGTGAGTGAGTGAGTGAGTGTGTTGGGTTTTACGCCGCTTTTAGCAATATTCCAGCAATATCACGGCGGGGGACACCAGAAATGGGCTTCACACATTGTGCCCATGTGGGGATTCGAACCCGGGTCGTCAGCGTGACGAGCCGACGCTTTAACCATTAGGCTACCCCACCGCCCTTAACACTGCAAGTAAAATCGCTGGAGTCAGATTTGAATGTTTATCATCAATATATGAACGGCAATTCGTGAATCAAGCTGTCAAAATCATATCTGACCGTACTCACTACTTAAATTCGGAATACAACCTCCTCCCTTCAGGCCGCCGCTACAAAGTTCCAATTGTGAAAACTAAGAGAGCCCGTACATCCTTTATTCCAAGTACCATATCTCTCTTAAACAAATGTGAAGATACCTAAATCAAAAAATTTATGTAAATATGTTTGGTATCTCTCTAATGTGTCAGTAGCTCTGCTGATGTAACACAAATTCCTGAAAAGGCATTAAAGTATTATTCTATTCTATTTGCTGAATAAAAGAAAGGGCAAATTCAGATATATTTTTCCATTTTAATCAATTTCATATTTTGCAGTTCCAAGTTAAACATGTTACAAAATGGTGAGGCTTAACTAATGTTTGGCAAACAATAAAGAAGACGAGATAAATGTTTAATTTTCCAATTTTGCTTGGAATGTAATGTTTGATAACTCTGACTATTAGAAAATAGAAATATTCAAAGATCCCAGTTTTGAACAAAACAACATTTACCTATTCTGCTGACAAGGGCACGTCTTGAATCTGCTATAATCCTTTAACTCTTGTCTACAACATACTGTGGATAGATAGGATAGCCTAATGGTTGAGGTGTTCACTTGTCACACATATGTCCATGATTTCAATCACTGGTCCAGACTTTGACAAATTTAAGCTAGAATATTGAATCAATAAACACAAGCAAACATTAACAACAGGTTTCACTGACAGCTTACCATTTTAAAGTTCCAAGGAGTAGTTCAATCAAATGATATATTCAAACAACACACCAAAAATACAGCATTTCGAAGCCAGTTACACGTGAATGTGACAGCCAGACAAGCGCTTCCCTTTTCAGGAAATAGCTGAATAATATCTTGCACTGCAGGAAGAAGGTTTGGATCAAACAATGCATACCATTGTGTGTGTGTGTGTGTATATAAATATCAATGAGGAAGGAAGCAGATTCCACTTCTCACACACTGGTCCATGCTATATACATACATGCACATATACATACAAACATTTGTATAGCGCCGATATCCAGTACAACTGCTCAAAGGTGCTTTGTTTTCCCTCAATCATTGGATGTCCATCACAACGGCATATCATTATTTCAATCTCAACTCCCTGGGGAGCCTACAACTCTTGCTGCCTACTAGGCACACCGAGTTACTGTGGCTTTCCCATCCTTATGAGGTACCCATTCACAGCTGGGTGGACTGGGACACATAGTCACAGTACTTTGTCCAAGTTCACTGCACGTTGCTGTACCCGCAACTAGGTGTTTGCACGTATTCATGTGGCCACCATCTGGTCATCTACCAACGGATTCTTTTAAGTGCACAGCCCCACATGGGTACAATGTGTTAAGCCCATTTCTGGTGTCCCCTGCCGTGATATTGCTGGAAAATTGCGGCGTAAAAACTAAACTCAGTCAGTCAGTTTTAAGTGCACAGGGTTGTGTACTGTATACTAGGGGTTGTGACAACACTGAAAGAGTCTGCACACAAAGTTGACTTCAAGGTTTTTTACACCCGGTCACAGGTGGGCTCGATCCTGGCACCTCCAACCTCGCTGGATTACTAGCCTTGCGCCTTAGACAGCTCGCCCACCACGCCCCCACATTGTACAAACTATGATATATGCTGTAATATCACATGGATGATCACATGCTACATGAACATAGCGGCTGTTCATATAATATTCAAAACAAGTTAGAGAACACACAGGTTCAGAAGGCTGAGTGTTGCAACAGCCACTAGCTATGCAGATAAACCTTTGTTAACATATGTCTGCAGGCTTTTATCCTGACTTACAAAAGTGGGGGTCCAGGGGACCCACATCAATATATTTTATTGCTGGTGATATGAGGGTCCTGTAATGGTGTGAAGTATTGAAAAGGTGTAGTGTACTGTACGTTAAAATAATTACTTCAGAGCCTGGAAAGAATCATAGGTCATAATAACTTAAAATTGCTAGTGTACTCTGGTACAGTGGCACATGTAAAATCAATGACCCCGATAATTTTTCCACTATACTGGCAGATTTTCTTGTTGAAATTTTAAATAAGCAAAGTAATTAACATTGTAAAGTCAGCTGGACACCGGTACAAATTTGCTTGCCCGATAGAAAGAACACTGGACTGTGACGTCAGGCAGTGGATTATTTCCACCTCTGGAGTGAAATGACAGACACAGATAACTACTCCTGATCCCAATAGGTATTTTGTACATTACGTAAAACTCTGGTCTGAAATAATTTAATTTTGCGAACAGCAAGAATACCGATGACGCCAATGTCATTTTTACACGAGATAAATGAGAAGTTTTGTTTTGTTTTGTTGCTGTTTAACGCCATACTCAGCAATGTTCCAGCAACATATCTGTAAATAATCGAGTCTGGACGAGACAATCCAGTGATCAACAGCATGAGCATCGACCAACGCAAATGGGATACTATGACATGTGTCAACCAAGTCAGCCAGCCTGACCACCTGATCCCTTTAGTTGCCTCTTATGACAAGCATGGGTTGTTAGAGACCAATTCTAACCCGGATCAATATGTATCATGTATCAAGGCTCTAGATAAGGGCCATATCAGCATATGTATGGACAAACCATATGCACGATACGGTAGGAAATAGTTTATAAAAGGTAGCAGATACACACCACAGCAATGGTGTATGGTCTACTTATCTGAAAAAGTATTGTTTTATTGTTTATTGACCTGTTTACACAAGAGTAGCAATGTTGTGGTGCATATGAAACGAAACACAAGATTACTGATATGCCATTATATTCCATTCAGTACTCTAAATGTACTGGGGTGGTGGGGTAGTCTAGTGGTTAAACCGTTGGCTCATCACGCCGAAGACCCGGGTTCGAATCCCCACATGGGTACAATGAGTGAAGCCCATTTCTGGTGGCCCGCTGCCGTGATATTGCTGGAATATTGCTAAAAGCGGCGTAAAACCAAACTCAGTCAGTCAGTCTAAATGTACTCTTGAGGTTTTCCAGTACTCCTATATCGAAAATATAAGGAGTACATACTCCTGATGTTGAAAAATTATCTGGATCCCTAATGTATCATGCATTGTGTCAAGGGCCCATGCATTGTGTCAAGGGCCAGTGCATCAGACACATTGCAGACTTTTATGTATTTGCCCAAAGTCAATGGCAGTAAAAATTAGAAATGAAATAACACCCAATTCCACAGTATTTAAAAACGGGAAGATGAAAAAATAAGTCTGTGGAAAAACATATTATCAGAGTGAGTGAGTAAGTAAGTGAGTTTAGTTTTATGCTGCACTCAGCAATATTCCAGCTATATGGCAGCGGTCTGTAAATAATCGAGTCTGGACCAGACAATCCAGTGATCAACAGCATGAGCATCGATCTACGTAATTGGGAACCGATTACATTGGTCAACCAAGCCAGCGAACCTGACCACCCGATCCTGTTAGTTGCCTCTTGGGTTACTGAAGGCCAGTTCTAACCCGGACCTTCACGGGTCTATCATTATCAGGACAGGGAGTGAATAACACACCATACTTATACAAATACAACAAACTATCAATAAATATTCTAGTGTTAATTGCCTGACTTTGGCCTCTTCTCTGAATAGTCAAGGACGGTAGGGTAGCCTAGTGGTTAAAGTGTTTGCTCGTCACGCCGATGACCCACGTTTTATTCCCAACATGGGAGAATGCTTGAAGCTCATTTCTTGTGTCCCCTGCTGTGATATTTCTGGAATATTGGTATAGGTGGCATAAAACTGAACTCACTCACTGTGAATGCTCAAATAAAAACATGCTAATGGACCGTTCATAATTAATGACTGGGGGTTGGGGGTGGAAAGTGGAGGTTATGAAGATTGCTATGGAGAAGCATGTACAATGTGAAAGAATTCCCCTTAAGATTTATCAATGAAGCCCCCCTCCCCCCCAAACAAAATGGGTAACCTAGCCATAAAATCATCACCCCCTTAACCATAAATTATGAACGGTCCCTAATTCAGCAAATACCTAAGGCAACACAAGGAACTTCTGAAAGCTGACGGGTTTGTAGTCTAAAAACTGCTTGGACTCTACAGAGACAGAAAATGCTACAGTTCTTCAATATTCTGAAAGTTGGAAATCACTGACAGACCTAGTTTTGATTTTGAAACATTGACACCTTTACCTGTAGGTGGGTGTGTGAATACGTTTCATGGCCTTCACTACTGATGATTATAGACTACCATTCAGTCCCTGGAATAAAATTATGTTTTTTAAATATATATGTCTACCAGAGAAATAATAATAAAAATGAATTAAAAAGGAACCCACAACAATTCTTAATTTTGTATATTAGCTGTTACAGCTGAGGCAGCCTAGACCTGCTAAATCATTCTAGACTTCAGTAGTACTCCTTTTCAATGAATTCTCTATGGTCTGTGATATAGGCTACCGTATTTCTTCTATCAAGCTCCAGGCCTCTAATACATTGCCGGGGATAAAGCAGCTCACTGACAATTACAGTAATTACACCCAGTAAGTACAGAAGCACAGGGCCTCTAATAAGCGCCGGGACTGGAATTCTGTTGAAAAAATAAGTGCCTGGGCCCTTATTAGAGGAAATATGGTAACTAAGATTTAATACAGAGAAAGTATTGATATAAAGGCAGTGTCAAGAGTGACATTCAGTTTGATAGCAGATAGCTCACTGTTTTATATATAGTCGCCATGACAACATGAAGCTGTTCTAAACTTGGAGCTGACTGCTAAGTCGCCATACTTAATTAATAAGCAATGTGTTGATGATGTGAAACCACAGACCATATCTCTTGTAGCCTGACAATGGTGGACAATATTGATAAAAGCTCTGCTAGTCCCAACCTCAGTTGTAAATACCCTCACTTGGTTTGTACTGCCTGACTGAACCAGTGGCGAAGACAGCTAAATTTTGCACTGTCAATGCTGTTATCTGTCGGCACTAATCTGGAGTTCTTGACAATCTACCCCCCCTGCTACTGCCGACGCTATCAGGGTTAGACCTAACTTGTCTTTACAGTAAGATGCGCCAAGAAAGATAACTCTTACCGTAAATCCAAACTATTTACAAGCTGATTACATCTGTCCCAACACGCAATACCAATCAGTCCTATTGTCATAGCTTCTGTAAATTATATGCACTAAGTTCTAATCTATACTTTTCACAATCCAACAACATTGTTAATATGTCGCAGTATACTAGCAGAGCGATATTTACAACTTGAAAACATAGACGGAAGATCCAGCCTTTCAAAATATCTGTTGCAAATATATAGCGACCCTTTGTGAACGCATACCTTTTTCTTCCCATCCACCGTGATGATATTGTCAACATGCACAGGCGGATGTATGATTTCTGCACTCACGTGAGTCGGGTCATATCCCGAATGACGCTTCTGTCCGAACGCGGAAGTTGAACTGTTCAGCGAACGGAGAACCCGCCGTGTGAGCAGACGATTTATCTTAGTCAAGTTTAGATTTCATCGGTTGTGAAAATCTCAAAGCCTATAGAGACAGTGGTAGAAAATATTTAATCAATGTCTTGATACTTTGTCCTCATAATCTGACAAGCACCTGTTACACGTACCTGTGTCCAGTGGCACCGACGTCGAGGGTTCCAAGCGTGGGAGACACGGCAGAACTTCACTGGTGTTTCCTGGAAATCGGTCGTCGATTAGCGGAATTTGTTGCAACTCTAAAGGTAAGTTTGGCGCGCGGCGTGTCTTTGCACGACGCCGAGTGAGGTGAATCCCACGTATTACCCAGGAAATATTTCCTCGTGAAGCTTAAGCCCGATTGTCAACTGTGATATACTGACTCATACTGAACTCTGTAAGACAAGATCGTAGAAAGTCACCCTAAGAGACGTGTTATTGTTACGGGTGTCTTAAATACAGGGTCTTTATAAATCAGCATCCTGAGTCATCTGTACCTTAATTGAGTATTTTAATTGACGCCATGGACATAGTTGGTTCGTCCAGTGATCCCAAACCAGTGATTGTTGGAGTGTAAATATTCCCCACACCCAGTGAAATATACTGAACCACAAAGCACACACTTTCATTCACTCTAATCAGGGATACTCTACAACAGGGATGGGTCACTCGCTGGCTTTCTTTACCATTTGTACTAATTAACGTGTGCCTCGTCATGCTCCAACGCACACAGTGACTTGGTTCGTTCCCAGCGCAACTTCGGCTGCGTTTAACAGTACTTCTGCCAGTGTATTGTATCAGTCGGAATTTTACAATGAATGAATGAATGAATGAATTAAGAGCAAGAATTATGTGTGAATTAATGAAAGAAATGAAGAAAAAGAACAAAAGAAAAAGAACATATGTGAATGAATGAAACAATAAATGATACACCACGGCCATCCCTCCCCAAACATGTTAAAGAACGCAAAACTATCTGTAGAACACGTGTTAACATCAGCTGTCCTTTTAAAAAAAAATCTACTTTGAGACATTTTTTACATTAGTAACTAATTCAGATATCTTATTGCATGTGTGGAATGACATGGGCATTGACAGAATGTTAACTGACACTGTCACAGACCCCTCAAAAACATAAAGTTTAGAACTATCACAAAGCGTTGTAAACACCTTTCCAGTTTTGTCAAATACTAAGATCAACAAGAAAGAAAGAAGTTTTAGAACTATAACACTCAAGCATCACAAGCATCAATGGCGTATCAGAACAGATCGGCGATATGTCATATTTTTCACACACCTCAAATACACCCTAACAAAAAAAAATTAAATTGTAAAACTATCACTATTACTTGCAAAAACCCTTCACCTGATGGTATATTCCCCTCATAAAAATTAAAGGTGCATGTGAAAGATGTTTAAGAACAATAACTAGAAACACTCAAACAATGCCCTGTAGTATTTCAATGGCAGATCGGCGATATGTCATATTTTTCACACACCTCAAATACAACCTAACACATTTTTTTTAGTTATACAACTATCACTATTACTTGCAAACACCTTTCAACTAAAGGTATATTTCCCTTCTAAAAATTAAACGAATATGTGAAAGAAGTTTTTAGCGATATACTTTAGTCTTTCTTCGCTGTGTACTGAGAATTGAAGCCAGTGAGCTACAACATGCCGACTTGAAACTTTACTACAAATCTACTGTACTAATACTGACACTAATAACAATTATTTGACTTAAAATGAAGTGACAGAATAGGTAACTTATCCTCTACATGTAGGTTTTCAGTTGTCACAACACTCAGCGTATGTAATCAGCTGTTGAAAATAAACCGGGCTCAATCTTAAAAACTACTCTGCCGCCATATTGGCTACACTGGTCACGTGACGAGCCGAGGCATAGCTTAGGGGCTTTCCGAGGAGTGACCACTCCCCTTATATAGTCTCCCTGCTCTAATTAACAATCAAAACGGAGGATTGAGTTCAAACTTGACAGTTATGGTTAACACATTTTCGAGAATAACATTTAGAGTTCACACAAACAAAATCACCAAAAATGGTACCATGAAGATACCCCAAAGTCAGCATTGTGTGTGGCCACTATAAGCATCGATAAAAGCGGATGGAGGTCATTCAGTCTTCTTTGAATCTCGTCCCAAAGGTCTTCTATTGTCTCAAATCAAGACTGAGTGCAAGCTATTGTAGGGCTTGGATGCCATGTTGTCTTAGGAAGTCCCATATTATGTTACTCTGGCAGTGTGGGCACGGCGTTGTCTCCCTTTAAGATGTGATTTCTGTGACGTCCAAAATGTGGTACAACGTGAGGTCTTATGACTTGGTGAATATAGCGAGCAGCTGTCACATCATTTCCTCATCCTGGACCAAGATTCTGGAACACCATGGTGCCAACTATCTGGTTCAGACCGATTGCACCCCACACCATGATGTTTGGACCACCCCACAAGTCTCTTTCAACAATACACTCATTGGAAAACAGTTCCCCGCGCCTTCACCATATACTCTCACTCTGCCATCGACTGTCGAAACACAATATTGGCTTTCATGAGAAAAAAACACAGTTCTCCATTGTCGATAACGCCAATTTCGATGCTGAGTTGCCACTGCAGTCGGATTTGGCGGTGATGAGCGGTGAGGACAGGACTACGATATGGTCTGTGACAGCAGAGGTTTCTTTCGCACAAACGTCGACACACTGTATCGGCACTGATGGGTCTGTTGTGAGTCCCAATGGTCTGGCGTGCTCTTTCAGTCGATCTGGGGGAAGCGACCATGCAGATATACTGAAGGTTGCTCTCTGTGTGGACGGTCTTGGGTGCTGTTAGTGACCTGATACCACTCCTGCAGTCGGTAGATTGTCCTAACATGAACCAGTTTACATGAAGCAACTACCCATATGGGGTGTGGAACCAGTTTACATGTAGTAACTAGCTATATGGGGTGTGGAACCAGTTTACATGTAGCAACTAGCCACATAGGGTGTGGAACCAGTTTACATGTAGCATCTAGCCATATAGGGTGTGGAACCAGTTTACATGTAGCATCTAGCCATATGGAGTGTGGAACCAGTTTACATGTAGCAACTAGCCACATATGGTGTGGAACCAGTTTACATGTAGCATCTAGCCACATAGGGTGTGGAACCAGTTTACATGTAGCAACTAGCCATATAGGGTGTGGAACCAGTTTACATACAGCAACTAGCCACATAGGGCGTCAAACCAGTTTACATGTAGCAACTAGCCACATAGGGTGTGGAACCAGTTTACATACAGCAACTAGCCACATAGGGTGTGGAACCAGTTTACATGTAGCATCTAGCCATATGGAGTGTGGAACCAGTTTACATGTAGCAACTAGCCACATATGGTGTGGAACCAGTTTACATGTAGCAACTAGCCATATAGGGTGTGGAACCAGTTTACATGTAGCAACTAGCCATATAGGGTGTGGAACCAGTTTACATGTAGCATCTAGCCATATGGAGTGTGGAACCAGTTTACATGTAGCAACTAGCCACATAGGGTGTGGAACCAGTTTACATGTAGCATCTAGCCATATAGAGTGTGGAACCAGTTTACATGTAGCAACTAGCCGTATAGAGTGTGGAACCAGTTTACATGTAGCAACTAGCCACATAGGGTGTGGAACCAGTTTACATGTAGCAACTAGCCATATAGGGTGTGGAACCAGTTTACATGTAGCATCTAGCCATATGGAGTGTGGAACCAGTTTACATGTAGCAACTAGCCGTATAGAGTGTGGAACCAGTTTACATGTACCAACTAGCCATATAGGGTGTGGAACCAGTTTACATGTAGCAACTAGCCATATAGGGTGTGGAACCAGTTTACATGTAGCATCTAGCCGTATGGAGTGTGGAACCAGTTTACATGTAGCAACTAGCCATATAGGGTGTGGAACCAGTTTACATGTAGCAACTAGCCATATCGGGTGTGGAACCAGTTTACATACAGCAACTAGCCATGTGGGGTGTGGAACCAGTTTACATATAGCAACTAGCCGTATCGGATGTGGAACCAGTTTACATACAGCAACTAACCATATGGGGTGTGGAACCAGTTTACATACAGCAACTAACCATATGGGGTGTGGAACCAGTTTACATGCAGCAACTAGCCGTATCGGATGTGGAACCAGTTTACATGTAGCAACTAGCCATATAGGGTGTGGAACCAGTTTACATGTAGCAACTAGCCATATAGGGTGTGGAACCAGTTTACATACAGCAACTAGCCGTATTGGGTGTGGAACCAGTTTACATGTAGCAACTAGCGACATAGGGTGTGGAACCAGTTTACATGTAGCAACTAGCTATATGGAGTGTGGAACCAGTTTACATGTACCAACTAGCCGTATAGAGGGTGAAACCAGTTTACATGTAGCAACTAGCCACATAGGGTGTGGAACCAGTTTACATGTAGCAACTAGCTATATAGGGTGTGGAACCAGTTTACATGTAGCAACTAGCCAAATGGGGTGTGGAACCAGTTTACATGCAGCAACTAGCCACATAGGGTGTGGAACCAGTTTACATGTTGCAACTAGCCATATAGGGTGTGGAACCAGTTTACATGTAGCAACTAGCCAAATGGGGTGTGGAACCAGTTTACATGTAGCATCTAGCCATATAGGGTGTGGAACCAGTTTACATGTAGCAACTAGCCAAATGGGGTGTGGAACCAGTTTACATGTAGCAACTAGCCACATATGGTGTGGAACCAGTTTACATACAGCAACTAGCCATATAGGGTGTGGAACCAGTTTACATGTAGCAACTAGCCAAATGGGGTGTGGAACCAGTTTACATGTAGCAACTAGCCATGTGGGGTGTGGAACCAGTTTACATGTAGTAACTAGCCATGTGGGGTGTGGAACCAGTTTACATGTAGCAACTAGCCATATAGGATGTGGAACCAGTTTACATGTAGCAACTAGCCATATAGGGTGTGAAACCAGTTTACATGTAGCAACTAGCCACATAGGGTGTGGAACCAGTTTACATGTAGCAACTAGCCACATAGGGTGTGGAACCAGTTTACATGTAGCAACTAGCTGTATGGAGTGTGGAACCAGTTTACATGTAGCAACTAACCATATAGGGTGTGGAACCAGTTTACATGTAGCAACTAGCTGTATGGAGTGTGGAACCAGTTTACATGTAGCAACTAGCCGTATAGAGTGTGGAACCAGTTTACATGTAGCAAGAGTGGAACCAGTCATTATGGAGGTGGAGTGTGGAACCAGTTTACATGTAGCAACTAGCCGTATAGAGTGTGGAACCAGTTTACATGTACCAACTAGCCGTATAGAGTGTGGAACCAGTTTACATACAGCAACTAACCATATAGGGTGTGGAACCAGTTTACATGTAGCAACTAGCCGTATGGAGTGTGGAACCAGTTTACATGTAGCAACTAGCCGTATAGAGTGTGGAACCAGTTTACATGTAGCAACTAACCATATAGAGTGTGGAACCAGTTTACATGTAGCAACTAGCCGTATGGAGTGTGGAACCAGTTTACATGTAGCAACTAGCCGTATGGAGTGTGGAACCAGTTTACATGTAGCAACTAGCCGTATAGAGTGTGGAACCAGTTTACATGTAGCAATCCAGTCCGTATAGAGCGTGGAACCAGTTTACATGTAGCAACCAGTCAGATAGAGTTTGGAACCAGTTTACATGTAGCAACTAGCCGATAGAGTGTGGAACCAGTTTACATGTAGCAACTAGCCAGATGGAGTGTGGAACCAGTTTACATGTAGCAATCCAGCCATATGGAGTGGAACCAGTTTACATGTAGCAACCAGTCGTATGGAGTGTGGAACCAGTTTACATGTAGCAACTAGCCGTATAGAGTGTGGAACCAGTTTACATGTAGCAACTAGCCGTATAGAGTGTGGAACCAGTTTACATGTAGCAACCAACCAGATAGAGTGTGGAACCAGTTTACATGTAGCAACTATCCACATATAGGGTGTGGAACCAGTTTACATGTAGCAACTAGTCAGATAGAGTGTGGAACCAGTTTACATGTAGCAACTAGCCGTATGGAGTGTGGAACCAGTTTACATGTAGCAACTAGCCGTATAGAGTGTGGAACCAGTTTACATGTAGCAACTAACCATATAGGGTGTGGAACCAGTTTACATGTAGCAACTAGCCGTATAGAGTGTGGAACCAGTTTACATGTACCAACTAACCATATAGGGTGTGGAACCAGTTTACATGTAGCAACTAGCCGTATAGGGTGTGGAACCAGTTTACATGTAGCAACTAGCCGTATGGAGTGTGGATCCAGTTTACATGTAGCAAGATACACACTGAAGGTATAAGCTATATTTCCCCAGAGAAAACACACTCACAGGCAGTAAAAGCAGTATTTACACATACACATAAGGTAAAAGCAGTATTATCCCAGTGTAACACATATATTATAAGCCATATTCCCCCAGTCTCATATCCTCAGACTATATATAACCTACATATTCTGTGTGTGTTTCAGGTATGTGGTTCACACTTGCTCTGGCCTTGACCTTGCAAGCAATGGGACTTTCTGCAGACAGTACTGTGTGTAGTGACGCCATCAATACAACAGGTGAGTGAGTGAGAGTGAGTATAAGTGTAACTGAGTATGACCTACCGCTGCTTGTAGCAATGTTCCAGCTATATCCTGTTAGGGAACACCAAAACAGGCTTCTCACGTTGCATCCATTAGGGGAACCAAACCTTGGTCTTTGGCGTGATAAGCGAACAGTCACCACTTGGCTAGCCCCTACATGCAAGTACATCAAGAAGAAAAATCAGCAGAATTTGCAACCAGTAGACCAATGTCTAACCTCTGAAATGAGAACGTTTACTGAAAAGAACAGTCATAAATTATCTTACTATGATATAATACAAAGGGTCCAGTCTCTTCAGAAACTGCAGAAATGTAGGCTTGCCAATTGTTATAAAAGTCCAGTCAAATGTAATCAGGGTTGGAGACAATCGTTTTTTCAATAGCCGGGACAATTTTCGTTGGGGGATAAAATGGAGCATCAAATGGTGGTTACTTTTGCTAAGGCATCTATATATTGTAATAACATATGTCCAGCTGCATAAACTTCCATATATTTCACAGTTGTGGTGCTGGTGTAACGGTTTAACCTGACAGATTGTGTAACAATACCCCAGGATCAATGCTAATATACTTACTCATACACCAGGTTGCAGTTTTCCTATCGACTGCTGGTTGTCTGGTCCAAACTCTGTGACACAGTTGAAGTATTTTGCTGACTTGAAATAAAACATCATGAACTTACTCACACCATACTGGAGTTGTTTGTCATGATATCGACCTCTGGTTTGTCTTGTTCTGACCCCATTTCTGCCATGATGTTTCTGGTATATTGCTAAAAGCGGCGTAAAACCAAACTCAGTCAGTCAGTCTTGATTTGACATGATTATTGACATGCCAATCACCTTGCTGTAGTATTGCTGACTGGCACAACATGAAAAATTTCATTCACAGTGTATAGTAGATCTTCCTCTATCACTGGACCACACCACATTATCACTGGATTATCTGATCCTGAGGGTGGTGGGGTAGTCTAATGGTTAAAGCCTTCGCTCGTCACGCCAAAGACCCGGGTTCGAATCCCCACATGGGCACAATGTGTGAAGCCCATTTCTGGTGTCCCCCGCCGTGATGTTGCTGGAATATTGCTAAAAGCGGCGTAAAACCAAACTCAGTCAGTCAGTCTGATCCTGACTACCAGTGTGTCAAACCTGAAATATTGACAGTCATAAAATGACATTCACCTCAAGCTTATCTGTTTCAGCTGCCCTTCAGTTCAGTGACAGTGACCCAGACCTTCACCCCTTTCGTAAACCTGGTCGTTACTTGGAAATTGATTGCTGTGGAGATGGATTCACGGACATTGAGTGGTACTTTACCAGCAACATGAGCAGCAATTGGCGACCTTGGCCTTGGTTCTCCTGCCAGCACTGTTCAGAAGACTACCATCAACTGCGTCGAAAGAACCAGACATTGATCATATTTCGCACAGGAACCTTTGATACAGGATGGTACTTGTGCAATGTGTCGAACTCAGACACGCTACAGTACATACAGAGGAGGGTCCATCTTGTAGTTGCAGGTAGGCTGGGGATGACTGTGATTCAGTTGGAAGTAGTGATGATGTAGTTGGAGGTAGTGATGACATAGTTGGAGGTAGTGATGATGTAGTTGGAAGTAGTGATGACATAGTTGGAGGTAGTGATGACGTGGTTGGAGGTTGTGATGATGTAGTTGGTGGTAGTGATGACGTAGTTGGAGGTAGTGATGATGTAGTTGGAGGTACTGATGATGTAGTTGGTGGTAGTGATGATGTAGTTGGTGGTAGTGATGATGTAGTTGGAGGTACTGATGATGTAGTTGGTGGTACTGATGATGTAGTTGGTGGTAGTGATGATATAGTTGGAGGTACTGATGATGTAGTTGGTGGTAGTGATGATGTAGTTTGAGGTAGTGATGATGTAGTTGGAGGTACTGATGATGTAGTTGGTGGTTGGTGGTAGTGATGACATAGTTGATGAGAAGTTGGAGGTAGTGATGATGTAGTTGGTGGTTGTGATGATGTAGTTGGTGTAGTGATGATGTGAAGTTGGTGGTAGTGATTGTAGTTGGAGGTAGTTGGTGGTAGTGATGATGTAGTTGGTGGTAGTGATGATGTAGTTTGAGGTAGTGATGATGTAGTTGGAGGTATAGGTGATGCAGCTGGGAGGTAGTGATGACGTAGTTGGAGGTTGTGATGATGTAGTTTGTGGTAGTGATGATGTAGTTGGAGGTAGTGATGATGTAGTTGGAGGTTGTGATGATGTAGTTGATGATGATGAAGTTGGTAGTGATGATGTAGTTGGAGGTAGTGATGATGTAGTTGGAGGTAGTGATGACATAGTTGGTGGTAGTGATGATGTAGTTGGAGGTAGTGATGATGTAGTTGGAGGTTGTGATGATGTAGTTGGAGGTAGTGATGATGTAGTTGGAGGTAGTGATGATGTAGTTGGTGGTAGTGATGATGTAGTTGGAGGTAGTGATGATGTAGTTGGTGGTAGTGATGATGTAGTTGGAGGTACAGATGATGTAGTTGAGGATGTGATGATGTAGTTGATGTAGTTGGTGGTAGTGATGATGTAGTTGGAGGTAGTGATGATGTAGTTGGAGGTAGTGATGATGTAGTTGGAGGTAGTGATGATGTAGTTGGTGGTAGTGATGATGTAGTTGGAGGTAGTGATGACATAGTTGGAGGTAGTGATGATGTAGTTGGTGGTAGTGATGATGTAGTTGAAGTTGGCAGGTGATGATGATGATGTAGTTGGAGGTAGTGATGATGTAGTTGGAGGTAGTGATGATGTAGTTGAGGTTAGTGATGACGTAGTTGGAGGTACAGGTGATGCAGCTGGGAGGTAGTGATGACATAGTTGGAGGTTGTGATGATGTAGTTGGAGGTTGTGATGATGTAGTTGGTGGTTGTGATGATATAGTTGGACGTAGTGATGACGTAGTTGGAGGTTGTGATAATGTAGTTGGAGGTAGTGATGATGTAGTTGGTGGTTGTGATGACATAGTTGGACGTAGTGATGACGTAGTTGGAGGTAGTGATAATGTAGTTGGTGGTAGTGATAATGTAGTTGGAGGTAGTGATGCTGTAGTTGGAGGTAGTGGAGGTGTTCTAGTTGTAGGGAGTACCGGTACCTTTGACATAGTTGAGGATAGTATTGACATAGTTACAGGCAGTGATGATGTAGTTGCAGATACAGATGATGTAGTTGGGAGGTAGTGGAGGTGATCTAGTTGTAGGGAGTACGTTTGACATAGTTGCGGATAGGATTGACATAGTTACAGGCAGTGATGATGTAGTTGCAGATACAGATGATGTAGTTGGGAAGTAGTGGAGGTGATATAGGTGCAGGGAACAGTTTTGACATAGTGGCAGATAGTGATGACATAAATGATGGCAGTGATGACGTAGTTGCAGGCAGTGATGACGTAGTTGCAGGGAATGATGACATAGTTGAAGGTAGTGATGACATAGTTGCAGGTAGTGATGACATAGTTGCAGGCAGTGATGACATAGTTGCAGGCAGTGATGACATAGTTGCAGGTAGTGATGACATAGTTGCAGGCAGTGATGACATAGTTGCAGGCAGTGATGACATAGTTGCAACTAGTGATGACATAGCACTGACGTCGCATTTCTGCTGAATTAAGAAGTTACTCATCCTTTAAATTTGTCCTTATCTGACTCTCCAACTTCTTAATATGCCACTCAAAAAGGTTTTTCAGCGTTATACATTTGTATAAGTGTGAGATCTAGTGACCCTCTCAGGAGTTGAGTGCTATTGTTGATAATCCCTTCTCTGAGAAAACTAATTTTATCATTTAGGGAGAGAAGTGAAGAGTGTAAGCAACAAAGATGAACATTTTATCATTCAGATTTATAGGGCATTGGATGAGTGAGTGAGTTTAGTTTTACGCAGCTTTTAGCAATATTCCAGCAATATCATGGCGACAGACAAATGGATCTACCATTGGGATACTTAGATATCAGTTGATGCTACCAATTGTTTAGTAGTTTAGTTAGCCTGTTGTCATTTCAATCCTTAGACACCATGTACAAACATGCATTTTCTCCAGACTGTGATGACCTTGACGGCAACATCCGTGTGTTCGAGCAGCCTGGTCTCATTCAGAATGCAGCTCTAGACAGTAATTTGACCTTGACCTGTGGTGGAAACTTCGGATGTCCAGCAGGTGACATGGATCGCCATGCCAACTGGTCCTATGTGTCTCCACATGGCAAGGTCCATCCCCTTCTGCCTGATGTCGATGATCATTACAGTATTGTCTTCAGTCATGGGTGGGTACAGCAGAGGTCCCTGTGGTTAAAGTGTTTGCTTGTCATGTTGATGGGCAGGTTTTGATTATTCACATGTGTCCAATGTAGTGTTGGGAATTGGTTAAAACCTCATAATTGATGATTGCTTCATTACAACCGATGAATCATTGAAAATAATTGGTTAGCCTCATTTATGAAATTTTCCTGTTTTTTGGGTTTTTTTGTTAATGAAAAAAAAACATAATGAAAAAACATGTAGTTCTTTGGGGTTTTTTGTGTGGCAAATTCACATCTTGAAAGGATTACTACTTAACTAGTATGTTAGGAACATAAAAGATAAATTTAATCATGACTTGGAACAAGCTTGGTAGTGGTTATGAAATGCAACTTACAAAACCAACCGTGTGAAAAATATTGTTAATGCAAAAAAGTGTTCCAGAGTTGTTTGTGTTCAATTATGAGAAAACATGATCGATTGCTTGGTCGTTTAGTCACTGCGACCAATCTTCGATTATTTCAATTAATCGGACCACCACTAGTCCAATGTGTTAAGCTTATTCCATCCATACCTCCCTTGTCCATCTGGCTTCCACGCTTCCCTTTGTGCATAATAAACACAACTAGTGTACTTCAACTTACTTACTAATTATCATGTCCAGGGCTCGATTTAAGAGAGGTTGATCTACTTGCACCAGGTGCAAACTAAGATAAAAACAGCCAAATTCCAGTTGCAACGTAGTGTGTTAAAACGTCAGAGGTTTTGGTGCACATAAACATATTTCTGTGATTTAGTACCCATGAAACCATAGCAACACAGAGACAGCTGATCCCTGTTTACAAGAGCTGTCATAGCCCGAAACGTGTACATGAATAGCAATATTTCAGTGTCATAGCTATTCAAAGATAAAGAAGAAAAATGAGCTGACATATTTATGCTTATAATGTTAGATTTATTGTTGATTTATTTCTCAAAAGTTGACTGCACCTTGTGCAAGTTAAGACTGATAACTAGGTTGCACTTTGTAATATTGCGTTGCACCAGTGCAAGTAACAAAGCACTAAATCGAGCCCTGATCTCATTGTTCATCAAACTCATCAAGTGTATAAACTCAATTCTAATCACAACCAGTGACTCTGTACATCAACCTACTCTGCTGAAATCACCAATTAGATATCCAATGTACATCAACCTTTTCAATTGTATATAACGGTATTCACTATGCAGCAATGTATATATTCTCCCTGTTTCAAATTGTTGTATCACTTGCTTGATAACAGTGTGAGTGCCTATGCTGAAACGTCACACTCATTGCACAGTGAATGTTATACAATGAATGTTCTTGTACAATTCTTGATTCCAGGGTTACAGATACAACAGTTAGCTCTGTACTGACAGTGAATGTTATACAATGTAATTCTTGATTCCAGGGTTACAGATACAACAGTTATCTCTGTACTGACAGTGAATGTTATACAATGTAATTCTTGATTCCAGGGTTACAGATACAACAGTTTTCTCTGTACTGACAGTGAATGTTATACAATGTAATTCTTGATTCCAAGGTTACAGATACAACAGTTAGCTCTGTACTGACAGTGAATGCCATACAATGTAATTCTTGATTCCAAGGTTACAGATACAACAGTTAGCTCTGTACTGACAGTGAATGCCATACAATGTAATTCTTGATTCCAGGTTACAGATACAACAGTTAGCTCTGTACTGACAGTGAATGTTATACAATGTAATTCTTGATTCCAAGGTTACAGATACAACAGTTAGCTCTGTACTGACAGTGAATGTTATACAATGTAATTCTTGATTCCAAGGTTACAGATACAACAGTTAGCTCTGTACTGACAGTGAATGTTATACAATGATACAACAGTTAATTCTTGATTCCAAGGTTACAGATACAACAGTTATCTCTGTACTGACAGTGAATGTTATACAATGTAATTCTTGATTCCAAGGTTACAGATACAACAGTTAGCTCTGTACTGACAGTGAATGTTATACAATGTAATTCTTGATTCCAGGGTTACAGATACAAACAGTTAGCTCTGTACTGACAGTGAATGTTATACAATGTTAATTCTTGATTCCAGGTTACAGATACAACAGTTAGCTCTGTACTGACAGTGAATGTTATACAATGTAATTCTTGATTCCAAGGTTACAGATACAACAGTTAGCTCTGTACTGACAGTGAATGTTATACAATGTAATTCTTGATTCCAAGGTTACAGATACAACAGAGCTCTGTACTGACAGTGAATGTTATACAATGTAATTCTTGATTCCAGGGTTACAGATACAACAGTTAGCTCTGTACTGACAGTGAATGTTATACAATGTTGTTCTTGATTCCAGGGTTACAGATACAACAGTTTTCTCTGTGACAGTGAATGTTATACAATGTAATTCTTGATTCCAAGGTTACAGATACAACAGTTCCAAGGTTACTCTGTACTGACAGTGAATGTTATACAATGTAATTCTTGATTCCAGGGTTACAGATACAACAGTTAGCTCTGTACTGACAGTGAATGCTATACAATGTAATTCTTGATTCCAAGGTTACAGATACAACAGTTAGCTCTGTACTGACAGTGAATGTTATACAATGTAATTCTTGATTCCAAGGTTACAGATACAACAGTTATCTCTGTACTGACAGTGAATGTTATACAATGTAATTCTTGATTCCAGGGTTACAGATACAACAGTTAGCTCTGTACTGACAGTGAATGTTATACAATGTAATTCTTGATTCCAGGGTTACAGATACAACAGTTATCTCTGTACTGACAGTGAATGTTATACAATGTAATTCTTGATTCCAGGGTTACAGATACAACAGTTAGCTCTGTACTGACAGTGAATGTTATACAATGTTGTTCTTGATTCCAAGGTTACAGATACAACAGTTTTAGCTCTGTACTGACAGTGAATGTTATACAATGTAATTCTTGATTCCAAGGTTACAGATACAACAGTTAGCTCTGTACTGACAGTGAATGTTATACAATGTAATTCTTGATTCCAGGGTTACAGATACAACAGTTTTCTTACAGATACAATGTAATTCTTGATTCCAGGGTTACAGATACAACAGTTTTCTCTGTACTGACAGTGAATGTTATACAATGTTGTTCTCAATTCCCGAGTTACAGATACAGACGCTCTGTACTGACATTGAATGGTGTACAATGTAATTAAAGATTTAAAGATATAAAATGTAACACAATGTAATTCTTGATTCCAGAGTTAAAGATACAACAGTTAGCTCTATGCTGACAGTGAATAGAGTGAGAAGTTCGGACTTCAGTAACACTTATATCTGTGATCTGTCAACAAACAAGAATGTATTGACATGGAACCTTACAATACAACAACAAGGTATTTCCAAATTTCTCTGGTTAAATATGAATTTGAATGTGAAACTTAAAAACAGTCGTTCTGTTGTTGTCACAATGAATGTTTGTCGTTTAAGGCTGCACATGGCAATATTCTACTAAGTTAGTAATTTAATCAAATATCAACCTGATAAACAAGTGATTGATATTGTGAGCAAACTTTCACTCAACTGGAGAATGTCGGCACTTAAGACTTTAACCAAGTCAAAACGACATATAGCTATATCTGTATTTCAGCAAAAACTTCACCAGGATGCGATTGTATACAGCGAAATGATGGAAGTGTGTGTACATATATACTAAGCTCACTGGCGCTTATCCCCCATGACAAATGAACAGTCCTTACATGGAATCTCAATCACATGTTTTTCAGCTGTCCAGGAGAAGCTGAACCTGATGGAAATAGCAATCCCTGTTGGTGTTGTCGGGGGATTTGTTGTTCTACTGGGGCTATTAGTGGTTCTGTACTGGTGCTATAAGCCTCAGGTTGACTTCAGATATAACCGAATGCGAGGCAATCTTCCCGTCAGAGGTAAGTTGTCACTTACATACATGCAGTTTCTGTGTGTAAAATTATTTCAAAATATTGCTTGTCTGGTGAGCTAACTTGCCTAAATAGTCATCTGCCAGATTCTTATTTACCTTTCAAAATAACTCTAAAAATCTATCAATGGTAACTCTGCCTATTAAAGATATCAAATTGTTTTCTTATGGTCACGCTTTTCTACAGAAACTGGAGAAATTTTACAAAGAAAGGATCAACTAAGTGATCTGCATAGCAAGTTACAGATACAATTTCAGTACCTCGTCGGGCAAGAGACAAACAGAATCTTTAGGTGAACCAAATTTTCATAGCGAGGGTGGCCCTGGCTATGTAACACACTTGGTGATTTGATAGTTTATATAGGAAACATTTATAAATAGTAAACTTAAAATAAAATTAACACGAGTATCTGTAAACATGTAAATGTCTGTGCTGTTTACAGATATCATGGAATCACATTTAATTTAAAAAACACATTAAGGGACCTACACATAGTGAAAACCAATTAGTTGCAGCTATTAAACAAGAAACCAGGTTAATGTTTTACAGGAAAATAGTTTCTACATTCAGTTGTCTGACCACCTGCATAACTTAGTGACTTATTCATCAATCGGGGGGGGGGTACCCTAATGGATAAAGCATTGGCTCGTCACGCCGAAAACCGGGGTTCGAATCCCCACATGGGCACAATGTGTGAAGCCCATTTCTGGTGTCCCCCGCCGTGATGTTGCTGGAATATTGCTAAAAGCGGCGTAAAACCAACTCAGTCAGTCAGTCATCAATCCTGGGCCCCATTCCACAAACCGATTGTAACTGTTGTAAGGAGGACTGAGTATTGCACCAAATTTTGTATCGCGATATATTGCGATACACTTAACCTGTATTGCAATACGTATTGCAATATATTGGCGAAATGAGGACCCAAGAGAATTTTGGCAAATTTGACAGTTTTTCCTTAATTATTTTCAAGTTTCAATGCTTCAAAATGATTCGATCAAACATTATATTTTCTGCTTTCAGGTTTAATAAAAATAACTACAAACATACCTGTAAATCATTGTAAAATGATTTATTGAAAATAAATAAACAAACATAAAGCACTTCTCAGTTCTCACTGGTCGGTTTTCTTTCCAAACACTTGGGCGCATACTATCTGAATCAGCTCCTAAATTCACAGAATGAAAGTTCAAATTAGCACCATTCTTTAAACTGAGTAATATACTGAAGAGTCCATAACTTGACTGTGACATGACATGACATGACATGACTTGACAGTGACATAACATGACTTACCTTGTCAGTGAAAAAATAGTGCAAATATCAGCTTTGGCGCGTTTATTGTCGACAAGCAGAAATTCTTCCTCTGCAGACAATTTGGGGAGGTTACTCTTTCATAACCAATATATTGCTTCAGTAAAAACATATCGCGATATTCGTATTGCAGGTTCGAAACCAGTAAAAACTGGTATACCGGTGTAGCAGGCCATTTCTTCTCCAGTCTAAACTTTCCCCGGGGAGGTTTTGTCCTAGGATATTCTTACCCCGGGGAAAGTTTGGGCTAGGCTAAAGTTTCCCCCCCTAGGCCAAACTTCACCCCCTGTGTAAACTAAGGTATTTTGTTCTGTTTTCTATGAAAAGTGGGAAGATTCTGGCCTACCTAGGCTACTTCTTCCCCACCCTTGCTCCTATGTCAACGTCACGATATGGCTGAAATATTGCCGATGTGATGTTAAATAATAACTCACTCACTCACTCACTCTTATGTCAAATGGGGGAGATTCTGGCCTACCTAGGCTACTTCTTCCCCACCCTTGCTCCTATGTCAACGTCACGATATGGCTGAAATATTGCCGATGTGATGTTAAATAATAACTCACTCACTCACTCACTCTTATGTCAAATGGGGGAGATTCTGGCCTACCTAGGCTACTTCTTCCCCACCCTTGCTCCTATGTCAGCGTCCGCGATATGGCTGAAATATTGCCGATGTGATGTTAAATAATAACTCACTCACTCACTCACTGTTATGTCAAATGGGGGAGATTCTGGCCTACCTAGGCTACTTCTTCCCCACCCTTGCTCCTATGTCAACGTCACGATATGGCTGAAATATTGCCGATGTGATGTTAAATAATAACTCACTCACTCACTGTTATGTCAAATGGGGGAGATTCTGGCCTACCTAGGCTACTTCTTCCCCACCCTTGCTCCTATGTCAACGTCACGATATGGCTGAAATATTGCCGATGTGATGTTAAATAATAACTCACTCACTCACTCACTCTTATGTCAAATGGGGGAGATTCTGGCCTACGTAGGCTACTTCTTCCCCATCCTTGCTCCTATGTCAACGTCACGATATGGCTGAAATATTGCCGATGTGATGTTAAATAATAACTCACTCACTCACTCACTCTTATGTCAAATGGGGGAGATTCTGGCCTACCTAGGCTACTTCTTCCCCATCCTTGCTCCTATGTCAACGTCACGATATGGCTGAAATATTGCCGATGTGATGTTAAATAATAACTCACTCACTCTTATGTCAAATGGGGGAGATTCTGGCTTAGCTAGGCTACTTCTTTCCCATCCTTGCTCTTATAAACCAACAGTAGTTTTGACTTATATTTTGGTACAAATTTTTGCCAAATAGTCCATTTTTGCCTGTGACTTGGGTGGAGTGATTTGAATGCATTCATGTTTGAACGTCATATATCTCTACATCCACCCTGCTCCCGCATTAGTTCTTCATCTGTCCAAATCATGTCACCATAGGATGTAAACATTCAATCGAACATTTGATGGGTAAATAAGATGTAATATACACAGGTTGCTTTCTCTCTTATCATGCTGTTCGTTATCTAATATTTGTTGTATTTATGTATAAATGTAATGGAACATTATTCACATAAGCTTGTTTACTAATCCATAATCACTTTTGGCGAATGAAATATGATTCAGATAGCCATGGGCCAAGTATACCCCTTATCAAACCTTGTCTTTTGAATATAGAATAAGGCAATATAGTGGATGATAGATGATACAGCTTTTGATATAGATATTGTGTTGGGTTGTTGTTGTTGTGTTGATGTTTACATCTGCTTCCAACTGTCAAGTTGATGTCGCTGACATGGATGCCATATTTAAAGCCATTAGTGAGGGAATAAAATTTCAAATGGATATGGACATCCAAGTAAAAACTGGGTATTTGGTTAAAGTTTCGAATATAGTAATGATTTTGACATAAGCCAATTTTGAGTAAGTGGGGATAAGTAAATTATTGAAAAATAAAAATAAGTAAATGATAATATAAAACAATAGTAATGATATAATATCTTTGCTTTTATGCTTGCTTTTCTTTTTAATCTCACCTCATAGAAGGGTATTGAAACAAAATGGGAACCATGTACATGTTACATATGAAGATGAAGATGACCTGTAAATTGTTAATGGAACTTGACATCAACATGAATATCTTATCAATGTGTTCACGTGAATAGCTATGTCTTGTTTTCGTTTTTGACTTTTTCAAGATGAACATAAACATGAAAATAAGGTTGGGGAAGAAATAGTCTAGCTTGGCCAAAATTCTCCCTTTTGATATAAGAACAAGGGTTTGAAAAAAGTAGCCTTTAAAGTTGATTCAAGGGTGGGAAAGTTTGGCCTAGGCTAATGTTTCCCCAGCGAAGGGGAAGGTGTCTTGAACTTTACAAAAATACATTTTCTAAAATGGAAGCTGCTGGCTGATTTGGTTAGATTGCTGACTTTGTGTGTTTTCAATTAAGTGCCTGACTAGTGTGGGTTTGAATTCCGTATGGGACTCAACCTAACAAAGGTACTAGAATCTGTGGTTCACTGAGAAAGTGTAATCCCACAGATAGCATGTTTCTGGAACTATCAAATATTGTAGGTACCTCAAGGGGCTTGATTTTTATTAGTTTATGAGTAAAATTAAAATATTTTTCAAAATAGTTGAAAGTTTAGGACATAAATAGGACATGACACATTTAGCAATATTCCAGCAGTATCACGGATGGTGACAGCAGAAATCCCACATTGTAGCAGGGACCACTCAGGTACCCCACTGCCCCCATAAAGATTAAGAACCAGCGAGATTATGGAGCACAGTGGGTGGTCAGTGGTTGGAATGTGCTGGGGTAAACAAAACCTGTCACATCTACAAGTCAGGGGAGGGCGGCCATGTTACATGTTAATGGGGATGGATCAGCATGATTAGTGAGGTGAGGTGAAATTGGGTTTTACGTCGTGCTTGAGAATATTTCGCTCATATGACGACGTGCATGCGTGTGTATGTGTATGTGCGGCTGCTTGTACTAGCCCAGACTTAAGCTGGTTTTATAGTGCTAGCCCACTGAGATACCATGCTGCACTGAAACATGAATACCCCACTCAGACACATTATACTGACTCCGAGCCGACCAGTCCTTGTTGTACCCATTAATGCCGAGCGCCAGGCAGTGACCAACAAGTACCATATTTTAACGTCTTTTGGTATGACGCGGTCAGGGATCGAACCCGTGACCTTCCGCACTCCGGGTGGACGCTCTTAACCACTACACCACGGAGGCGGTCCAGCATGATTAGTACTATGAGTATGACCAGTGGTGATTAACAAATGACCAGTCCCTAATCAATCTAACCAGTTTTAGTTGGTACTGATATACTGATATACACTTTGCTTTCAAAATGTTCATTTGTTCTGTAAATTATTACAAAGCATTAACACATTAAGGGACCGTTCTTAATTTATGGCTGGGGGATGTGGATGGGGGTGGGAGGGTTTCACCCATTTATTCTGTTCTGCGGAGGTAGGTGGGGTCATCAATTTGGTACACATGTACTAGGGGTGGGGGTGAGTAATTTTGAACATAAAAATATAGAAAAAATTTTGCTTAATAAATATGGGAAGGGGTTGGGGGGTTCATTTACTTTGTACATAACTGTTAGGGGGGTCAGTCATATTGTACATGCTTCTACGTAAAAACAATCATCACCCCCAACCCCCAACCCCCAGCCATAAATTATGAACAGTCCCTAATTATCAATATGTAGTGGTATTATCCGAAATGGAATGTTTTTAATTTAAAAATCTTTGAGAATTTTTTCAGAAAAATACAAGATTTCAGTTGATGAGTGATTGTTATGAACAAAATCAAACCAATTGTGACCACTGATCGATTTTGAAATCCTACCTGGTTCTGAACCGTGTTTGATTCCAGGGCCGAATGAGGAGCATTATCACGACACTGCTGTAGTACACAGTGATTCTGAAAAGATTGCTGACTTTGTGGAGGAGGAAATTCGAAAGCCTCTACAGGATGATGGCTATGATGTGTTCACTAAAGCATGCACTCAGGAGGGCGCAGGTCAGTGTTTACATTACAAAGTGGGAAAATGAATATTGGGTCGTATATATTTCACCTATGTCATGTTTTTGTTACACAGTAAATGGCTTTTCACTCAAGATTCTCCAATACATCCAATCATATATAATATTATCAGCTGATATACACACTTGTATGTTAACACACTCTTACCTGTATGTTTACTCTCTTCACCGTAAGTTTAAACACTCACAGTATGTGTACACACTTACCTGTCTGTTTACACTCTTATCTGTATGTTTACGCTCTTACCTGTATCTTTACTCTCATACCTGTATTGTTACACTCTCACCTTTATGTGTACGCTCTTACCTGTATCTTTACACTCTTACCTGTATGTTTACTCTCTTCACCGTAAGTTTAAACACTAACGGTATGTGTACACGCTTACCTGTCTGTTTACACTCTTATCTGTCTGTCTGTTTACACTCTTACCTGTATCTTTATACTCTTACCTGTATGTTTACGCTCTTACCTGTATCTTTACACTCTTACCTGTTTTGTTACGCTCTCACCTGTATGTTTCCATTCTTTTATGTATCTTTATGCTCTTACCTCTTATGTGTACACACACTTACCTGTCTGTTTACACTCTTATCTGTCTGTTTACACTCTTGCCTGTATCTTTACACTCTCACCTGTATCTTTACACTCTTACCTGTATTGTTACACTCTCACCTGTATGTTTCCATTCTTTTATGTATCTTTATGCTCTTACCTGTATGTTTACACTCTTACCTGTATGTTAACACTCTTACCTGTCTGTTTACACTCTTATCTGTATGTTTACGCTCTTACCTGTATCTTTACTCTCATACCTGTATTGTTACACTCTCACCTTTATGTGTACGCTCTTACCTGTATCTTTACACTCTTACCTGTATGTTTACTCTCTTCACCGTAAGTTTAAACACTAACGGTATGTGTACACGCTTACCTGTATGTTTCCATTCTTTTATGTATCTTTATGCTCTTACCTGTATGTTTACACTCTTACCTGTATGTTTACACTCTTACCTGTCTGTTTACACTCTTATCTGTATGTTTACGCTCTTACCTGTATCTTTACACTCTTACCTGTATGTTTACACTCTTACCTATATCTTTACACTCTCACCTGTGTCTTTACACTCTTACCTGTATTTTTACGCTCTTACCTGTATCTTTACTCTCTTACCTGTATTGTTACACTCTCACCTGTATGTTTCCATTCTTTTATGTATCTTTATGCTCTTACCTGTATGGTTACGCTCTTACCTGTATGTTTACACTCTTACCTGTATGTTTACGCTCTTACCTGTATGTTTACACTCTTACCTGTATGTTTACACTCTTACCTGTATCTTTACACTCTTACCTGTATGTTTACACTCTTACCTGTATCTTTACACTCTTACCTGTATGTTTATGCTCTTACCTGTATCTTTACTCTCTTGCCTGTATCTTTACACTCTTACCTGTATTGTTACACTCTCACCTGTATGTTTCCATTCTTTTATGTATCTTTACGCTCTTACCTGTATGTTTACACTCTTACCTACATGGGGCGGTGGGATAGCCTAGTGGTTAAAGCGTTGGCTCGTCACGCCAAAGACCTGGGTTCGAATCCCCACAAGGGTACAGTATGTGAACCCCCATTTCTGGTGTTCCCCATCGTGATTTTGCTGGAATATTACTAAAAGCGTTGTAAAACCAAACTCAGTCCGTCAGTCTTACCTACATATTTATGCTCTTACGTGTATCTTTACACTCTTACCTGTATTGTTACACTCTCACCTGTATTGTTACAATCTTACCTGTATGTTTACGCTCTTACCTGAATCTTTACGCTCTTACCTGTATTGTTACACTCTCACCTGTATGTTTCCATTCTTTTATGTATGTTTATGCTCTTACCTGTATGGTTATGCTCTTACCTGAATGTTTACACTCTTACCTGTATCTTTACACTCTTACCTGTATGTTTATGCTCTTACCTGTGTGTTTACACTCTTACCTGTATCTTTACACTCTTACCTACATGGGACGGTGGGATAGCCTAGTGGTTAAAGCGTTGGCTCGTCATGCCAAAGACCCCGGGTTCGAATCCCCACAAGGGTGCAATATGTGAAGCCCATTTCTGGTGTTCCCGGCCGTGATGTTGCTGGAATATTGCTAAAAGCGTTGTAAAACCAAACTCAGTCAGTCAGTCTTACCTACATATTTATGCTCTTACCTGTACCTTTACACTCTTACCTGTATCTTACGCTCTTACCTGTATGTTTATGCTCTTACCTACATATTTACACTCTTACCTGTATCTTTACACAGTTATCTGTTTACCTGTGTGTTTAACACTTACCTGTATGTTTACACTTACCTGTATATTTAAACACTCATGGTATGTTTACGCTCTTACCTGTATGTTTACACTCTTACCTACATATTTACGCTCTTACCTGTATCTTTACACTGTTATCTGTTTACCTGTGTGTTTAACACTTACCTGTATGTTTACACCCTTACCTGTGTATTGTTTCACTGCAGATTCATGCCCAGTACAGATGTTTCAGTGGGGATTTGTGACTAGTAAAGTTGTTTTACTGTCTGTTCTGTTGTATAATAGGTGAGATGGAGCAAGTTGATGCAATCGGATACAGTATGGGTGTCATTTTGGTCCTGAATGCAGCTGAGGTGACAAGCAGCGAAATGCAGTATCTCATGGCCACTGCAATAGAGTGCCATGGCACACGAATGGTGGTAATTGACATGAAGGAAAAAGAATCCACTCATACCTGGAAGGACAAGGTTGATGAAAGCTTTCTCAATGCATTGCCCAAAATTCTGAAAACAGTCACGTGGCACGGATCAAAGACCATGAGCAGACGACAGAAGGACAATTTGTTGTACACCATCAAATCCCATCTCCCAGAACCAGGTGGAAAACGCCTGCAAGATGAGTGCACGACGAGTGACTTCAGCCAGAGACAGCTTAGTAATTCCAGCACTGCACCACTTATACCAGGAGGTGATCAATCTGTTTCTTTACTGTCTCAAACTAAAATTGAAATGGAAGAGTCAAAGTCGGAACATCCAGACTTTGAGGGCGGTGAAGTTGATGATGATGTGTTCAGTAATGATATGCCATCTGGAGGCATTCCAAAGAATAGGCCGCCATTGCATCGTTCTGATCGCGTCTCAAGCAATAGTCAGTTTGTGAAACAATTATCAGATGACAGTGGCTATGCAAAGTCTCCTTGTGTTGGCTCAGATGAATGCACCAGAGTTGCTTTCAAAGATACATCCCAAAACGTCTCGGCTAAGGAGTCCCCTAGGGTCATACATGCAGTTGATGGCTAATTTGAACATCATCATAAGACAAAACTTTCTAAGACATATTCCCCTTCTCCACATAAGTCCATTGTATTTTTCATGCAATTGTTCATAACATACAATGGATAAAACAGGGTTTTAATTCGACTCACAAACAGGGGGGTTCTGAGGACCCCCAATTATTAATTTCAAGGGTCCTTGTCGGTGTTCATACAAACGAGTGGCGTCAGTACACAACACAAGGCTCCTGTGAAGTAATGATGTAGAGAACTCTATGGTTTGATAATTTCTTTAGAGCATGTAATGAATCATTGATTTTATGGACTGATGAAGGAAATAATGCATGTATAGTCTGTTTTGCTCAAAAACGGACCGATGAATTGCAATCTAACTCGAAAACTACTAAACATATAGTACTATATAACACTGATCATAATCAAAACGTCAGACCAACTCTTTGATTTTTTTTCAGAATTTATGTCCTAAAAATAAAAAAAGTTGTTTAACAAACTATCATATAAAATCTTGACACAGTTCACTATTTATTACGAGGGAGGGGTGCAAAGAGAGGAACAGACAGGTGTGCAAGTAAGGATGGAGACGGCACAGCACAGGTTAATGAACCAATGACTTTGTCGGTACTTGTGCACGTGCTTCGCGTACACATGGCTGTTCCTCCCTTTGCAGTCCTCCCTCGTAACAAATAGTGAACTATGTCAAAATTTTAATGATGGTTTGTTAAACAAATTTTTTTTTCCTTTTAGGTCATAAATTCTGCACAAAAATCACCGAGTTGGCCTGACGTTATGATTATGATCAGTGTTTCACTGAGTATTCTTTGTTTAGTTGTTTTCGAGTTAGATTGCAATTCTTCGGTCCGTTTTTGAGCCAAACGGACGATAACTGCTCTGAAAGAAAAAAACAAAAGTCATAGATGTGTTGTGGCTACAGATACTAATATTGTGCGTGAAATTTTTTCTGTGTCAATTCTCTCCATTCGTGCGTAGTGGACACACATTTGCCCATCACACAAAACCCTGATAAAAGTAGATTAAACTCCACTCATGTGGTGTCATATGACTTCCACTGACCAATCAGCATCTTGGTTTTGTTATCAGTTGGTTTCTGTATCTGTAAAACTCCAATAAGATAGTGACTCCCAGTTGACAGTTTTCTTATTACCTGATCTAGCAATGAAACCACAAATTGTATCAATGCATGCCCTAACACAAGATACTGACCTCACTGACCTCACCAAGACAGCATTTGTAAATAACTGTGCAAGATCTGGGCTATTATGATATGGAATTACAGTGATTATTTTATATGTTACTTACACCTACTGATGAAACACTGAATGAAAGTGTCTATCATTTTGGGGCTGTCAACCAAGAGACAAAATTCTGTAAAGGAAATGATAATAATAGGAACTGAAAATTAACCCGTTCACTCACTACAAATCACTCACTCACTCAGTAGATGTAGGATGAAGGATACTGAGTTAGTAAAATACATATATTTACACCATGAACATAGTGGACCACCTGCCAGCTTGTTTTTAGAAATTGAATAGCAGTGAACATACCTAGTTAAACATCAATTACATGACAACTCCCTGCAGTTACAACAATTATATAAGCATGTGTTCTGTACAAAATCTGTATACAAGAAGACACAGCATGTAATGTGAATATAAGTCTTATACCATATGTACAGGGTCCATATAAAGGTTATTTACATGATGGGCTGGGTGTTGATCCAGGGGTGTTTAATGGAACATGCTAAAAGACACCAATTATCACAGACATTTTTCCTTATTGTCTCAGTTTGGGGATTGCATCTCTAGATGACAATCCTGTCGATAATTACACATGTCCAAGTCACAAATAGACCTGATCAGATGGAATACAGTGAACTCCAGTTATAACAAACCCAGAGACCAATAATATTTGTTTTTTTATAACCATAGTTCATTATACACGATTTAAGTGTTTGCTCTTCACACCAAAGATCAGGATTCGAGTCCCCACATGGGTACAATGTGTGATGCCAATTTCTGGCATCCCCTGCTGTGATGTTGCTGGAATATTGCTAAAAGCAGCTTAAAACCAAACTCACTCACTCATATGAATTTCAACTTAAATGTACAGTAACTGGCCAGGACAAAAAAGGTAGATCGTTTTATATGTCAGTTTGTTTTGAAAGTGTTCGTTATAAACATAGTAGACTGTATGTGGCACAATGTGAATTCATGTAGAATATTTTTCACAAATAACGCAAATGCTTTCATATATTGCAGATTTTTCTACCACAGTAATTTGAGGGAGACAGCGAAGCAGTGGTGAGATCTGCATGAACTAATGTGTTGTGGATCATAAGCATATATCATTTTCACTTTTTGGTTCACAGATGCACCAACTGTCCGAGTTGTCTCATTTTGTATATTATTGTTTTACGTTGCTCTGTTTCTCGTGCTAATTCTGAACACGTTAGGGCTGGTTATCGATATAAATCATAAAGATTGATAATCGTTATCTAAATATAGACTGATTATCGAAAAAATATCAGAGGCGAAAGCTTGAGCAAAAATGTTTTTAAGAAATGAATATATTTCACATCACTGGTGAGTGGTGACATTTTGGGGTAAGAATTATTAACAAAACAACGTCCTAAACATAATTTAGAAGCAGACCATGAATAAAGTGATAAATTTGTATATTGTGTGAGAACAACAATTTTTTCTATCACAAAAGTTAAAGTACGATATTATCGATAACACAATTTTCATATTGATAATCATTAATTATCCTTTCTATCGCTGATATTTCTGATAATCGATCATTTTAACCAGCCCTAGAACATATGAATAATTAGTCATACTACCGGGTATGAGCTTTTTTTGGTTAAATATTGTGAAAGTCATTTCTGCTCCAATGTGTCATGTATCATACTTCTGACAATCAAACAATCCACATTTTAAGATGCTGAATAAATAACTTCAGAAAGCTAAATATATTGTTCAAGATTTGTTTCATTCAAATGATAAGATAATATATCCCCTACATTTGGTAAAGGCTTGCTATGCCTTCGCATGTGTTTGTGAAGAGTGCCATCAGTAGGACAGGATTCATTCTCCTTCTTGTGAACATGTATCACTATTTGAGATTTTTTATTTTGAGATTTTTACTTTTGTTTTTCTACAGAGTCTACATTGATTTTAGAAACCTTATTTCATCTTCAGCATTGACTGTCCTGGACTAGATATGCTCACTCTCTTCTGAAAGAAGGAGCCCACCATTTCATGTTCTGGGATTTCTTGATAAAAGAAATTGTCAGGTTTTACAATAAAAGAAAGTCCAAAAAACAGTGAAATTCCTGAAAAAATGAGTGGAAGTTAGAAATAGAACTTTTCCTCAAAATATCAGCTCTTTCTCTCTTGAAATAAGGCTCTGACATTTCATATTTTGGACTTTTTGAAACCAAACTCTGTTCCAGAGATTGCGGGAAAAATCTTCCATAAGACATGCTGGAATTCCTCAAGGATGATATGTCGAGGTCAAAAAGAAATGTTTGGCTCCTCAGTTTGGAGACAAATATTTCTTCTCATGAAGGGCTTCCTATAGATATAAAGGATTTCCAAGTGCCTGGTATCCAAAGAGAAGCTGTTCAGACTAATTTAAAATGAAAATTGCTGCTCCATAAATGTGAAATATGATAGTTATGATGCTTTCTTGCTTTTGGATTGTTCTAATTATATCGAGACAACATGACTGTTGTTCCAAAGCCGCCATTTAATTTTCTTGAAAAGGGGTCCAGGATTATTGTTTTTGGAGAAAGAGCTTGGAAATATGATATTTTTGGATCCATAACATTATTTTTATGAATGTCCTGCATTTATGAGAAAACAATGTCATGGTCAACGCCTCGTCCGTTCATCTGTCCGACATCATTTTGTTTCCGGAGCTTAAATAAAAAAATGTTCAATTTTTTTTTCAACAAAAATTGGTAGATCTATCAAACAGAACCTAAAGTGGTGCCTTTTGTTATTTACAAATTTTGGGCATTTTATTCTTCTTGATTTCCATTAGTAGTGGTCCGATTAATTGAAATAATCAAAGATTGGTCGCAATGACTAAACGACCAAGCAATCAATCATGTTTTCTCATAATCGAACACAAACAATTTTGGATCACTTATTCGCATCAACAAAGTTGGTTTTGTCTGTTACATTTCATAAGCACTACAAGCTTGCTCCTTGTCATGATTGAATCTATCTTAAAGACTCCAGGAAATTTATGTTCCTAACATACTAGTCATCCTTTAAAGATGTGACATTTGTCATGCATTTTGTGCAATTTGTAAAACCCCTGAAAGAACTACGTTTTTTTCTATATTTTTTGTGCATTAACAAACATATCCAGGAGATTTTGATAAATGACGCTGACCAATTATTTTCGATGACTGATCAGTTGTAATGAACCAATCATCAATTGTGAGATTTTAACCAATTCCCTACACTAATTTCCATGGAAACAAGTGGGACTTTGTCTAAAAAAGGGGGTGGATTTAGTTTCCAGAGCATAACAAAAACGCTCAATATCTAATAACAAAACTTACCAGATATATCAAACAGATCCCAAAGTGGTTCCTTTTGGTATTTGCAGATTTTTGGCATTTTTATTTTTCTTGCTTTCCATGGAAACGATTTGGACTTACTCTAAAAAAATTGGACTTAGTCTTAAGTTGGACTTTAAGTAACTGTCAGATGATTTGTTCTTTCAAATTTGCGGGGGCCGGGGTGATGTGTCATCTTCTGATGACTCTTGCTTTATTGATTTTTAAATCCAGCATGCCAATTAAATAGTCAAACGCCTTGTCTGCAGACACAGGTACAACCTTCAACCTGTAACATCATGCAGAAATAGTCACTTCCAGGACAGTTGCAGTCAAACACTAGGATCCTACAGAAATACAGACCCCCACCCCACCCACCACTGTCACCCTCACCCCAACCCACCTATCCCCCTCTCACACCACTGTCACCCTCACCCCAACCCACCCACTGTCACCCTCTCACACCACTGTCACCCTCACCCCAACCCACCTATCCCCTCTCACACCACTGTCACCCTCACCCCAACCCACCCCCCCACCCACACTACTGTCACCCTCACCCCAACCCACCCAGCCCCTTCTCACACCACTGTCACCCTCATCCCAACCCCTCTCACTCCAATGTCACCCTCACCCCAACCCACCCAGCCCTTCTCACACCACTGTCACCCTCATCCCAACCCTCTCTACCCTCCAATGTCACCCCTCATCTCAACCCACCCAGCCCCTCTCATACCACTGTCACCCCTCATCCAAACCCCTCTCACCCAATGTCACCCCTCATCCCAACCCACCCAGCCCTCTCATACCACTCTCATCCCAACCCATCCCAACCCACCCAGCCCCTCTCACCCAAATGTCACCCTCATCCCAACCCACCCACCCCCTCTAACACCACTGTCACCCTCATCCCTACCCACCCAGCCCCCTCTCACCCCAATGTCACCCTCACCACAACCCACCCACCCCCTCTCACACCACTGTCACTGTCAATGTTTAAACATTACATGTATATATTGTTTTCTCTAACAAGATGACTGCAGACATCCTGCGAATTGTTTTTCGTTTTAGAACAAATAACTGGATAAACACATGAATGTTAGAAGCAAACCAGTTGTCTGTTGACTTACACCGTGGATGCTTTCAACTTGAAGAGATGAAAATCGAGACTAAATCTACAAAAGAAAGAACTGTTATGCAGTGATGTTTCCTCTCTATATTCTGTTTATATAAAAAAAATGGCAACAAAAAGTTATACAAACACATTCATTAGATCAGCTGTATTAACGAGATTGTGTGTCATAGTTTATTGAACCTTTTAGGAGAACATGTGAGGGGTTCACCCTCACTTAGCCAGAATCTACCCAAAAAGGTATAACTTGTTTGAGTGGCATTTTAGGAGGTTGAGACGTACAATATAGGACGAGTTTTTATAGATGGCAACTTCTTTATTTTGTAAGTGCAGTGTTTTAATACTCATAGAAATTTAGTGTACCTGTAATATATACTGAGGACAGTGTGTTTTTATTAATGGAACATTATCAAAAGAATTAACTATTACTGCAGGGGTTCCTCAAGGATCTGTCAGGTCGATTTTTGTTCCTTGTATATATCAATACTTTACATGAAAATTTATAAAATATCACAAGAATGTTTGCCGATGAATCGGTGTTGCGAGAAAATATGTAAAGTCGACAGAAGCTACTCTCAACTAAGACTTAGCCCAATTGAATAAATGGGCAGAAAACAGAATATGTCTTTGTCCTCTGTTCATTGTCCATTACATGTGGGCGTGGAGGTCAAGAGTGTTCACCTGGTTAATCGTATGAGTTTGCCGTCTTCCAGAGATGACTTTGTAGAGCCTTGTCTCACAAACAGTGTAATTTTCTTCGCCATCTTCTGTCATATTTAAACTAACACATAATAAACAGATTCACACACAGCAAGTCGTTTGTGTCAGTGTTTTAACTGTTACATGATATATGACACTCACAGTGAGTGGGTGAGTTTAGTTTTATGCTGCACTCAGCAATATTCCAGCCATATGGTGGCGGTCCGTAAATAATCGAGTCTGGACCAGACAATCCAGTGATCAACAGCATGAGCATCGATCTGCTCAACTGGGAACCGATGACATGTTTCAGCCGAGTCAGCGAGCCTGACCACTCGATGGGTCTTCTTGGGTCTGACACGCACAGACGTGCGTAGTGGGGTATCCCTTGGTCATATATTCAGGTATTATCTGAGACCCTCATAGGATGTAACTACTTGTGATTGAGAAAACAAGGACTGGAGTACACCACTGCTAAGTTGGGTTTTCATGTTAAAACATCTGCAAGGTTCATGAAATATCTCACACAACAAACTGTCAAAAAAGTGGAGACAGAAGTTTTACCTTTTAATTAAATAGGAAAACATCACAGCACTCATGTTTCTTGAAGCATGACCAACATCTTGACTCTTTGGAGCGTCTTGTTAATTATTACTTGGATTATAGATATAGTGAGTGAGTGAGTTTAGTTTTACGCCGCACTCAGCAATATTCCAGCTATATGGCGGCGGTCTGTAAATAATCGAGTCTGGACCAGACAATCCAGTGATCAACAGCATGAGCATCGATCTGTGCATGTGTCAACCAAGCCAGCGAGCCTGACCACCCGATCTCATTGGTCGCCTCTTGCGACAAGCATGGGTTACTGAAGATCAATATTCTAACCCAGACCTTCACGGGTAGGGCTATAGATATACCCATGGAAGTTCACAATCTTGATCAATTCATTTTTTTTTCTAGTCTCACCGGATGTTGAAAAAAACAATTCCTACTTTGTAAATGGAGAAGGGAGTAAAAATCTGTCAGACCTATGATTCCCCATAACCCTTTTTCTTTCATCTTTAGAATGTTTTACTAAAACTCATTTAAGGAGGGTTAATTTTAGAACAACATCTTTTGGATTGTTTCTTTTGATCTTTAGTTAGACAACCATCGCTATGGCCTTCAAACCCACTCAAATTGTTCACAAATAATCACAAAACCGAGGCCTCAAGATGTCCTGTTCATGTCAGCCATATAAGTAATACTGTATTTTAACCATTTTGTGTCGCATCAACTATTCTTGTCCAGTATGTCGTCGATATCTTGTATGAGTTTGTTCGTTTGCAGGAGAGCATGTCTCACTGAACTAAATCCATCCAACATTTCCATAGTGCGCTTATCACTCGATCCCACTGGATGAAGCTGGTTGCCTGGATACATCATGCTAGGTGGAATATGATTGGATGATAGTCTAGAGGTCATCGGCACCGGAGCAGTGTAATGTACAGATACTGATGGATGATTGTTGCTCATTGGGTGTGGATATATCGTTGAATGCCATGAACTTGATGTTAACTGGTCTGTGATTGGCTGAGCAGGTGTCTGACTGTCCATAATAGGACGGAACTGATTGGACATTACAGATTGTTGTACATGTATACTGTTTGCTGCAGATGTCAGGCTTTGATATTGTGGTGCAGATTCCAAGCTGTTGTAACCATGGTTACTTCCCAAGGTGTCAACTGTACCACTGTTCCCTGGACCAACCTTGCGGGCCGCTGGTTGTAGGACGGTGTTCTCCACAATGTCTGATGTCAGGTCAAGGATGTTCACCAATGAGGGAATAAAGGCATGAATTTTATGGATGTCAACTTGTGAACAAATAAGAAGTTGACATCCATAAATTCTTGCATTTATGTGTATCACTTCTAAATGCCCTTCAGACTCAATCAGTGAATAGATCTGCACATAGTAGTGGTGGTCCAATTAATTGAAATAACCAAAGATTGGTCGCCACCAACGACCAAGCAATCAATCATGTTTTTTCATAATCGAACACAAACAATTTTGAAACACTTGTTTGCATTAACCACATTTTTCACAAGGTTGGTTTTATCTGTTACATTTCATAAGCACTACAAGCTCGTTCATTGTCATGATTGAATTTATCTTAAAGACTTGAGGAAATTTATGTTCGTAACATATTAATCATCCTTTAAGATATGAAATTTGTAAATGCATTTTTAAATTTGCTTTTTTAAAATATTTTTTTAGCATTAACAAACATAACAAGGAGAATTTGATAAATGACGCTAACCAAGTATTTTCGATGATTGATCGGTTGTAATTAACCAATCATCAATTGTGAGATTTCAACCAATTCCCAACACTAGCACAGCACACAACGCTTAAACCTTTACCACAAATACACAGTAAATATTTCAGCAATAAATGTATTATATTTCCTGATCATTTATCATAATAAAATATACAATATGTTATTTTAACTTGCACCCAGTATCTCTGCAAGGATACAGTTGAAACAGTTTATCTTCTGAAGCTCCAAGGCTGCTGACCTGAAAATACGTGAGAATATAGTCAATAGCATGAGCGACGAGCAACACCTTGTGGGAAGAGCGCCATGCACTCAGCCAAGACATACACTGTAAACACTGATCCAGGATTTGTACAGAATATTATCCATCAAAGTTAAGGTCATTTAAAGAGCTTTCAAGGCCTGATTTAACAGTGTTCAGGAACTATAGGAACACATAGGTAGTTGAATACGGACAGGGTTTGTCAAATGTGTGACCAATCATTAGAGGGAAGTAACTCTTAGCTTCATCGATGCTCTGGGAAGGTTTTGTGGCGATGAAGATTAGTTTACACCTACTGTCATTGTTGGCATTTTTATTATGTATTAGTTTCCTGTAAAATCATAACTTGACAATATTTGCTAAATATAGGACTGTTTTAGAGCAAATTAGTGCCTTTTAATGGTTAAAACAAATAAAATATCCAAATTTCAGACTTTTGCAAACCCTGTGATCCCATGACAATGAGTTCAACATTACATTCTTGTCCATTTTGTTCAGAAAACAGGAAATTCATATTTTAACTGCAACAAAGTTTGCTCCTATAAATGCTTAAATTCAATTATGTTACAAGAACTGTGTTCACCAGCTTCATAGGAACTGCAGCCAATCAACAAGCAAATATAAAAAGACTGACTAGAATGCAACCATTTTCTGGTCTATCATGAATCCAACACCAGGACCAGTCCTTGATGCTTGTAACTTATGACTGAACTTTCAAAACAGCAGACACAAATTTCTGTCTTGACATCCACACATTTACTTTAGTCTGATGACAGAAAACTTGTTTTGTTTCTTGTCTAATGTCGCACACAGCAACATTCCAGCTGTGTTAAAACTGGGACAACAACCCAGCCAAGACCAGACAACCCAGTCTAGACCAGACAACCCAGCCAAGACCAGACAACCAAGTCTAGACCAGACAACCCAGTCTAGACCAGACAACCTAGCCCAGACCAGACAACCTAGCCCAGACCAGACAATCCAGTCCAGACCAGACAACCTAGCCCAGACCAGACAAACCAGTCCAGACGAGACAATCTAGTCCAGACCAGACAACCCAATCCAGGGCCCCGTTCCTCAAAGCGATCGTAGCGCTAAGGTGATCGTAACTCTCATACTTTAACATAGACTTACGACTATCGTAGCGTCACGATCGCTTTGGAACGGGCCCAGACCAGACAACCTAGCCCAGACCAGACAATCCAGTCCAGACCAGACAATCCAGTCCAGACCAGACAATCCAGAGACCAGACAATCCAGTCCACCAGACAATCTAGTCCAGACCAGACAACCCAATCCAGGGCCCCGTTCCTCAAAGCTTTATCGTAGCGCTAAGGTGATCGTAACTCCCATACTTTAACATAGACTTACGACTATCGTAGCGTCACGATCGCTTTGAGGAACGGGGCCCAGACCAGACAATCCAGTCCAGTCCAGATCAGACAATCCAGTGGTTGAACTCATAGCTGGGGCATGAAGATGTCTATGTACCAAGTCAGCTTGATCACCCATCCACTTAGTCTCCTCTAATACCAAGCATGAGCTGCCCTTCAACAAGGGCAAAAAACATTAACTGAAAAACTTCATGGCTGAATGATCAGTAACATAAGGCCACCAGGACCCCATTTCACAAAGCGATCGTAGCGCTACAACTATCGTAAGTCTATGTTACAGTATAGGAGGTATGACAGTCGTAGCGCTACGATAGCTTTGTGAAACGGGGTCCAGTTTGTTTTCTCTTGTGTCCCTAACTTACCCTTGGGCGTTGACCGTCTGTCCCAGTCTCTCGTAGAAATGCTTCCTGTCCAGAGGGGAAGCGTTTACCCACGATGACCACTCCATGGCCTGACTTACATATCTGTAACAGACGACACCAAACATCTGGCTGCATTGGTGACGGCAAGATAGTTTTCTATCCTTTGTAGCTCACATATAACTTGTCTAGAATGTTTTCAGCATAAAGATTTAAAGTGCAACAACACTTCAACTTAATGTACAAAATATTTAGTACAATATTGTCCATAACAGTTTCAAAGATTTGTAAGTCATCTGCAAATTCCTAAAATATTTTCAGCTTCTACACAGACAAGCATCTAGAGGTCTGCTACACAGACAAGCATCTAGACGTCTGCTACACAAACAAGCATCTAGACGTCTGCTACACAGACAAGCATCTGGACGTCTGCTACACAGAAAGTGTAGTAAATACTGACTCACTTGGAGTAGGTCCCTGGCTTCAACTTGTTGACTAGGATGTATTTCCCAGATGGCAGCATGAGGCGACAGGTGGTGCTGTCAACTTCGTTGTCGAGAGCAGTGACAGTTGCAACATTTGGGAGGGAGGAGTTTACACTCTGGAATAGGATGAGAAAGACAGAAACAGCTGTAGGATTAATAAGTGAGTGAATTTCACTAAGGGTGGAGGTGCCAAATTGAGCTAATGTGAGAGTAGGGACCCAATCAAGCAGGTTGTGGTTGTTCATATATACCTGTCTGTGAACCTATAGTGTCAACTGCCTTGTGGAGTCCCAAGCAAACTATGCTGACTAAATGCATCTGGTGGTAAGACTCGGTGACTTCAATCACTGGATTATTTACCATCTGCTGTGTAATTGATGTAATGTTGCTGCTGTGCCTATAAGTAGGGGTGACTATTGAGGTAGAAACAACCATTGCAAAAGTTTTTTTCTCCTTGAATTGTCTCATTTGAAGTCATTTCCCAAATGTATAGTTTATATGAAATAAAGATATGTTGAAGTAGTTTCAGTCTCTTTTGATAACTGACAAGAAACTTAAAACCCAGATCAATTAAACAGATAAAACATAAACTCAATGAAGCTGCACGTCTGCACCCAAACATCCTGTTTTTTTGCGCTGCACATTTATAAATGGATGTCAATTACTAAACTATGCTTCAATAGTCCCACATACTATCGATGCATCAATAGTTTTTCGTTTCTACCATTCGAAGACTCAACAATTGCAATCCATCGATAGTTGGATAAATTGTTACAGCCCTACCAACAAACATCAAAGTCTGTTACATCAATTTTCAATTAGGGGTGAAACGGTACACTCTTACCATGGTACAGTACTTATTGCGGTACAAGGCCTTCGGTTCAGTTCGTTTCGGTTTGGTATATGAGATAGGATCATAATGCAGAAAATTGACAAGAGCTAAAACTTAAATTGTTTAATAACATGGAAAAGAAATAACCAAATTTTTTTCTATTTTGAAAGAGTCATTTTATGAAAAGATGGAAGAACGGTGCGAAAACTGGAAGAACGGTGCCAAAACTGGAAGAACGGTGCCAAAACTGGAAATACTGATTCTTTGGATTGCATTATGGTATACCGACTGAAGGCAAAATACAACAGTTCTACTAATACCGTGGTATACTGTTTCACCCCTATTTTCAATGTGTTTTCTTTCTAAACTGGTGAGATCTAACAACTTTCAGTTGAGAAACAATAATATGGATGTCTAGGAATATGTGAGTGATGCCTACTGAGACCCTTTTCATGCGACACATACCAAGTGGTATCTTTGAGTAATGTAATGTAGCTTGTGCAATGGATGAAACTTGTCAAATTGTCCAGTAAAGATTATTTTGTGTTTATAAAACAAAGGATCATCTTATATTTGATGAACAAAATATTTGTATTTGGAAAATGAATAATCAGTCCCAATCATCCACAATTATTCCACTGGGCACAAGAAGGAAAAACAGCAGTTTATGGGTCACATGAATGGATCACTAAAATGCAAAGTTGACACCAGGTGTTCGCGAAAGTCCTACCAGTAGCAACCCCCATTCACATTCACCACTTACCTGACGACATTAGAACTATGTCGAAACGTCACTTCTACAGAGTAAAGAAGTTGTTTATCCATAAAACATAGTCTTATAGATGCCTCAGAGCAGTACATGCCTGTACACAAACGAGATAATGAAGTGATCAGGAAAGCCTGCAGACAGTACACTGGGAAAGAATCTGCTAGCTGTCTGCCTGATAATCCCAAGGGGTCTATGCTGTGACTGTCTGAGGTATGCTGTTCACATTCCTCAAAAGGCCCATGCTATGACTGACTATATGAGTATCACATTCCTCAATGGAGGAATGTATGTTGTGCACATTCCTCTATAGGCCTACCTGCTGACTGTCTGCAGTATGTTGTGCACATTCTTCGACACGCCTGGAGAAGTTGCACACCATGTCCAGGGATGTCCTGTCATCAAACACCACCCGTACCCGACCGTTGGTATGTGCCGTGAAGCGACCCACACCAGGGATGTATGCCTCCTCGAGGATGCTCACAGACAGAGGCTCCTGGACTGTTGTAGGCGTCACCTGGTGGCGATGTGAGTCAGTATAGACAGTCAGCAACAGTAATGATATATATGGCAGCTTGAAACAGATATATTTGATCAGCTACTGTCTAATATGACAGCGTTTGTTAGAAGTGCATATCATGTAGGTACCAATCTTTCTGCATTTAGGATTTAAACTTTTACAGATATTTGATATATCTAATGTAAAAAGATATGTAGGTGAGATTCTATATGTCCTCCAACATTTCAATTTCAATTCAGTTTATTGTATTCGTGGCCTTAGGTCCATATACAAATAAACATAATGTCACACATAAATACATTTATATTTGGCATTTATGTTTTACATTTTGTGTTTCAACTTTTCGTATCTTATGGAAATGGCGTGTTTACAAAATTTACATAAGTTCCACACAGTTTCGTTATTACTATCAGACATAAGTATGCAAAACATTACAAAATTACGATTCTTAATGGATTTCTGCGGAATATATTGTTGTCTAATTTCATTATACACTGTACATTTTAAAATAACATGGAATTCATCTTCTTTTACATTTAAGTTGCAAAATTTACAAATCTTATCTTATTTGGGTATATTATTTCTACGTCCGATATCTACCTGTAATTGGGCGCCTAGAGTTCTTAGTAAAGCTAAGTATCGTCTCAAATTTGAAAGTTGGAAATTTGTTACATAGTTTTCTGGGAAAATATTGTGGTTATATGGAGAATAATTGTCGTATCTAGTACTCTCAGTTATTATTGAATGCCATTTTTGTACAGAAACATCTTTTAGTCTCATCTTTATCTCGTTCAAAAATAATTGAAAATGTCAGACTTCTTGATATACCCATGTGTATCCGAGCCCAAGCTTAAATAATGATTCTCTAATAAATGATACCCAGCTAACTCTGTTTTGTATATCTAAACAAAATATCATATTATAAGCTTTTTGGGGAAGTCTATTATCTGTCATGTGTAGTAACGATAACCAATAGCTAATGCATCTAATAAATGTTTCTACATAAATTGGGAATCTGCCACATTCACCAGTAGCCATTACATTTGGTGTATTACTGGGTACTCCTAAGAATCTTTTACAGGCTGTTGTTTGTATTTGTTCTAAGACTTCAAACTTTTGATATCCCCACAATTCTGCGCCGTACATACAAATAGGTTTTATCCTTCCATATTGAATATTTTAAAGTACAACATGTAGTACGAACTGGTTTCAGCAGCAGAAAGATCAAGGAAGTCATTTGATTGTGTCACCACACTCACTCACTCTTACTCTACGGAGGCCTGTTTCAGAAGATCAGTTGTGTTATGCCAAATAAAATATGAGGATACGATTCTATATATCTTTCAACATGTTTGGTCCAAGTTTTCAGTTTGTAAACAGTTATCAGCAGTGTCCAGTTTCAGCAGCAGAAAGATTAGTGAAGGGTCAATTATCACGTTTTGTAATATACCACAAGGTTCAATTCTGAAGTCACTATCACCATATCCCTCATGCCAGGTTTGGTATGAGATTTTCTCGTTCATGAGTTCATCGTGACTTGCTAGTGTGTACCTCACATACGGAAAGAATGCACCTACAGCGGGTGGCCATATTATTACGTACAAACATGGCGGACCGATTGTTGACGACAAATTTACATGGGAGTTCAAAGTGTCATAACTCATTAAATATAAACAGTTTTACCTCAATATTTTGTAATGTGTCCCTTGCTCCTTATTATTTTCAACAACCGCCTTGGAATCGATGAATAAAGATTTCTGATGAAATCGAGGGGAATATTTTCCCAGATGTCCCGCACTTCGCATTCCAAGTCAGCAGCCGACTGAATGTTTTTTAGGAGTCCCTGAAGTCTATTCTTCAGGTAGAGTCAATAGTTCTCAATAATATTTGCGTCTGGATTCTGTGCAGGCCACAACATTCCAGTAATGTCATTTTTGTCGCTTGTAATCCTGAACGACACGGGCCTGATGTACAGGGGCGTTGTCATCTTGGAAGATGTATCGGTTTCCATGAAAATGTCTGGCTATAACGGTCCAGAGCATATCATCGAGGATTTCTGTGTATTTCTGAGCATGTATGTTGCCATTAACAACACAAATGGTACCAACACCAGGTGACGCAACCCCACACCATCAAAACAGACGAGAGGCTGTCGCCCCGGACAAAGACATTGCAGGAGGTATTCTTCACCAGGCTGTCTCCAAACAAAAACACGATTGTTTTCCCCAATGATAATTTTACACTCATCAGAGAAGATAACTCGATTCCAGCAATTATTCACTGTACGATATCATTTCCCCCTTGACTAGGCCAAACGATTTCTGACATTATAGTCACGAAATTCGGATTTTCTTTCTTACAACACCTCTATGAAATTTATTTTCATATAATCTCCTTACAGTCCTCACCAATACACGTGTAGCCCTATTGTTGTTCAAATTCTCAGTTATTTCACCCAAAGGTGAAATCCTATTGTCTCTGACCAACCTCAAAAGTTGTCGATTGTCCCGAAGAGTCAGTTTTCTCATACGGACTGTTCTGAGAGCATTCTCGACTTATCCACGTCGATTAAACCGCTTTACCGCCGAATATACGCTGCTTCGAGGCATTCCAAAGAATCTTGCAATGTTAGAACACTTTTCGCAACTTTGAAACTTTTTTACAATTGATTTCTAAAGTGGCTCCGACAAATCAGCCGATTTCCCCAATGTTGCCGGAAATAGCCAGAATATGTAGCGGACGACAAATGGATTAAAAATAGTCACGTGACAGATACGTGACATCATGGTTGATCATGTGACAAAATATTACGACGATACGTGGTGTCTTTTTTGAGTAGCAGTATGTTAAAAACGGGCATCGCTATACACGATATCAATGCCATTACAACTGTACGTAATAATATGGCCATGCGCTGTATGTTTCTGAACTGGTCTGTGACATATATCACAACAGACACTGGACGGACAAGATGACCTTTAGCAGTCCATGAGATGGGATGAGGGTGTATGTGATGTCCTACCTGCCAACATGGCTGCTCCTCGGAGTGGGACAACTTGTCTCTCTGTACGGCTTCACACATGAATCTGTCAGAGAGAGTTCATTAACACGTTCTCATAAAGTTCCTCTTTATCAGCAAAGGAAAGGTTTGAGATAATATTTTACCACATGTTTACTTGTCAACACGTTTTGAATATTAACAATAACGGTTCTTGATTGTAAGTACACAAGGTATTAGGCTATATTTTGCCCTTTCATCAGGTGAATGACAGGGTGAGATAACACGACACATATGTATACAGAGGCCCCGATAAGCTGCGTATCCTGGTAAAATACGCATAGAAAATTTCCAATTACGCATTGAAAAATAATTGTTGCATACCAATTACGCATTTAAAATGTTAGATACGAAAAAAGTTTAAAACAAATGCGTACGGAATATATTTATAAAAATCGCTTGAGTAATGGAAAAGACATCGATTGCTATCAAGCTGTACTGTTAGTATAGGACTAGTGTTGTACTGTCAGTATAGGATGAGTGATTTTTTATGAAATCATTTCCATTATATTGAAGTTGGTTTTGATTAGGTGTGACATAAGGCAGAACATACCTGCTTAGTAAACTTACTCAATGACATAATACTTAGGTGAGTAAAATGACTGAAATATGTGAAATATGTGAAATACGCACATATTTGTAAGCGGTGGGTAACGGAAAATGAAATACCCACTCAAAATTCATAATACCCACTCCCAAAAAATACAGTCTGTACAGTACCCACATGAGCTAAATCTTATCTGGAGCTCTGTGTATACGTACATACATACATACATACATACATACATACACACATACATACATACATACATACATACATACATACATACATACATACATACATACATACATACATACATACATACATACATACATACATACATACATACATACATACATACATACATTTGTATAGTGTACATACAAACATACATACAAATGAAGCCAGCTATACTCAGATAAATAATAATAATAATGGCCAATTGTTATGCGCTATAATCCACACACTAGTACATGCTCTAAGAGCTGGGGGAAGAGGGAGAGAGTCAGTTATACAGAGAAGACAAGATAAGTCTTTAGTTGAGATTTGAAAGCTGTCAGAGAATCAGAGTCTTTGATGTGGACTGGCAGTGAATTCCATAGTCTTGGGGCTGCATGAAAGAATGATAATTTACCAAATGAGGAAAGTTGGTCCAGTAAGTAGGAGTTGGTTCTGAGATGGAAGAGTTCTGGCTGGTGTGTATACAGTGATCAGGTCAGTGAGGTAGGATGGGGCTTGGTTGTGGAGGCATTTGTAGACAGTGGAGAGAACTTAGATAAACCTGTAGAGGTTTCCAATTCTTTGAAGAGAGTCGTCCTTGGGGTACATATATACATTTTCTGGGGCTGAAAATGTCATGTGACAGTTGTATCAATGTTTTAATAAAATGTTATACAAAATACAAAAGCCTTTTTATTTATTATACGGCCCCAACCATGTGGAGTTACCTCCCTGACACGCATGTGCAGCCAAACAAGTAGGCACCTAGGCCAATATCATCATTCCTTCAGCTGAACAAATCAGTGAACAGAATTGCGGGGAGGTGGGTGGCCCTACTCCAAAGACGACTCTCTTTAAAGGTTTATCCAATTCTTTTTCATAGAGATCGTCTTTGGGGTACATAATGCATTAACACAGACTCCCAAAGATCGGAGACCAGGGAAGAGGGAATTCTGTCACAGTACAAAGAAATAGCGATCTCGTAATTACAAAAAGTTACTAACGCCATAACACTCACCTGTCACGTGTCCCCAAAGCATCCGCGAGAAGTATTATGGAAGGTGACCCGACAGGGAGAAAATGTACTGAGGACCGACCTCAACATGTTAAGCTTGACAACACATCATACAGAGTGTAAACAAACCCCGCCCACTAAGTGAAAACTCTATAGAGAGCAACATAAGGGGGAAACCACAACCGAAAATCTCAACTGAAAGTTGGCAAGAATCAACAGCGGATATATCAATTAAACAACAATTGAACACAGCGTCTGAAAACCAAATAACCAAGACTCACTCGGTCAGGGTGGCAGGACACTGTCTACCGGAGAGAACAGAACGGCCAAAACGCGCTCGATCACGTGAATGTGTATCAAGCTGATAATGCCGTATAAAAGTGCTAGGCCAGCTTCAAATAGCGGCAGAGCAAATCTCTTCGATGGGCAGTGCCGCTGCAAAAGCTTTTGAAGTGGCTACTGCCCTGACCGAGTAAGCCTTCAACCCCTCAGGGGAGGGCTTGCCCTTAGCCTGATATGCAGCACAAATGACTGACACAAGCCAGCGAGAAAGTGTCTGTTTGCTGGCAGGAGCCCCAGCCTTCCCGCCACCATAACAGCAGAACAGATGGGTACCTGTATGGATTCCTTGTGTTCGTTTGATATAGACCTTGGTCTGCCGACGTGGCATGTAAATCACCGACCCTTCTCCCAGATGTCACCGCCACCAGAAAAATGGCCTTCCATGTGTGTTAACAGCTGATGGACAGCCAATCTAGCATGATTGACAAATCCCAAGGTGGGCTGGTACGCCTGAGAGCAGGTCGAACCCGATCCACGCCAGCGAGGAAGCGCTGCATAACAATGACAATGCCTTCCTTGCGACCCCAAGAGAGTAGCCGGCACTAACATGAGCTTGGTGAGCTTGAGTGAGTGGGTGAGTGAGTTTAGTTTTACGCCGCACTTAGCAATATTCCAGCTATATGGTGGCGGTCTGTAAATAATTGAGTCTGGCCCAGACAATCCAATGATCAACAGCATGAACATCGATCTGCGCAATTGGGAACCGATGACATGTGTCAACCAAGTCAGCGAGCCTGACCACCCAATCCCATTAGTCTCCTCTTACGACAAGCATAGTCGCCTTTGTGGCAAGCATGGGTTGCTGAAGACCTATTCCACCCCGGATCTTCACAGGTTCCCACTCCAGAAGGATGAGAGAGAGGTGGCCTCCCTCTGGGATGTGTGGTAAGAGGGCATGAGTAGTCCTCTGCTGCTGAACTGGCTGGGACGTACCCACGGAGACAGCCTGCACGTTTAACGGGAGGTTGGGGCAGACCCCCCGCGACTGCGAAAAGGCTGGGGGAGCCAGACGAATAGGCCTGCTCCTTACCCTTACCCTTGGCGGGACGGCTCCTCCTCCTACCCCTGCCCATAGGCGCAGGGGCGAGAAACCCACGGTTGTTCCAACAAGGCCTTGGAGTCCTTGAAGGAAGTGGCTGCAGCAGCAGCCTCCCGTATGACCTGCTGAGCCCCAGGAAACAACGTTGCACCCAGCCGATACGGAAGGGCCAGCAAGGTCTGCTGGGTTGCCGCCGAGTAGCGTGAGGTGGACAACCACAGCTTGGGCATCCCCATGACTGTGCACATCACAGTTGACACAGCGGACCGTAAAGAGTCCCTAGTCAGGTGGGCCTGTACCTCGGTTAGTTGATGCAGGAGGACAACATTAGGTGAAACGTCACCCGTGCCTGCCTCCGCATCCAGGGCCGACCTCGAGGAATCGAGGAGAGGTACGCCCCATAGCATTCCGGTAAACCTCCTCGTAGGTACGGTATGTCTGCCGCAGAGGGGCGCCCGACTGGGCAAATGGTGGAACCAACTACCCCTGTTTGACAGCCGGAGCTGCGTCTGTGAAGGCTGCTGAGGAGCAAAGGCCTCACCCAGCAGGCGGAACTCAGACAGTCCTGGCAGCAAGTCGGCACCACGGCTTGGGGAGCAGTAGCGCAATGCACTGACGTACCTCGAAGACTCTCGAAGAAAAGACCCGAACCCTGATCCGGTGACACAGACAACGAGGGGAAGGAAGAGCCCGAGACGCTCTCCGCTCTGGCCACCGACCACATGCCAGGACCCCGGTCCTGAGACGCAGGAGGCTGCCCAGACAGAACTGGAGCCTCCGCTTTCAAGGGGACTGGAACACCAGGAATACTCAACGGCCCCTGCGCGAGCACCGAGAGAAGGACTGGATGCGAACCCTTCCTCTCCGGGGTGGCCGAGGCATCGGGATCTGAAGCCAACGGCAGCAGATCAACAGAAGCCTCGAGGCCGATGGATCGAGTCGGGCCCGGCGATCCAACCCCTGAACTCTCCATCCCCCGTCCAGAGCCAGCGAGGAACTCCCGCCGGAGTCCTCCAACCAACTCGTGAATGAGGAACTTCACCAAGTCCATATGCTGTTGAAATAATTGCTGTATGAAAGACATATCAAGTTGTGCAGATTCTTTAGAACCTTTAGACTTTTTTGCTTTGGATGGGGTGTCTCCTCGGTCAAGTCCCCTCCGCCTCCCTCAATTCTCTGTAGAAGAGGAAATCGCAGCCCTTCTCTTCTGGGCACGGGGAGAAACCGAGGAAATGTTCGCACATCAGGGTATGCCCAGCCTTTTCAAGGCAACATAAGCACTTGTCATGCTTATCGGCAGGCGGTATCCGTAGCCCACAGGCAACACTGCACCCGTAAAACGCCTGAAACCAAACACGCGACCGCACGTAGCTAAGAGCCAAAACAACAGCAAAGACACGTACAAAACATTGAAAATATGTGAATGCGACAACGCGACATGAAATAATTGTTGAATAAAGCAATATTTCAACCACGTGGCACGCCAAACTTCATGGAATAGTAACACGTATGTAAACCACGGGAAAGCCAGCGTAAATTTTAATACAAAAGTCACCTAAATGAAAGAATAAACAACTGCAAAGTCAAAAGAGCGTTCTAAAGAACGAATAAAGACCATACATACAGTAGTTGAAGTCTCAGACATAGTCCGAGTACGCATCTACGTTGGTCAGCACTAGCCAAGCACGTGTGTTCACAATGCGTGACAGCAGAAGGAAATGATGATACGGGCTTAGGTGCTTACCTGGTTGGCAGCACATGCGTGTCAGGAGGTAACTCCACGTGGTGGGGGACGTATAATAAATAAAAAGGCTTTTTTATTTCTTGTACAATATTTTATTAAAACATTGATACAACTGTCACATGACATTTTCAGCCCCAGAAAATGCATTTATGTACCCCAAGGACAATCTCTATGAAAAAGAATTAAACTTGATACGAGATTCAATGGGGAGAAAATGATGTGATTTGAGGACTGTAGTAATGAGACATGATTTTGAGTGTAATGAAATAATGCGGGCAGCCGTATTCTATGTTTTCTGCAGTCTTTCAGTCTGAACCCTGTTAAGACCTACAAGCAGTCCGTTGCAATAATCTGGAGGAAATTAGGCATCTGACTAGAATCTTTGCACTTTCTGTTGTGATGTACTTCAGGATGTTCCCAATGGAAGTAGCAGGGTTTTACACAGTCTGTCAATACAGTACATCCATGGAGAGATCAGATTCTAGCCATACTCCAAGATCTTTCACCAAAGGAGAAAAAACAAACTGTGAAGAACCCATTGTTATGTTTTCACTTGTGTTATTGTTCAATTCTTGTGATTTGCCAAGAGGTTATATATGTGAAACAAATTGTGACAAGATTAGGTTCTTTTTATCCCTGCAGATGTTCCTAGTACACTCACCTACACGCCTCTTGAGAACCTTCTCCAGGGAGTACTTGGCAGCGGACATGGGTGGAGGAAGAGCTCGTCAAAGAGAAGGTCCTCTCCTCCAGCTGTGGATGGAGAGCATGGGATGCTGGACACCAATTCTAACTAGTGATGGGTACCACTCTCAGCAACATGGAGATCAATAATCGGAGCTGAGTTATTGACCAATTATCGAATGTAATCGTAATCCCCACCACAAAAATGTGGGGAATCGAACCCGGGTATTTATGTGGGTCATGATCTGGAAACATGGGCTTACCTTATATCCCCTGCCGGAAGGATCTGGGTGTAGAATTGTCCGGATACACCCTGCGAGAGGAAGACGCTGCCATCCCCGGGGTAAATCTCCATCACTTTTAGGGCAGGCAGGTGGATCAGTCTGTACACAGACATGCCATGTTCAGTGCATCGTTCTAGACAGTTGACTAGTCTTTATGGCATGCGGCTACATGATGGTTGCATTTCAATACCTGCAAAACCTGAGACTGTCTCTCAGTTTTCTGCAGGACATTTGAATTTATTTTAGCTGCTTGCTGATTCAAAAGTGGTAAGAAAGTACAATGATCGTGTATCATGATTAGGAGTGAAAAAACACCACAAAACTGTGATACATGTCGCACTATGCATATTCACATCAGATCATGTCTGACTACCGGATCCTGTTTGTTGCCTCTTATAACAATTTTTTGTTGTAAACTTGAAACACTAATTACAGTCCACAGCTGGGGGTGGCAAGTGTCATTAAATGAGTAGAAAGTAATTTAGTAAGTGTATCACCTTGTACTGACACAGTAGATGACTTGAATAATGAGTTCTATGGACATACACAGAGAATATTATATGAGTGCCCATGTCCTATATGTTTACGACACGAGAGCCTAAATGTTGGTATTTCCTGAGCGAGAGCGAGGGATATACCGATATTTAGGCACGAGTGTCATAAACATAGTATGATAAAATTAGTATTTTTATACTTATCCCTGACTCAAGATTATTGCTTATCTCCCTTAGCCTTCGACGGTCAAGTGGAAACCTTGAATCCTATTCAAATTCACTGAAGCGATCGTACAATCAATTTTCTCACCGTTCCTGTGGAACTACAATGCGATTCTTTTTGGTGAGAAACTTGATTCCGAGGAATTGTAGTTCCTGTGAAGGGTGTAGTTCTGATTTCATCCTGTTGACTAACCAACCCAGTTGAGTTAGTAATTGGATTGTCAAATCTAGCTGATGTTTGAGTTGATTTGCTGATTGATGTGCCTGAATACCGTCGTCTAGGTAGAAAGCATTGCGAACCCCTTTCTGATGTAAAAACGCCACTATGGGTTTTGTCACACGTGTAAATAGCCACGGGGTCGTGGAAATTCCAAAAGGGAGTACTCTCCATTGGTAGTGTTTTCCTTGATATAGGAAATGTAGATATTTTCTCGATTCCTGATGTATCGGGATATGCAGATATGCATCCTGTAGATCTATGCTGGCTAGATAATTGCTGGTAGGGCTGCGCAATATAACCGGTTCAAACATGAAAACGATACGTATTGCGATACGCTGATCGAAAACCGGTATTTTGACATGCATTCGTAACACTCGGAAACTTTGATGATCGTGGCAACTGTGGTAATGGTGGTGGGAATGATCGTGGTGAAAATTACATTTAACTGAGAAAAGCAAGATTTATGGCTGACTTAGTTTAGTTTTATGCCGCTTTTAGCAATATTCCAGCAATATCACGGCGAGGGACACCAGAAATGGGCTTAACACATTATGCCCATGTGGGGAATCAAACCCGGGTCTTCGGTGTGACGAGCCAATGCTTTAACCACTAGGCTACCCAACCGCCCGCAAGATTTATGGATGTCAAATTCTATATTGTGAATGAAGTTGACATACATAAATCTTGCTTTTCTTATGCATTCCACTTCTACATGTGCTTCAAAGATTTTACATTTAACTGGCTTGTCAAGTTCGGTTTGAAGTTGTGTTCTTAATATTTGTTCAGGTGTTTCGCAATGTTTTGGATCTGAATGTTATTTACTCATTAATGACCAATGATCCCTGATATGTACTGACCAGGTCAAGTTGCTGTCGAAAATCTCAGGGCTTTTCTTGAGAGTGGAGAAAGTAGTTCAAACTAGTAACCACTCCGTTGATGTTAAATTATTCTTTTCCTTGTTTCACTTGTGCCAAATATTATTCATATTCTTATTGTCATGATTAAAAGTTGTTATTAAAGCTTAATCAAGCATAGTGATTATGTTGTGTTTTTGCTTTATAAATAAAGTGTTAACTCGATTGTAAGTAGTATATTGTTTAAAAAAACACTTCTTGCTATACGTTGCAATACATATCGCAATATATGCTTTCGCGTCGCAATATATCGCAATAGGAAAAGTCTCTGCAATACCCAGCCCTAATCGTTGGGTCTTATAAGATGTCTCAGCTGAGGTAGATGAAGCATCTTGAACTTCTGTGGCTTTAGCAGAAAGTCTAGGTTGAACCTTTGCATATTGTATAGGAGACGGTACTTTTCTGTGGAGTTCTTTTTGGGTACTAAGAAGATTGGAAAATAAAAAACCTGGTGTCAGGTTGCGTTGCTCTATAATCTCTACTGCATTCTTTGCCAGTAGTGATTCGATGGCTTCTGACAGTTTGATGCTTTGCCGTTCTGAGTGATGATGTATCTGTGGTGAGATAGTGAGGGGTGGTATCACCTTGAGCTGAACTTTGTAACCTTCGCGTGGCACCTGTACGACATAGTCGTCTTGCAGAATTCTCCAGTTTTCCCAGTAAAAATCTAGACTTCCCCCCACTGCTGTGGGTTCTATTAGAACGACTTGGGTAGGGACGACCCAGTCGGTCCGAAATCTGATTTTTATTGGTGTGAGGAGCGGGAGGTTCCTCATGAATGGCCTCTCCCGGAACATCCTCTTGAGTTGTCATATGGACTACGAAAGGTAGTTGATTTACCTCCTCAAGAGCCTGACGCTCTTTTATCCTTGGCCTTTTGTATGCCTGGGAATTTCGAACGAAATTCTCCTCGACGTGACGATTGCCGATACATATTATTCATCGTCTGCATGGATCTGATGAGCATCTGATCTCTGTTGTCTTGGCATAATTCCTGTGATATTGATCTTATGTTATTGTCAAATAATGTCGATGCCACCCACGGTTGATGTAAAAGCGTCTTAACGTGATAATATGGTCAGTTGCAAGATGTGAAGAGTCCTTGTCGACAAAGTAAGGTTAAACCCGCTGATGTCGATGCTAAGTGACATAAATTCCTGATCCTTCAGCTATCCAAGACAATACTTCTGCGTCTGGATATATAGTTGATTCCTCAGTTTCGTGAATACTTGTATCTGAGGCTGGTATTTCTTCATAAACAGATTCATTGATGGATGAACATTAAGTAGTCATTTGTTGATTTTCTGCTGACCGTTGCTGCATGGCCAAAACTACTTGGTGTGTTATACTAGCAACAAAATCTTCATCCACTCGTTGGTTCGTCGAACCTGACGGGTTCACGGAAGATTGATTTGTCTTCCTTTGTCGACTACAATGAGATGAAGCTCTATGCTGTTGAGGGTTTCGAACCCTTCATCAGATGAAATTTCTCTTTCTGTTTGTGTTGCAATAGTCGACTGGTTAGCGGACCCTGTCGCGAACTGCGTGGATGTAGTAGCAGTATGAGACCTTCGTGGCGAAGTGCGTTGATTGTCTGTAGGTAGGTTCACAGACCCTGATGTCATAGACGATGAGATGAATGCTTCCTTCTCGATGACGATACCTTTGACGAAATAGGAGTACTAGTTGTATTCTGTGATGTCGTCAAAATAATCTGCGGTTCAAGCAGCGGTGGTGATTTATCAAGGTATGATATGGCGTTCTCAAACGTCAAATTAGCATTCAATGATCTAGCAGAAGTTGATGACGTAGATCTCACAGATGTAGATTTATTAGCCAATCTAGATGCTCTTTTCTTCTTCGCAAGACGTTGTAGTTCAGTTTTCCTCTTAGAAGTAGATTTTTTTGCTGTCTCCGTATAAGCGACGGAGCTGGGAAAATTCTCAGAAGAATTCTCCATAGTGTGCTGTGACATCTCAATCTCCGTTGCCTGAGAATTACCCCTTACAGCTGCCTTGTTGATATGATTTCGTTTATCTGCTACCTTGCGTAAACGAGCCAATGAATACTTATTAAACAATTCTGTTGACAAATGAGCACAATATTTTCAACGTGCTAATAAAGCGCACGTATGAAGGCAGCAAGAGGAGCAAACAGGGTGTGGATCAGCTGCAGATAACCTGTGTCTGCATTGTTGACATGCCACCATTGAACAAACACCCACCTGCAACGGAGTGAACATACGTAATTTTAGATGAAAATTTACATAATATAATACATTTTCATGACTCTAAAAGGAATCTAAATACAATCTGCGGCCAATAATTTATAATATAAGGTTTTATATCAAAAGATATACGCCACAAATAGGACCCGTAAGGACCGTCCGACTGTCGGTGAGGGCGATGAAGGAGAGAGTGATAAGAGCTAGGCTCAGATCACGTGAGACCGGTATTGGTGGGAACAAGGGATGTAACTCAGGGTGAGTGATTGTACGATCGCTTCAGTGAATTTGAATAGGATTCCAGGTTTCCACTCAACCGTCGAAAGAGAAGGGACATAAGCAATAATCATGAGTCAGGTTCAGGAAAAATTATAATATTCTCTTTATTACTCAAGTCGTCAATTGAGGAAAATAAACCCAAATCTACTTTCAAACATAGGCTGGCTACCCGCCGTCACTTCATGTAGAACGCAACGTCACAGAAGAAATGTGACGTCATAGCATTATTCATGACATCACGTCACCATGACAAAGTGATATTTTGCCCTAGGGCATCGTATGAAAAATATGAACCCCGATATTTTCGCCCTCGTAGGTGATAAAACGTCTTTATTACAATATATGCTGCATTTCGGTGTATAGTGCGTTTGGCTCAAGAGCGGACCAATGAATTGCAATCTAACTCAAAAACTAATAAACATATAATACTCAATGAAACGCTGATCATAATCAAAATATCAGACCAACTCTGTGATTTGTTTGCCGATTTGTCCTAAAATTAAAAAAGTTGTTTAAAGGTCACATGCAACCAAAAAATCAAACATAATTAAAACACAATTATCACTTATTCATGACATATAATATACATTGCTGGTTATGAAAAAACATATAAACAAAATTATAAGCGTACAAACGCAAATCAAAAGTGCAAAATTGTGTACTTCGGTTTACTTCCCAAGAAACGAAGCAGCCGGGATACCGAACCCAGTCAGAGCGGGCGGGTGTGCACTCAAGTGTAACGGCTGGTTCATTTGCAGATGCCCTCACGGCTAATTGTGTGTGTATATATATAGATGTTGGGTTTTGTAAATACTTGCTCATTTTTTGTGTATAACATTTTGCAATCAACAGACATCATAACATGTCATGTGTTCAAGTATCACACCTGCCTGTCTGTGTAATTACATAATGTGACAGAGACCGAACTCGGGCCATAAATCAATGCATTTTGTTCATGGTGTATAGCCTGATTGGTGTTAAGTTCAAATTGCATGTGGTCAGTGATCGCAGTTGTGTATTGAATATTGTCATTAGCAGACAGGCAGGCAGACACATAGGTGTCAATAAACAAGACATTGAGTTTTGTCTGTGACAACGACATATCTATATCACAGTTAGAAATTCTGTCAACGCAAATAATGACATTGCTTTTAAGTATCGAACTGAGAAAGTGTCTCGGTAAGAAGAACGTGTGGTGAAATAGACAAATGAAATTATATAAACAGTTAATTTACTGTCATAACATATAAAAAGCTCGCGCCTGTGAGATATCAACAAAACATTAGAAAAATAGCTCACACCAAAGCCTTCACCGAGTATTCACCCGACAACCCGCTTCCAAGCTGCGCGAACCTATTTACTTTCGCACGTGCTATGAGCGCAGCCCAGCTGTTGAAACCCGTTTTCCCCAGAAAAGTCTGGGGAAAATTAGTGAAACGTTTGAACTCTGATTTCGCGCGTTTTTTTTCATCGCGTTATTTTTCAACTTTATAAGTTGAATTTGCATTTTTGACGAGTTGTTTCGGTAAGTCCATACCGAAAGGTATCAGAATCTGCAAAGTTGTGTTTTACGTTGCATGTGACCTTTAACAAACTATCATTAAAATATTGACACAGTTCACTATTTGTTATGAGGGAGGAGTGCAGAGAAAGGGACAGCAAGGTGTTAGAGAAGCACGTGCACAAGTGCCGACAAAGTTATTGATTCATTAACCTGTGCTGTGCCGTCTCCATCCTTTCACGCACACCTGGCTGTCCCTTTCTCTGCACTCCTCCCTCGTAACAAATAGTGAACTCATGATAATGGTATTATCACCACACCAACTTTTAAATGCCACTCAAAGAAGAAAAAATGCTCTTCAAGATTGTCCAACTACCATGGGTATTCATTTTATGCATATTTTTTAACACTTTTTTTATGAAGTGATTATTTTTTTTCATCCTCCTGTACTGTAATCAATGGCAGCCCCAGTTCTGCCTACCTGTATATAATCCCATCCACCATCACCACTTTAAGTCGACCGGGGTTGAATCTGTCCAGGTCGTCCTGGTGGGCATCAATAGGTGCCCACTTGTGATGGTGTGGAGCATGGCAGGTGAGGGGGATCGGTTGAGGGAGGGGGGACATGCTGGTGTGTTTCTTGTCAATCTTCAATGGGAGACGACCTGGGGTTAGCTGACTGTTGTCTTCATCTGTAAGTAACACTCCATCTTTATGCTCGCTTCAGAATGTTATATATTAATGGAAGTTTGAATACAGAAACTGGCGACCAATGTAACTAAGTAGCATATTTTCATGTTAATAACTCAACAAAAGTGAAAAACATATTGAAATCAATATTTTAAAATTGCCTACAATATAACTCCAAAAACTGCTAATGTAATCAACACACAAAAATTGTAAACAAAAAATCAGTGACATCTTTCGATGCAAAAATGCAATACAACAATCGACAATTCTATATCAACCAGCGTTACGCAGTGGAATACTTAAAAACAACAAAATCAACGTTTATTTATGTTTACCGACAGAAACATGAACAAAATAATTTCAACGGCACTACCCACAATGATCTGACATGTCCAGGGCCCTGTTCCACAAAGTGATCGTAGCGCTACGACTGTCGTAAGTCAATGTTAAAGTGAGTGAGTGAGTGCAGTTTTACGCCACATTCAGAAATATTCCAGCTATATGGCAGCGGTCTGTAAATAATTGATTATGGACCAGACAATCCAGTGATCAACAGCATGAGCATCGATCTGCACAATTGGGAACCGATGACGTGTCAACCAGGCCAGCGAGCAATGTTACAGTATGGGGGGTACTATCACCTTAGCACTACAGTCCTTTTGTTAAACGGGATCCTGGGCCCTGTTTCACAAAGCCCTCGTAAGCCTAAGATCTCATAACTTTTCTTGTAGCATTCGTACCTCCTATATTGTAACACTGACTTACGATAGTTGGAGCGCTACGAGAGCTTTGTGACCCATGTCCTTATCTGACCATCGAATCCCCCATGTGGTCTCACTGAAGTCCCCATTTGACGTCTGACATTTTGAGCAATTGTGTCGGGATCTGGCACAGAGACAGACAGCATGACTGCTCTCTATCGAAGCATAATGAAGTCTGACCAACTCAGTGACAAAGTACACTGATACAAGCTTTTGTGCATGCTGCCCGTGATTCATGCACGGCTATCCACTGTTTTCAAGTTGTGCGTTCGTATGAATGTTTCAACTGTTTTGGGGGTTGTTCAGACCTTCAGTCCAACCAGTCAGGAAGAGCAGGAGTGCATCAGTCAGAATGGCATCCATGTGGCTATAGCATGAGCAACAGTAAATGGATGATGATACATTGTCAACTGGTGACAGTCAATGTAACTACATCCTGTGTGTTGTTTAAAGCCTTAAATGTTCCAGCTATATGACAGTGGCCTGTAAATAACTGAGTCTAGACAAACACAAGAATATCTGATTGAAATTATGAACAACAATCCATTATATTATTATATTATCCTATGGGTAATTATATAGCGCCATTGTCCATCCCATCTACACGCATGCTCAAACTGCTTTGATTTTTCCTTCGATCATTGATGTCAATTTCAACGGCACATCATATTTTAAATCACAACTCCTTGTGGAGCATACAACTCATGCAGCCGCTAGGCACACCAAGTTAATGTGGCTATCCCATCCTTACTGTTGTCAGTTACGATGATACACCATCTACAAAGTCACAGAGCCTGATGCCATTCTTTCAGCTGCCTCTTCCATACATTGCACAGGATGTATTTTAACCCAGTTGGACTATATGGTTTTCATTTTGCGGCTACCATAGGCAGGGATTGGGAAAGGCAGGGGCCATGGGCCATTTTGCACATTAGAAAAAAAAATCGCCCATTAAAATTTTGAAGTTTACTATTGATATAAGGGCAGAGGCCAATTCTAAATTCAGAAAATGGCTAATAATCCTGAAAATGGCCCATTGTCAAAGTTCTCCTTCCCAATCTCTGCATTGGTATAGTCAGTGCCCTTTGATGGGGTAAAAGCAGAGTTGGTTGGTTGGTTGGTTGTTTAATGGCGCACTCAGCACAATTACAGCTATATGGCGGTAATCGGTAAATAATCGAGTCTGGACCAGACAATCCAGTGATCAACAGCATGAGCATCGATCTACGTAAGTCATTTACGATTACTTGTCAACCAAGTCAGCGAGCCTGACCACCTGATCATGTTAGTCACCTTTTACAACAAGCATGGGTTGCTTAAGGTGAGGTGAAGTGAAATTGGGTTTAACGTCGTGCTTGAGAATATTTCGCTCATATGACGACGTGCATGCGTGTGTATGTGTATGTGCGGCTGCTTGTACTAGCCCAAACTTAAGCTGGTTTTATAGTGCTAGCCCACTGAGATACCATGCCGCAGTGAAGCATGAATACCCCACTCAGACACATTATACTGACTCCGAGCCAACCAGTCCTTGTTGTACCCATTAATGCCGAGAGCCAGGCAGCGACCAACAAGTACCATATTTTAACGTCTTTTGGTATGACGCGGTCAGGGATCGAACCCGTGACCTTCCGCTCTCCGGGCGGACGCTCTAACCACTACACCAAGGAGGCGGTCAGGTTGCTTAAGATCAGTTCTAACCTGGATATTCACGAGTTTAAACCATACTTGCTGACTAACTAATTTTGGGAAGATTATAATGGCTAAAATTGTAAACAAACTTCCAACCTTTTTAGACACCTTGTACAGGCATCAGGGCACTAATAGATTGCTAACAGGGAGGGTTTGAAAAAGAACTTTGACTAATAATTTGTAAAAACTAAATTTGCCAAATTAAACAGAGAAACATAATAAGTAAAGTAAATAGGATAAAGTGTCACTCATCATTCTGATTTTTTTATAACCAATGAAGGTCCGGGTTAGAATGAACCTTCAGTAACCCATGCTTGTCGTAAGAGGCGACTAATGGGATCGGGTGGTCAGGCTCGCTGGCTTGTTTGACACATGCCATCGGTTCCCAATTGCGCAGATCGATGCTCATGCTGTTGATCACAGGACTGTCTGGTCCAGACTCGATTATTTACAGGCTGCCGCCATATAGCTGGAATATTGCTGAGTTCGGTGTAAAACTAAACTCACTCTCTCACTTACTCTTTAATTCCGCAACAATTGTATACTTCGAGTTATTATCTAATAACGACAGAGTGCGGCATAAAACTGAACTCACGCAATCACTCTGATTTATACTTTTTTTATTCATGTATATCAATCACGTAATCTACACCCACTTACCCATTTGTCTCTCAGATGATTTCTCCTCAGCAAGTTTTAATGGATGACGCCATCGACTGGGACACTCATTACAAGATATATGTCTGGTGACCCATGTATACAGCTGACGGCAGGCCGGTCTCTCTGCACTGCTGTTGGCAGATGTAACACTTTTCTCTCTCTCCTCTGAAGAGTTACTTATGTTTCGATTCATGCTGTGATCCCCTGTACTGTTTCCAACACTGTTTGACAATTGTCCAGCATTGTGTCCATTGCTTTGTCCCGGTAACACTGGCGAGGCTGACCGTTGTTCCAGGGAGAGTTCATGATGTCCAACTGTGACATCAACATCAATGGTTGTGCACAGCCCCTCCGATGAGATCTTGCTGATGCTGGAGATGTCGTGAGTGGCAGGCGACGTCTCAGTGCTGCCAGCACCGTAGCGCCGAAACATGGACATACGACCAAATGGTGTGATGACAGCTTCGTTTCCTCCGCCTGGGTCTCCCTCATCAGCAAAGTTGGTTGGTGTGGAAATACGAGTATATGCTGGGTCAACCCGACCCTGTTTTATCTTCTCCTTGTCTGTGGCAACATCAACAGATTCGACTGTTTTTTTATTCGACTTGTTACTTGTTTCCGTGTTGGGACCAGATTGGCCTGCATCAAGGGGGGCCATCTTTCCAACACCACTACTCTCTGACCCATCACCCTTGAGACATCCAGAAGTATTGTTCAATGTCTGGTTAGTTCCTGATGAAATCAGTTTTTGAGAATCATTACCGCTCTTGTTCTGAGATGAATTGCAAGATGCTGACCTTCTGGATGAAGACACACTCTTATTCTTCACTGGTTCTTGGCTTATTTTAGACAGATAGCACACAGTAAAGTCTCGCTTGTGTTGTGATAAAGACAGACTGGCAAACTCGTCGACGGAGAAGATGCGGATGCTGCCGTCTGGGAGGTGTTCTGCCCAGGATCTGTCACCAGTCTTCGGCCAGGCTACCTCCTTGATGTCTGTATACAAAGGCTGAAGAAGGAAACAAAATCATCCCTTGTCATCTATATGACACATTTAATCAATCTTATTAGCGATTGTTTGGTTTCAGTTTCCAAACAAGGAACTCCATATTCTCGATGATTCTTGAATTACATAAAATTTGTCTAAAGATTCAGGAAAATGACCAGGTTAATGTAAGTCTCTAAGATCTGAGAATTGATAAAATTCCCAGCTTGTTGTTTGTGGCTTTATTTGCTTAATGGTAAGTTTGTGTTGCAGAGTTAAACATTTGTTTTTGTCTTTCAGGTATTGCCCTTTGCATATTAACAAGAAACAAGAAGACAAAGTCATCAATATCCCCTGCAATGGCAAAATACTCTTCATGATTATGTCTACGAGTTATGATTATGTCAAATATTTAGGTGTGTATATAGAAAAGTGGAAGGAGAGTATTGAAAGGTTTTTAAAGTTCTGCTCAAGAAAGGAGCACTATCACCAATTTCAGTCTATGTCAAACTTGTTGCCACGGAAAGGCCTAAAATATTTTATTCAGAATTCCAAAACTACCAAAAGGCACAAGTACACCACCAGATCTATCTATGTGCCAAGTTTGGTAAAGAAACATTGAACGGTTTTAGAGTTCTGCTCCGGAAAGAGCACTAACACCAATTTCAGGCTAAGTCAAACTTGTTGCCATGGAAACGACAAAAATATTTTATTCAGAATTCCAAAACTACCAAAAGGCACCAGTACACCACCAGATCTATCTATGTGCCAAGGTTGGTGAAGAAATATTGAACGGTTTTAGAGTTCTGCTCCGGAAATGACAAATGTGCACGCACGCATGGACAGAGTCCATTTAAATACCCCCCGCAAAACGCGTTGCGGGGGATAACAATACTGTAAATGCTATTATTTTGCTAATTTGCTATGAAGTTGTTTATTATTTATGACAAATCTTAAAAGTTCCACCAACACAATTGGAGCTTACCACCACGTCATCCTTGACCAGCAGATCATCACACAAGTATGGTCGGTCAGCAAATCGGTTGCGGAAATCCAGGGCCTGAAGCACTTTCTGCCTGTACGCGCTGGTCACGTACCGACATCGCTGCTGTATCTTTCGCAAACCTACACAAACATTTATGCTGGCAATCATTTTTTATAATATACACAGAAAAGGAATGAGTGAGTGAATGACTTTAGTTTTACGCCGCTTTCAGCAATGTTCCTGCAATATCACGCCCGGGGGACACCAGAAATGGGCTTCACACATTGTACCCATGTGGGAATCAAACCCAGGTCCTTGGCCCGCCTTGCAAATGCTTTGACCACTTGGCTACCCAACCACTATAGGAAGGGTGGAGGGTACACCAGAAATGGGCTTCACACATTGAACCCATGTGGGGAATCGAACCTGGGTCTTTGGCATGACGTGCGAACACTTCAACCACTAGGGGACCCCACTGCCCCAGATTTGTTCTAAATTATAATGTTTTAAGGCCAGCAGAATCTGAAATCTGTTTTAATCAGGTGTTTCACTGTGACTGTCACTGACTATTTGTCTACTCTACCTGCTACAGGGTGTTGTCCTGCCTCTGGTCTGTCGTGGTGTAACACACTAGCCCCACACGGCGACAGCTGCAGACTCGATCCGTCAGCGTAACGAACCTCCACTGCATCGTTGGTGTACAGCACCATCAGCGACGGTGTGGAGGACATCACGGGTACCTGTCAGTGGTTTCAAACCAATCAGCAATTTCAAACATGTCAGCATACATTCACACGTAGAATGTTTTATGGATGTTTAATATAGTGACTAGGAAATTGGCTGTTTCCCAAGTTAATCAATTGCCTACTCCAACTTCATAAAGTCAATCAATTTATTAACACTGAAAATTAAAACTAATGTTATTTAATACTCCACAGAGCTATATAGAGGTAGATATGCCACAAAAATTAACGTCCATAACACAAATGGACACAACAGACACACAGCAAACTCATCTTAACACATTACTGACCACAGATATTTTGTGTGAGTGTCCATTGAAATATATTTATACAAACCTGTAGAGGTTATGAATTCTTTGAAGAAAGTCCTCCTTGGGGTACATATAAGCATTAAAATGTCCATTTTAAATCCTACAACAGTTGTAACCATATTTTTCAATAAAATATTTACAAAACAAAAAAAGCCCCCTACAGCCAAGAGCAGGTAACTCTGCGCCGTCTACCTCATACTTCACTTTTCATGCTGAACGTATCAGACAGAATGAGGGGAGGCGGGTGGCCGTACCCCAAGAATTCATAACCTCTACAGGTTTGTATAATTCTTTTTCAAAAGAAGTCCTCCTTGGGGTACATATAAGCATAAGACAGACTCCCAAAGATATTTGAGCTGTGAGTGGCATTCTGTCTAGCAACAACTAACCCCGTGGTGGAGTGAAATCTACAACCGATACGGAAATAGAAAAAACACACTTACCGAGCCACCTGACCGCTGATGTCAATCAGGCGGGGGCGTGGCTAGGGTGGGAAATAGAGAGCCCAAGCTTATATGTCAATTGGCTCAAATCAATTATAAAACCCCACCCCCAACCATTACAATGGAAAGGAATGTATGGGACATGCTGAAACAACTCCCAACCTTAATAGCCCGAACCAGCGAAGCGTGGCAAGAGGTATAAGGGTAGGGAAAGCGTAATAAACACTTAAAAGCCAATAACCCCTCCTGTTTGGAAGAAGGCTTTGCCGGGACCTCGATAAAACCCAGAGAAATTATTAGCCTCGCTAAAAACTTACTGAGGAAATCGAACGAGTACAAATGCCATTGTACGAGTGAAAAGCAGGATAAAACACCCCCCACCAAACGCTCTCGGCGCGAGGAGGGTATGTGTAAACCACCATCACCCAAAGAGCTGATTAACACATACTCCCAAATACTGAAGTCTCGGGAAGAGGGAAAAAACTGTTAGCGTATAAAAATCCCCTGAATAGCGAAAAGCGTAGCCGAACATGTGTTGGTTCACTATTACACTAACCTGGTCACGTGACATGCGGCTCGAAGAGCGGCATACCAAACAGTGACCCGTGGGGGATTGTACCCAAATCCGTCGTAAGGCGGGTTAATAGCATATGACTGGTTATAGCGTTCAAAACCAGCCCCGCCCTCTCTTGCCTTTTGGTGAAGAAGACGTAAGGGACGTATGTACACCGAAACCCGACCCAACCCGAAAGGGTGGTAAGGCTTATACGATGTAGTGATATGAACCATATCGACATTGAACACAGAACCGACACCAATGTCCAGTTACTAACTTGGTCAGGGTGGCAGGACACTGTCCACTGGAGAGAACCGAAAGACCGAACCGAGCATGATCCCTAGAATGCGTGTCAAGTCGGTAATGGCGAATGAAGGCGTTCTGCCGGCTCCAAAGAGCGACAGAATCGATCTCTTCGTTGAGCAGTGCCGCTGTGTATTGCCAACAAAGTGGCATCTGCCTTACCAAGTCTGCCTTCAACCCCTCGGGGGAACGTAAACCTTAGCATTGTAACCGAACAATTACGGAAACAAGCCAACGAGATAAAGTCTGCTTGCTAGCAGACTCCCCAGTCTTCCCGCCACCAAACAGAACACATGGGTACCCATATTGATCCCTTTCGTTCGTTTGTTCATTATAGTCACTCCAATGGGTGAGCAATCAAAAGATTGGTCACCGGTGTGGAAGGCTGGATAAGGGGTGGAAGTTCGATATGAGCAGTCACGTTGAAAGCAATATCGAACTGAGAGTGGTAGGTGTCCGGGAGGCGAATACAGACATGATCAGTATAAAATACTATCAGTGTCGGGTCAGTGGGTATCACATGGATGTACCCGACCTTTCTACCAGAGCTCACCACCACATGTAAAGCCGTCTTCCACGTCAACAAGTGAAGTGAGAGAGACGATATACTTGAAAAGTCAGGGCCAGACAGCCAATTGAGAATAATTGGCAATTTCAAGGTGGGCTGGGTTGTCGCCGAGTCGGTCGAACCCTGTACATGCCAGCTACGAATCGCTGTCCGAGAGGGTGCTGCCTAGGCAGAGCACCATCGAATGAGGTGTGAAACGTGGAAATAGCCATGGAGTACCCGGGAATGGTGGAGGTCATAAGGCTCTCAACCAAAACGAGGTTATAGTAACTCCAATATCCAAACTAAATCCGCAGAATAGGGATTCTGAAATCCCCCTATCTGCACACCAGCGCGCCCCACCTATCAACATACTGAACGGGTGTCGAATCCTGCCTCGAAGCCAGAATTGTGTCGGCAACTGCTGCAGGAATTCTGCGTGTCTGGAGGTTAGACCCGACAGAGGCCAAGCCACCCAGTGAATCCGAGTGAGAGTTCAGACTGAGAATGTCTGGCCGAAAAGGTAATTCGAATCCTGGCATATGGGATCGAACACCAACCTGACTGCTGTCAAATCCAGCACATTGATGTGCAGGTTGTGACTTCGTTGTCAAGAAACTGCAGGTCGCCCAGAACATCGCCCCAACCCGGGAGGGATGTATGAACTCCCTACTACAAACTACAAAGAACATGTAGCAAGAAAACCTCGATGGCGCGGTCCGCCATTTTGCTTGCCACAAGGCTGGAAAACACTGAACCCACGGCAAAGTTACAACAAAAGATGAATGAGAATATCAATATATGAAGTCCATCTAATGCCCGTGCATAAAGAAAGGAATGATACACACAGACTGAGACTCTTTTACACTCATCGTATCGGTAGGAGAGCAAACTCGAAACGAACACCACGCACGTCTATTCAACAAAACGACAGCATGAAAAGTGAGGTACGAGGTAGATGGCGAGAGTTACTTGCTCTTGGCTGTAGGGGGCCCGGTGGGGCCCTGTACGGCTGGTCTCACAAGACAAAACGAGTTTTTTGTTTTGTAAATATTTTATTGAAAAATATGGTTACAACTGTCGTAGGATTTAAAATGGGCATTTTAATGCTAATATGTACACCAAGGAGGACTTCTTCTGAAAAAGAATATTGGGGTTCGATGAAATCACAGTTTTGCATGCCGACATGTTACTGAATATCTCTGGAGAAGGTAATAGTAACCAACAACTGGAGCAATTGCCTTATAAGAGAGCAATAACAACTAATTATTATTTGTCATCTTGATTAACATACATCTTTGTACAATAGACACATCATGAGTTAATCTGATACCATGGCCGTGAGTAAGACAATAATGCTTTTTCTATGCAATCCTGTTGATAAATATTCACTCTCTATTATTCCTCCTATATTCTCTTGGCAGGGGACAGCCTGAAAACGATTCCTTTACATTAATAGACTGAACTCAATGATTAGAGACCGTTCATAATTAATGGTTTGTGAGAGGGGGGGCGGAGGGATGATGATTTTAAGGGGAGGTCACCCATTTTGTTCTGGGGAGGTAGGGGGTCAGCAATTTTGGACACGTACGGGGGTTATTTTGCATATAAACATTAGGTATTAAATGATTATGCTTAAAAATTATGGAAAGGGGGAGGGGGTCATTGATTGTGTACATGATATGCAGGGAGGGGGGGGGGCACTTACTTTGTACGTAAATTTTAGGGGAGGGAGGTGTCATTAGCATTGAACATGCTTCAGCATAAATATCATCATCACCCCCACCCCTGCCAATGCCATAAATTCTGAACGGTCGCTAAAGTTGATTAGAGAGTATATCTTGGGTATGTAGAAAATATCTTGTAAAAGCTACGCAGTGTTACAGTTTACTGCATTAAAGCATGACAAAATACGTCAACATTAACTGGCAATATTTGGAGCAATGTTGACATTTAGATACCATTCTACCCTGATTATCTCCCTTGACAATAGTAATTTATCCTCGCCGTTCGCTTGACATATCACAAAGGTGTCAACATTTCTTTCACCATTCTAACATGTGTTCATTACTCACATTAAAACAGTCTTAAAATAATTTACCTATATGCTTATTTTCACATCACATTTGTTGTTTCCGCCATTTTTCGATTCGACAAGACTAAACACGAAAGACCAATCATTTTGAGAAACTGTTCAAGGGAAGTCACTCCATGTATGATTTACTGCACATTCTTCTTGAAGTTGCGCATTCACAGTTCTCGAATTAAGGTTCGATTCCATACAAAAGTGATCAGTATTATTTTTTTCTTTTTCTTGAGAATTATCTTACTTTATCTTCAAATAACTGTCAATCATACCAAAAGATAAGCACTACACGTAAGGGACATTCGTAGCATGCTTTTGTGCTTCTGGTCGTATTAGAGTGATTGAGTTTAATTCTACGTCTCATTTTGCAATAATCCAGCCATATCACGGCGGGGTACATCAGAAATAGTCTTAACACATTGTACCCAGGCCTTATTAGATCACAGGGCTGACAGCCAAGCCATTACCAAGCTGGCAGTGCTCACAGTATCAATCACGGGGTGACTGCCCCAATGTCGACCAAACGCCACCGCCTGCAAAAATGTAGATATAAATATCGAGCTGGCTTCGATCCAAGATCCTGTTGAGAATAAATATAAAATAGAACTTTATTTCTGAGACTTAATATTAGTCGATTTTCTTCCGTAAAAACCAAGTTGGTCACTTTTATAAAGAAGGTTGTTTTCTGTATGAGAATGACATTGTTAATCTGTTTCTAGCGTGTGAGTGAGTGTGGTTTAACGCGGCTTTTAGCAATATTCCAACAATATTCGGTCGTATCCTAAACAGGCCATTGCTGAGAGATAGGATCACTCGAGCAATTGTCAGTGGTAATAAACAGACAAAGTGGTGATCGGTAACAAGTTATGCATAATTTGATCGTGCGAGCACAACTGTCATGAGAACGAAGAATGCAGATTATGTTGTGGGTCTCTTGTTATCAACCAGAAATGTTATTCTTGTCTCAGCAATTTTCCATGCAGATATATATCAGCAGTCTGTAAACATCCGAGTCTGGACCATACAATTCAGTGATTGACATCATGAGCATCACTCCTCTGAACGATGACGCTTTAATCAACCAGTTCACCGAGCCAGACCACACAACCATTTAGTCGCCTCTGACGACCTGAAAAGATATTTAACCCAGAACGCCATGCACTTATGGATAATCGGTAGAAAATATGTGCATATATTTTATTAAACGAATTATTTATAACATGTCTTAGTATATGTTAATTTGAATTATTTAATAGGTTGTTAGTTGTTCAGTGAAATTTAATAATACCAGATAGAAGAGAGAATGAGAGAGAGAGAGAGAGAGAGAGAGAGAGAGAGAGAGAGAGAGAGAGAGAGAGAGAGAGAGAGAGGGAGAGAGAGACGGGAGAGAGAGGGAGAGAGAGAGAGAGAGAGAGAGAGAGAGAGAGAGAGAGAGAGAGAGAGAGAGAGAGAGAGAGAGAGAGAGAGAGAGAGAGAGAGAGAGAGAGAGAGAGAGAGAGAGAGAGTCGATCGTCTTCAGACCGCCGCCATATAGCTGGAATATTGCTGAGTGCGGCGTTAAACAGCAACAATCAATAAATCAATGGGGTAACAACACAATGTAATGTTAAAATAAGAAATGAAATGAAACCAATATTGTGTTTACATGCCTGTATTGATCAAACGTATTGGTATAATTGTTAATTTGTACAATTCATTATCTTTTTATGAAGCTATGATAGTGTGTTATGAATACACAATGCCATTTAGAAAGGGGTCAAATGTAACATATGTTAAACTTGGGATTACACTTCCTTAGTATAGTAAAGATTCTAGTACTTTTGGGGGGTTGAGTTCCATCCGGGATTCGAACCCACGCCCTCAGAGGCAGGCACCAAATCACCAGCACACCCAGTCAGCCGCCTAACCCGCTCAGCCACCGCAACTTCCATAAAAATATGATAGTGTGTTGCCTCCGGAATAATCATGCCTCGAATCGAATATTTCTTGTTAATAAATAGTGGGAAGAAAAGTGGGAAGAACGGTTGTGGATGATAGAAATCTCATCCCCCGTGTTGCGTAATATAAACTATCTTAACACTCGCCGATAAGAGCCTCGGAGTTATCAACCGGTTATCAACTCGTGTTGATATATTTCATGTCAAATTACACTAAGTGATTTTCTATGTCGTGAGATTTTGTTGCTCATTGGTCGTTATTAATTGGTGATGTTTGGTTGGTCCTGACGTGCACATATATAAACATTGGGTCAATATATAAGAGAGAACTTATATTCATCTTTATCGCAACTTTAGTCAGGTGAACTCCAATTATATTGCAAACATGTTGGAAGTGACCAATACTCCGCGTTCGTAATTGTCGTCCACGTGTGTGTGACGTCATACTTTGTAGTAAACCCAGAAGGAGGCGCTGCATCTTGGGAAGGGGAGGCCATGTTTGATTGATATTACGGTAGGAAAGCGTAACATTTTGTTAGGGTTTCCATTTGTTCGTCATTAATTTCAAATGGAAAACGTGTATTTTAATCTAGTGTCGACTCTCAATGTCTAACTGAAAACATACCATGCTCTGAGGTAATGTAGTTTAATGTTTTATGCTCGATGGGAAATCTCTGAAGACAAAGCGTAACTTTTTCTGCTGACGCGAGGCTTGTGTTGATCAATATTGCAACCTATGTACTGAGACTTGTACCTACTTTATGCTTCTTTCATGAATACTACAGCCTAAACACATTTTGTGGTTATACCAAATATATGCAGTGTATTTTCGTCATGTAATTGGACCTGACCGTGATTGTCCCAACCCGCCATTACCTAAAATTGGCAACTTGAATAGCATGGACATGTCGCAATTAGTTTTATTCCGGATGATGTATACACAACTCTGGTACGATACACAAAATAGGGCTAGACCCTCGGGTAAGACTTCTTTCCATATACCCCTAAATTTTAAGAATGAGGAAAACGTCTAAGGGCATCAAAATACCATAGGATATATATATTATGTCAAGAAAAGTAATATTGTCAGAATGTCTGGAAAAATCATGGAATTGTTTTTCACAAAAATGTGGGAACCCTTGCAAACGGTGTTGATTAGAAAGGGGATCCAAGGGCTAAGGTGTGATATTTGTGTATCCAGTAATTGACGACATGACCATTGCTCTACACAATTCATGTGCAATGGCATACATTAATCAAGGCAGTGAGCCTGAACACCTGACAGGCATGGGTTGCTGAACACTAATTCTAAGCTGGATGTTGGAAAGTCTTAAAAACTTTAGGGCAATTGAGTTGAGTTGGGCTTTACATCACATCGACATTATTTCAGCCATATAGTGACACACATGATAGAAACAAAATATAAAGATATACAAAAATTAAAATGGTAACTCCCCTGCTGGAGCTATTAGTCCCTGGCTTCTCTGACCCACATATTTACATCCAACCATGACACAGCTGTAGTCAGATCTTTGTGTGACAATGTGTAACAACATCCATTTATTAGAGCAATCCGTCCTTTCGCTGGTTTCGTTGACTTCATGAATTCTTCCAATGTCCTTTTTATTTGTTTTTCTGGTGTCACTCACTGTTTATAAGGGATAAATACAATTCTAACAGCTTGTTAACTCATTTCAGTTTCATATCAGAAAACTACAGCAAAATGATTGAACAAGACAGACCTGGAAAGATATTTGTTGGAGGCCTTACTTCAAATGTTGACAGAGAGACACTTGAAAATGCATTTGCAAAGTTTGGCAGAATCACAGAAGGTAAGTTTACACTATTTTTTGTATCCGTTGTTACCTCTGTTTTGAGCAAACTTAATCCAGTGTAGTCCTTTGCAGTCTCATTAGAATTTGATGTTAGGTGTTGAAACCGCTAAACAAAGATCTGAGGACACCCCATAACAGGTTGTATGAGGTTGACTTTTCATCTTACCAGTTTAGAGCATTGATTACCAGACAAGAAAAGTGACAGGTGGAATGTGTTTTCCAGTCATTCAACTTAGAAATGATTGACATAGTATTTTGAACATTTAAAGACTGTTCAACCTGATCTGTAAGAATCATTGTCTATTTCTTGCTTTGTTCACTGTTAATGGGAGAAACATTTCTAATGGAAGATACTTGACATAGCCCTTGAAGTTCTTCCCTTCAATCTTCTCTGTCTTTTGGACTTTCAAAAATGTTTTCTAAATCCATTTTAAAATTATGACTAAATGTTTTCGAAGCAAAGTTTTGAATGAAGGTCATCTATTTTGAAATTATCTGTGGTGATTATATCTGGTGTGATGCTGAATATTCAAATGTTTACAGAAAAGACACTCATGTTTGCTGTTAACTGAATGTACCAAAATGATATATGGTTTGGATCCTGTCTGTTGTCAATTTGTGCATGAAAGACATACACTGCAGATACTGCACAAGGATGAAAACAAATACCCACAGTAAACTATTTAGAAACAACACATATAGGAAATGTATTTAATTCTTGTACACATTCTAACCAAAAAATCATATCTAAACTATGTATGCTAGTTCCAGTTCAAATTTTATCATCGTCACTGAAATATTTTGAAAGGTAGATGGATATGAACAGTTAACTAAGTGAATTGTTTCATCATAATTTCAGTTCTCATAATAAGAGACAAAATCACCAACCAGTCACGTGGATATGGATTCATCACATATGAAAATCCCTTGGACGCCGAAGATGCAGTGAAAGGAATGGATGGAGAAGTAAGCCGCAGTGATTACTGTAACAGTTACATGTATAAAGTTCTTTCATTGTCAGTGGAGTGGTGGGGTAGCCTAGTGGTTAAAGCGTTCACTCGTCATTAGGGGTGGGTATTGCAGAGAATTTTCATATTGCGATATGTTGCGATATGTATTGCAATATATTGCAAGGATTATTTTTTTTAACAAAAACTACTTATAATCGAGTTAATGCTTGATTATAAAGCAAAAACAACATAAATCACTATGATTGATTAACCTTTTGTAAAAACTTTTAATCATGACAAAATAAAAATGTAACATTTGGCTCTAATGAAACAGGGAAGAGAAGAATTAAAAAAACGGAAATATACGAAGATTTCCGAATGTTACGAAGTTTTCCGAATGCATGTCAAAATACCAGTTTTTGATCAGCGTATCGCAATACGTATCGTTTTCATGTCTGAACCGAAAATACCGGTAAACCGGTTATATTGCGCAGCCCTACTCGTCATGCTGAAGACTTGGGCTCGACTCCCCACATGGATACAATGTGTGAAGCCCATTTCAGGACCTAGATTTTCTAAGCTCTCTTTGCGCCAAGATAGTCATAAGTGCCATACATTAACATTAACTTACGACTATCTAAACGTTAAGAGAGATTTGAAAATCTAGGCCCTTGTGTCCCCGTCATGATGTTCCTTGAATATTGCTAAAAGCGATGTAAAACCGTAGTCAGTCATTGTCAGTGCTGCTTGCCTTCTGATTCTCTGCTTAGTGGGGTTTGTGGCAGGAGCCTTTGACAATTTGAACCTTTGCGTACAACGAGATCCAGAAATATTACATTATAGTTGCAAGTGTGTTGTCTGTATTATGGCTGTGTTGAATTTTAATTTTCAATTTGTATTCCGGTTGAAAGGCTGCACGTTCCCACCTTTACTGTTTGGTTTCTTGATGGATCCCAGTAATACATGGACAATTTGTCACTGGTCTGTTTCTGCTGGCAGACTTCTACAGCAGAAATATTTAAATTCTTTCCTATCTCCGGCAGCTGGTATTAACTTCTAAATATTTTTTATCCTAAGTCAGCCAATTAAGACTTTGTGCTGAATGTCAGAAAGAATGGTAGATAAAAATCAGCATTGTATATTTTTTTTGTGGCCAAGCAGTTACATGGTTTACGCGGGTTGGAAAAGGCCTGAAATTTGAACATTTTACTGTAAAAAGTCCCTAAATTCTTTTACGCATTAAAAAGGCCTAGTAACCAGTATGGTTGGGTATTGCCAAAATTTCCGTATTGCGATATATTGTGATATGTTTTGGCGTATTTCAATATGTATTGCAATATATTGTGAAAGTGTAAGTCATTAAAGTTCTGTTAAGCTTCTTTTGAAACAATGCCACTGGACACTCAGGGTTCGAAATCTACGCTAGTCCGCTAGCCCAAGGCTAGTAAATCTCCCGGAGGACTACCAAAACATCTAACAGTACTAGTCCGCCGGGCTACCAGGCAGTAGTCGCATCAAAATGATATATAACTTTAGGAACCTAACTAACATATGATTCATTAATTAAATCTATCTATCACTTTTCACAATGTCTGAAAACACATATTACATTTCAAGTGACCATATATTATCGACAAACTTAAAATGAAAAGCTATTTTTCGCAATGATATTGGAAAAAACAATTCTCGGACACATGCTTCGGCAACGGGTCCACATCAAAGTTGTCAAAGAGCAAAGTAACGATGTTTCGAGATGATAATTAAACAAATTGAATAAATTGAAGAATGTATTCAATAACGGTACTCATAAAAGTTGTCAAACCTACATTATAACTTACTATTCCCATCTTTATTGTGCGATCGTGTAATGTAATTCAAGTGACATCTCGGCTTTCGTCGCCTCGAACTTCGTGCTCGGACACGATGTTTAAAGCTAAAATATATGCATGAAGCATTTTTGTCACAGGTCATAACCTAGCACGATACGTCCACTAAGGTCCAGAATATACGTATAGGTAGTGATCTTGTGCGTAACACGTTCAGAATAGCATGAATTTACCCAAAACTTTCGTCTGAATCTAAACGTTTTCGTTTACGAGGGCGGTATCCATTGCTGTAATATGATTGTCTGCCTTAGGTCACGTGTGTGATTTTGACCAATCGTAGCAGACTGTGACAGAAAAGCGTCATTAGAAACCAATCTTTAACCAATCAAATCGCTTCTTACAACTGTGAAAATACTCTTGGCAAGGGTATAGCGATATAGTTGATGTTCAGAGCTTTCGAACGATACCCAGCCATCAAAGCGAATAGCCTCACATGTTTTTATCTGAAAAAGCTTGGCAAATACGGATGTATTTCCACTGTTGTATCACTCACGTTTTTTATCGAGCGGAAAGCCACTGGTATCGGGAAACACTGGATCGACCATACATATTATTTGAGAAATATCTTTATAATAGTTTTCCCGATTGGCGTAAACATGAAAAATAGAAAAAAAAAACGTAAGGGGATAATTATGTCATGCTACAAATGGAAAAAATCGCTGCATTGTTTGCTTCCTTCGTGGTTTATCTGAACATTATAAATGTGTAATCTTGCATTTTCATTAAATATTAACTTATGTACGTTGTAGTTGTGTTATCTGAATAATATGATCATATCCATCTGTCATGACTGAATTAAACTATGCCAAAACATATTGTGTGTGTGTTTGTTATGATACCACACCTCTGCCAATACTGCTTGACTAAGTCGAATTAATTATTTTTTGTTTATTAAAGATTGAAATTTGAGGACTACCAAAATTGTGTGAGGACTAGTAGTTTCGTGAGAGTCACTAGTCCTCATGGATAGTAGACTTTTCAAAGAGATTTCTAACCCTGACACTGTCAGGACTCAGATGTGATTGACCAATTAAAATTCTCTAAACTATTAATGTATAATAATATAAAGGAAATACAATTGTTAGTATTTTTGACTACATCATGAAAATTACGATTATGGTCACGTAAATTGGCAATCGTATCATGTAAACCAGTACTCGAAAAGTGTACTGCAATATATAGTACTGCCAGTACTACAACTGGTAGTTTGAATTATTGCAGTTAGTTTTAATAAAACACATTTTGCATTAGAAAAATTGCTTCTGTATTCAGATTTCCAACGTGTCATGTGTTGATCAACAAAGATGGCAATAACTGTAGATTAAAGTTACTTCTATTTGGTAGCAACAGGAAGAAAAATGGACATCTTTGACGAGAGTTTTTGTCTATTTCTTTTGCACTGATTGATGTCATTATCAATGAATATCAAGTCTTAGATTGGTTCAATATCAAAGAAATATCTTCTGATTGCTCGTAACTATCAGTATCAAGGTACCATTGAAATAGTGTTGTGTACTATTGTAATAAAAATACACTTTTGAAAGTAGCCAGTGATAACCACTTGTACTTGGACATGACAAACAATATTTAATTATAAGGTGGCAATAGTGTCAACCCTTGAAACTGTATTGTTACAGACTTTGTAGGTTCCCTCATTTCAGACCATAAATGGAAAGGAAATTCATGTTGAACAAGCAGTGAGAGCTATACATGATGACCGAGGAGGAATGAGGTCAGGTCGTGGTGGGAGGTCAAGGGGTGGTTCCTCCATGCGTAGCAGGGGCAGTCGAGGGGGTCTCTCAAGTAGAAGGGGAGGATTCAGCAGTCGAGACAGTGGTGGCAGTCGAGATGGTTCACGAAGGATGGATTCGATGAGACGAGGGTCTCCACCACCAAGGCGTGGATCTTCAGGAATGAGAGGGCGTGGACGTGGTGGACCTGTTTTGAGGTATGTTCACCATGCTGCTGATGTTAAAACCTTGTATAGTGAAATTGTGTGATGTCATAATAAAGACACCAGTCTGTTAGAAATATTTTTCCTGAAAAATCTATTTTCATGACGTTTGGGGCTATTCTGTAGAGCTTGTTTCTATAGGAACTGAATATGCCAAGGCTGTATGAGTAAGATCAGATATTTGGAAACTAGGAATACAGAATTTTAGAACTTAACAGCTATCAGTGTTCACAGGAACAGAAGCCATTAACTATTATATTTCTACCAAGACACGTGGTAAATAGCTATTATTTTTCTTTTAATGATTTATATTCAGTTTTATTTGTTTTATACAGAAAACATTCTAATCGACGCACAAGTTTTTCGTGAGTAGTGGTTGGCGTCTAATATACGTTTCATGATCATTTTGGGAGATTAAAGAAAATATGACTTTGTCGTCTTAAAAATGTGTTTGTCCTTTGTGTAAGAAGTGTTTTCAGACTCTTAAGAATGTTTATGATCTTCATCATTTCCCATATCAGCTTGGAATTCTGCTTATTCTTCTGTGTTGAATGTCACATTCAGTCTTATAAAATATCTCTCTGTAAAAAGACCCCCACAGCTATTGGATTGTTTTTAATCTGATGTACAGTAATGCTTAAGCATCTGGTCTTGTATTTAATGAATAATATGTAGTTATTTCACATCAGGTAACTTTGAGAATGTAAAGATAAGATAGTATGCACAGTTCTATTTTAGAAATGAATTTTGATGGGTCCATGTTGAAGGAATTTTAAAATTATTTATTAGCAAGTGTCCCTATGGCAGTTATTTTGACATTGTTTTCCAAATTTTGCTTCAGCTAAAATGTTTACCTTCATCATCTGTATGGTATTAGTCTTTTTGTATTTTCTAGTTTTTCTTTAGCTTGATATTGAAAATCTTTCGGACCATTAAACATAGCAGTTCCTGAAAGCTTTGACCTGTCCTTGCACTGCTGAAGCAATCTAAAGGTATTGGCATGGTTCTTCAGGATAGAAACCAATCCATGTGACTAATAAGTTCTTTGTGTAAATGTCTTGCTATAAATAATCAACATGTTATACCTAAAAGTCACATTACTAGTTATAACAGTGTCGAAGTAAACTGGACAGTGTTTAATTCAAATTTGAGATTTTTGCTAACATTATTTGCTGTTTAAGGACCAGTAGTAGTTTCTGAGCAGGTCAACAAAATGAAAAATAAATTGTATTTTTGGCTTTAGGGTTGTTATCCCCAGCAACGCGTTTTGCGGGGGGGTATTAAAATGGACTGTCCGTCCGTGCACATTTGTCTTTTCCGGAGCATAACTCTAAAACCGTTCACTATTTCTTCACCAAACTTGGCACATAGACAGATCTGGTGGTGTACTGGTGCCTTTTGGTAGTTTTGGAGTTCCGAATAAAATATTTTTGGCATTTCCATGGCAACAAGTTTGACTTAGCCTGAAATTGGTGATAGTGCTCCTTTCTGGAGCAGAACTTTCAAAACCTTTCAATACTCTTCTTCCACTTTTCTATATACACACCTAAATATTTGACATAATCATAACTCGTAGACATAATCATGAAGAGTATTTTGCCATTGCAGGGGATATTGATGACCTTGTCTTCTTGTTGAACTTCGTTCTGGGATTGATTATTAAGAGGTATAGATTTGAAGAAACATTTTCTACATCAGTGTCAGTTGTAGAGGCCTTCGAAATCAAGTTTCCCTTGACTTATTATTGTCTTTTTTGTGGCAGTTGCCCTATTGCACTTTATCTGGAGTATTTGCTAATGATTGCAGTAACGGCTGTTTAATGTATACTATTCATATGTAGTGTATTAAAAACAGTTAAGGAACAGCAAACATGACCACACTTAATCTCATTTTTCATGAATATTTGTACACAAGCAACAAAGAATTTGTTGGGTCATAGTTATTTATTGTGCATTTTTTCAAGTTGATATGGAGCCAACATCATTGATTTCTGACATAAATACTTATCTGAGGAGGTCTAAATGCAGGTCATATGAAATGTAAAGGTAAACAGAAGGCATTTTTAATAACCATACACTCTTGTGTCAATGGGATTTACATTTTAAATGGAAGAGATTCTCTGTGGTCTGCAGAAAGTAATATCATGCGTTTCTCGGCAACAGAATTTTCTTTTGTCCGGTTTTCAGAATTTGAGCTTTGTCAAAATTTTATCCAAAGAGTGGTTTGAAATGGAAGTCATTTAAAAAATTGTGGTGTAATGCTTGAAAAGGCTGCTTTCTGATTGGTTATTATCACTTTCATTGGCTGATTAAAGTTTGTGAAAGGTCACTCCAATGTAACCTGCAATGGAATTACCTTACATGAGGTTGTCAACTATGCTTTTCAACTGATTTCTTTAACGAGGACAGGCATGGGTTGCCTATTTGTCTGTGCCAATGTGCGTCCATTTCACATGCTAGAAACCTGCCAGTTTGTGGGTTTTGTCAGCATTTTATCAACGGATGTGGGTTTCATCAAAGTGTGACACGTCTGAGACCTCCATCTCTTGAGGCGTTTTTCCCACATCAGTGTTTAGCTGACATGTTTTGATATCTATGGAATACTGTTGATAACAGCGTTGAATGCAGCTTGAGAAACCCCTCATTTACTGAGATATCTTAATGAGATTGATACACAAATGATTTAGTTATAAATCAGATCTATTTCATATTTGACTATCCACCATGAAATGAAAAATATGAGGGAAGCTTTATTACCTTGTCATTTTTACTCTTGTGAATCCTTGTAAATTATATTATCATGAATATATGCGTTGCCTATTGTCAACTTTTGCAACATATCCATTGTTCTTCAATTATAATAGTATTTCTTTGTTAGCAGTGCATATCAAAATTTTGCTCGATCAGCATTTAACATTTTCAAAATGATGGACATGAATGTAGATATTTTGTTTGTATAGGATATTGTCTATATTTTTGCCTAGAATTCCCATGCTTGTCTTCAGTGTGGAGCAGATGGTGTATCACTAAAGTACTGTCGGAAATAGAAAAAAACCTTTTTTCTCATTTATATCTACAATTTATGTAGTCAATATGTGAAACTGTGAAATATCTGTTAAACTATGTTGGGCCTAACTACAGTCTCAGTGGTAGGGAGATAGGAAACGTAGAAAAGGGACTTTACTGAGGGGAGATTAGTGCAGAAATGAGCAATGCGGGGGTTTTTTCAAAGTCCAAAGTGACTTATTTGGAACAGATCATTATGCAAATTAGTGTACGATGATATTGTATTACAAAGGACACTTTTTAAATGCCCATTTTAAAATTAAACCTAGCTTCATTATAAACGATAGCTGACGTAAAAATAATAATTTTAATGCTGAAACTATTAAGGATGTAGCTACCATGGAGTCTCACTAACACTATAAATAGAAACAGGTAGGGGGGTCGTCTCAAAAGCAAAACCAGGACGGGTGTCGCAGACGGTGGTTGGGGTCGGGCTGGGGGATAGATATCAGCTGAGATAAGATAATCCTTTCGGTGAATTAAACTGGGGAAGCAAACGCATGTCATAACAATTTACAAATAATATCCAATCCTGTCGATCTTCGCGGGTGGTCATGCCTCCTATATATTTTGAGACATTTAATATAATCATATTCTTTTAGTACATATCTCAACATAAACTTTATGAAAGAAAGACACGTAAGATGTTAATCAATAGATAAGACATATTCAGCACACATGAAAAATCATAAAATATCTTTGAGATGACCCCTTGTGTCTGGAGGCAGCACATGCATTTCATGCCAGGTGAGACATGGTCCGTCGTCATACCTGGCTGAGCGACCTAATTGCCATCTGTAGTCGGATCTATTGTTTTCAGCATCTATTCATATTTTTTCTAAGTTTTGCCTGATTTTACGAGTGAACATGCTTTTCTGGATATCCTATTATGTATCCCACTGAACGTCCAGTTAGGCAGATGGTGGTTATTTCGACATATGCTATTTGCAATTGTGTTAATTTTTTGGATACAGAGTAACAGCCTAAAAACAGTTTTTTTCTATTTCCGACAGTACTTTAGATTATTGGCACTAAGTGAACCACGCTGTGTACTTCACTGGCAATTTTTTCTAATTATTGTTATGCAAGCGTCCTATGTTTAATGTGAATATCGCACATACTGCTTTGCACAAGTTACGTTAGGTACCAGTGTTGCATTTTTTAATATATATTTTTTGCTGTACTGTGTACAGTATTAATATTATTATTGCTTACATAGCTGAACAGTTGGAAATATATTGCTTATTCAAGTTATTGTATGCATTTTTTGGAAAAGAATGTCATTGTTATTCCAAACTGAATGCGTGGCTTATGACTCGTGTTGCCTCAGTATATTCTTAATTTATGGTTTGAATTTCAAATCATTTTGTTCGGTTGGTCAGTCACTTGGTTGCTAACATATTATGATACAGTATTTTTTCCCCAGTGGCAGTCATCTACAACATTCTGCAGTGTTTTATGCCTTTGTCTGGCCAGGGTGATGGAGAAACTAATGGTGTGTTTGTACTTCAGGGGTCGCAGCAGCAGTTTTGGTCGGCGAGATATGACACCACCCAGGAAGTCAATGATGCTTCATTCCTCTCCTCCACGTTACTCTGATGGGCCATCAAGAAGATACAATGATTCCCCTCCACCAAGGAGAATGTCTTCTGACTATGGTAAGCATTTGAAAGGAGAGTACCTAACATTCCCCAAATAAGGTTACATAGTAAAGGGCATGAAGTAAGATTGGCAGTTAGCTATGCAATTTTGTTCCTTAAGCGTACTAGAATTGCATGCTCGTGGGTTTGCACCCAGTTTTCTAGGGTTGTCAGCTCCATACCAGTGATCATGGGTATCATCGAAATGGTAAATTTTAGAGATCTGTACAACTTTGGCATTCTTCCCTCAGTGCACTGACATAAACTGATACAAACAGTACTGTTGAAAACAGTATTAAATATAAATGCATTTGTTCTATCAGTCACTGGTTTGTATGGTTCACAGCTTTCTAAAGGGTCTCTGATACAGCAATATAGATCATAAAAAATCAATAATTGTGACCTAATATCAGTCGATTATTGAAACATATGGGGTGTATGTCAATTAGGCACCTAACTCTGAGAATGTGGGTTCAAATCCTGTATGAGCCTCAACCCAACAAAAGTACTAGAATCTGTACTTTACTGAGAAACTGTAATCCGAAATATAATGTGTTATGAACTCAATGCTTATTACAAATATTTGTTCAAACACTGACTAAAGGTCTAAACTGAAATGCTGCCTGCAGAATTTATTTTTCTGTCATGACAAGTATTTTCTTACTCTTATCCACCATGGCTCTCAGATTATGGTTCTTATAAGTGCTCTCCATATATAAATGCTGAAAGATTTGTTTTCTCCATGCTGGAAAGGACTTCTTTTATTATAGATCGCAGAGACAGTAGATTTACTAGCAGTGGTCTCTCTGATCGTCTTCCCCCACGTGGCCGAGATATGTATCAGTCTTCCCCTCCACGAGACTCCAGCCGCCTCATGGACAGGTACTTGCTTCAACATGCACACATATTCAAATATCTTCACTTTTATCACCTCACATATCATTGTTATTGCAACATTGTGACTCATGGATGCTCCACTTATTTGCATGTGTTGCTTTCAACTGGCTTCACCACGATGTTGTCATTATATCTTTGTAGTAAATTGTATGATTCAGTCCTTGTCTTTTGTCATCCCTTTGCCAGTATGTTGTGCTTTGTTTATGAGTAATCATATCGTATATACAGGCCCAAGTTCCCCAGTCCACACAGCAATCTTAGTGCTAAGACTACTTGTAACTCTGGTAGTTTAACACTGATTTCCTATGACCATAGTGATAAGATTGCTTGGAGGAAAAGGTCTCGGCAATCCTAGCATTGTGGTGTTTTTAACATCCATCCAATAACATGACCTGTCAACAGCTGTAGCACAAAGATTGGTTTGTGGAACTGGACAGTCCCTGAAACACGTTGTGAAAGGCTATAGAGATGCCTCCCTTGGATTGTGAGGAACCATGTGTTTAAGATTAAATACATTTTGGGGTTAAGCTTTTTGAAGACTTTCAATGGAATTTAAGATGAAATTGAGTTGAGTTCATATCCAAAGGCCATATTACTTCCAATTTACTTGCATGTGGTGCTGTTTTGGCATGTTTTTTTTTTTTCACTGCCTGCTAGATTTCATTCATTGCTTCGGGCACTTGGCAAGGATTATATTGAAGGTTTGCACAAATATTCCATGTACTTTTAGATTTGATAAGTTGATTATAATGCAATAGTGAGTTTTTTGGCCTGTTATTCTTTCTGCAACTGAAGTCACAAGACCAATGTGAGGTTGGTAAATATTTTTCAGTTTTCTGGTGTGCTTAACTTACAAAAACTCTTTTGAGACGAGGTAATATCTAAAACTGCACAGGGGCTGATATTCAGGCCGAACTCTGCACGTCAAATGACAGTGAATAATTTGAATTATTCATTCCCTAATGCCTCAGAATTTATAAGAACAGAAAAAAATCCAATTTGGAATACTGTCATGATTTAGTTTCCAAATTTGGTCTGCTGCAGTGATGTTGCTGGAATATTGCTAAAGCATCGTGAAAACTCACTCACTATTTTCCAAATATGCCTGACAAGGGAACGGTTTATAAAATCCTGGATAAATAACTGTAAGAAGTGTTCTGAAGAAGAAAAAAACAGAAAGGGCAATATGATTGCTTTTGCATGTTTATGGAAATTGACTTATTCTTACATGGAAAATAAGTGCAAACTTTCAAGATGATCGGTCACTCCCAGCATGATGTGGATGTGCTTTTTCATTGCAGTCGTATGTCATCAGGTCGGGGTAGCCGAGATTATCAGAGTTCACGAGATTACCCCCCACAGAGGGACTACAATTCTCGCAATTTCACTCCAGAGAGAGAACCAATCCGATCACGGATGCCTCCACAAAGGTGGGTTTCCATGGTATCGCCATGGGAAATGGATTCATTGTGAAGTGTGAGAGAATATGGATCATGTTCTAAGAACTTCACACAATGCAATGTGTGACATTTTTTAATGTTGTATTCGACAATTTTCAGGTGCTGATCAGTGAATACATAAGAAGTTTTAGCTTCTGGTGGAGGCTAGCAGTTTTTTTAATATATATTGTGATAATATAGGGAAACCTCGGAAGTCATGCCCTGTACATGACAACTTTTGGTGTCAGTTGGTTCCGTTGTACTCCGCCATGTAGTAGATAAGTATTTGAGTCCTTCAAGTTATTACAAGCTAAAGCAGGTAAAAGTCCCCAGTATTAACATGATTAAATGTTGTCTTGGGAAGCTGCCCTTCGGTCGATGTTGATTTTAAACCGTATCCTGTTTAGATACTCAACATCTTATTTAATGATCTGCAATTAAGAAAAAACATATCACAAAGTGTTTTAATTTAACGTATGAAATGAATTCTACATGTCAAAGTGCAAATGGCACATGTATATTAAATTTGGAACAGTGTAACATTTGATTGTTTAATATTAAATAACTTCTTAAAGGTTTTGTTCCCTCAGCGATTAATCACACATGCCCAAATAAAGAGGACAAACATGTGGAAAAATAACAACTTTGTATGACAGGGTTAATGAATAGAAATTGAAGCAACATTTTTTCCTTTTCATTGGAAAGTATTCAGGCCTTTCTTTAAACAAAGCAATTCCATCTCTGGCTTGGATTATGGATCAAAAGGATCCGATTTATTTTAATATGTATTTTATTGTAAAATTGTTAATGTTAAGGCAACTATTTGATTGTTATAAATGCTATGAAAACAAATATGATTTTTGTTGATAAAACTCTACTATTTAAACATTTATTCATTGCTAGTGATTTAGAACCTGATCTTGAGCCTTCATGTCTTGATAAATACTTATTCCAACTCAGATTTTTAAGGGTATTTGCATCTGGTAATTGGAAGATACTTTGGCAAATAATTAAGGTTTTAAAAATTCCATTTTCAATAAGGGAGTTACCCATTTTTGGATTTCAGAAAAAAATGGATACACAGCATGCTCTGCTGTTTGTATTGGTGGTCAGAACTGGTGACTTTGTTGAGTGTTCTGTACCCTCATGATGTGTGTCATTCAGAACATGACCCCTTGATTGTCTGGTCCAGGCTCAATTATTTACAAGCAACCTTCATATTGCTGGGATGTTATTCACTGACTGATTGCACAGAATTATGAACATATTTTCCATGTTTATAAAATATGAACACATCAGTCATATTTTCATCATACTAAACATTCACTGCCACTTGTAAAACTTGTCACTAAGGGTTTTATTTATATGCTCTGGTGGTGTACTAAAGCATGAACTGCATCTTGATATGCTGTGAATTATTCACTTACCATCATTCTCCCATATTTAACATTGTCTGGTACATATAACACCTTACCCAACACTTTCACTTTGTCTCCTATGCTCAACATTATCTCCCACACTTACACTCTCCCACAGAGAACTTTGTCTCTGACACTGAACATCATCTCTGCTTGCCTTTACTTACAATCAGTGTGTTAGAATAGCTTAGATTTGATGTATTCAGTGTGGGTGTATGGCACGGGAAACCAAAGATGCCTTTCCATCAAGGTCTCCATCACAAGTGACAGGCAAACATTTCCATGTATTGTTGTATTATGAGATGTAGAAACAGATGTTGGTATCAGGATCAATGAATCAACAATCAACATTCCTCAGATGATCAACCAGGAACGCTGGAACTGCCTGGCTTTGTATTATACCCAGCAACATGTGCTCATGCTGGTCAATCTGAATTAGAATGAAGATTTGGATCAGTAGCCAATACTTGTCAGAAGGGGCAAGTAATGGGATCAGTTGTTGTGACTTTTATTGTACCCCATTGGGGTAAGTCGAGTCGGTGAAATATCTGGCCCAGGCTCCAATGTTTAGAGACTGCACTCACGTGGCAGGAACATACATCTACAATAAGTCTTGGCTTTACTACCTTAAAATGACATTTGTTTATGATGCTTAAAGAATGTTGAATGAACATAACCTTTACATCCACTCTTCAATATTCATTTCTTTTTCATGTTCAAATATCAACCTGCAATATTCAGGGATAGAAATAGTGCTTAATTTGTTGTGCCATTGCACGGATCAAATCTATACTGTGTGCCCTGGAGCTCAGCTAAAATTGTGACAGTAATACTCTTCATGATTCATTAAAATGGAAAATACAACAAATTTTACCTACTCAAATGATTCTAAACCTATTTATGCACCCCATCAGACTGTTACTCATGGTACTCTCAATCTCACAGCTTGACATTGCTATGTCCATTTTGAAAGCCAGTGCACATAGCAAGAAATACTGTCTTGGAGGATAACATAGTTTGTGGGTTAGTTTATGGGTCCAGGACAGCTATTCTCGAAACGTTTGTAGCCTAAATATACACATTCCTAACACACTGGCTACAATCAAAGTTAAGAATTATTAGGGCTATGAACATTTTGAGAATAAGGGCCCTGGACAACTGAACCTTAGCTATTCTTGCAGTCATGATAGTGTTCAGGAAACCCTGCTCTCAAGTTTACGGGTTTACATGATGTTAATTGATTTATTAAACAAAAATTGACATGACAATTGTTGTGATATTTAAAGTTTTACTGGATCATTAAAAGGACACCCTTTCATAAGATTATATTTCTATCCTTGATATTACTGTATTCAGGCTGGATACCATGTGTATAAAGTGTAAATTTTTGCCACTTGTTTTCTCTTATCAGTATGTAATTCAATGGCAGAACAAGAGTGAATATATCTTCATGAAATATTCTTTAAGATGTTTCAAATGTTTTACCCAAGAGACCACACAGAGTCACATGTAAGGCAGACAAGATAAACAGGACTTGTTTACATACCAAATAGAACTAGGGATTATTAAAAATGCAAAAAACTAGTATAAAAAAGCCTTTTTGAGCAGAAAATTGGAGAAAAATCTTAGCTATAAGAGCAAGGAACTCTTGCAGTAATGCTCTGTATGCTTTTTAGGGCTGACTTTATTGTGCTCTGTTTCTCTAAACAATGTAAAGGCGTTGATTAAGAGAGAAAGTTCAATCCTTGACTTTTTCAGAGACTCGTATTCCTTGAGTAGTCGAGACGACAGACGTGATACTTTCACACGCAGCAGTGGTGGCCGGGACTATTTGCCTTCACGTGGCGGCGGCAGCGGTGACTACATCAGTTCCAGGGACAGTGGACGTGATTACAACTCATCACGGGACTACAGCTCTTCTAGTCGTGACTACCAGTCCAGCAGAGATGTCCCCAGCAGAGATTATGGATCTCGATTTGACAGCCAGTATGTTGATCTCAATTGTCCTAATGTTTACAGTGTTACACCTTCAAGGAGTCAGGGCCTCATGCACGAAACACAATTTAATTAAGTGGTTCAAATTGATCAATGTAGACTGGAATACGGCTGATATTTGGCCCAAAGCCTGTGCACATGTCAGCAAAAATTCCCAAATAGAGTAGTGCTGTTACACACTCACTATTGTGTCAACATTGACAAGGAAGTGTCTAACCTCTGGTTGTATTGAAGTAAAGGCTTGTCCCTGCATAGTAATCATTTGTGATTGTGTCAAACATCTGATCACTCAAAGAATTGTCATAAATCCTTTTAACTTCAGTAACAACTATGTTTGACTGTTAAAGGTCACATGCAACGTAAAACACAACTTTGCAGATTCTGATACCTTTCGGTATGGACTTACCGAAACAAAGTGTCAAAAATGCTAATTCAACTTACAAAGTTAAAAGATAAAGCGATCAAAAAAACCCCGCGAAATCGGAGTTCAAACGTTTCACTAATTTTCCCCAGACTTTTCTGGGGAAAACGGGTTTCAACAGCTGGGCTGCGCTCATAGCACGTGCGCAGTGAAATAGGTTCGCGCAACTTGGAAGTTCGGTGGAGGCTTTGGTGTGAGTTTTTTCATAATATTTTGTTGATATCTCACAGGCGCGAGCTTTTTATATGTTATGACAGTAAATAAACTGTTTATATAATTTCATTTGTCTATTTCACCACACGTTCTTCTTACCGAGTCACTTTCTCAGTTCGATACTTAAAAGCAATGTCATTATTTAGAGTTGACACAATTTCTAACTGTGATATAGATATGTCGCTCTCACAGACAAAACTCAATGTCTTGTTTTATTGACACCTGTGTGTTTGCCTGCCTGTCTGCTAATGACAATATTCAATACACAATTGCGATCACTGACCACATGCAATTTGAACTTAACACCAATCAGGCTATACACCATAAACAAAACGCATTGATTTATGGCCCGAGTTCGGTCTCTGTCACATTATGTAATTACACAGACGGGCAGGTGTGATACTTGAACACATGACATGTTATGATGTCTGTTGATTGCAAAATGTTATACACAAAAAATGAGCATGTATTTACAAAACCCAACTTTCTATATATACACACACAATAAGGCGGCATCTGCTAATGAACCAGCCGTTACACTTGAGTGCACACCCATCCGCTCTGACTGGGTTCGGTATCCCGGCTGCTTCGTTTCGAGGGAGGTAAACCCAAGTACAAAATATTGCACTTTTGATTAGCGATTATACGCTTATAATTTTGTTTATTCGTTTTTTCATAATCAGCAATGCATATTATATGTCATGAAGAAGTGATAATTGTGTTTTAATTATGTTTGATTTTTTGGTTGCATGTGACCTTTAAGAATTAAACGTAAGCAGGAAAATAATTTGAAAAATTAGAAGGAAAATCCTATGTCAAACTGTAATAAGCGTGTGCATATTTATGACATGTCATTTATTTATAGGTAATATTGTGACTTTGTATAATGATTTATATTTAACAGGGAACAGTACAAAATTAGAGGGAGATGCTTTAGTGCTCACCAGTTTGGTTGCAATGTAAAATTTCAATGGTGCAATTCCTTTGAAGTTAAGAAGATAAGAATGTAAACAAAATCATAAGTTTGAACAAATGTTTGCCCACTTTGCCTGCAAAGGGCAGTTAGTTTGGAATCTTAATTGCATGGTACCTACCTGATTACTTTAGGACTACCATGATATATTGGTAGTGTTAGGCCAAGCACTTTGACTTGGTTGTTGTCAGCAGCTTGGGATGCTCTGTATGTTTAGCATTGTCTAAATGTTCCTGATTGCTGTGTAAAGCTTAAAACGTTCATTCTCTTGACCACTGCAGTGATTTGTCACTTACTAATTGTATTTGTTTGTTGTGGTTCTATTTTCAAATTCTTTAAAGTAAGAACAATGTCAAGGTATTCATATCCATCAAGAAGTTTCCATCCAGAAGTGTTGCTACGTGTCTGTCAAGATATCTATTTTTTTTCTTCAGTGACTTGGGAGGCGGAAGCAGTCGTTACTCGTCCCGGGACGTTGACAGACCGACACAGAGTAGAGGCCCACCACTCCGCAGCTACGATGCTCTGGATGGTAAGTGTTCAGGCTGTACTCCATTACATATAGTATGACCAGAAATTATTGAGAATTTTAGGAATATGTTTAATTGGATTTGTAGTATAAACAACTTTGACCAGCTATCAAGTGCTTGGTTTCATTCAAGAGAGACAACTCCGTTAATCCTTTTTACTTGCTAGCAGACGACATTTTCAGTGATCCTCAGTATGGATGATTTAGAGAAGAGGAAGTTGATTTTAGAGTATTATAACAAGGACATCAGATCAGCTAAAGTGATTTCAAGTAGAACAGGCATCCCTTTGTACACTGTTTATCGTGTTTTGAAAAATATTGCAAATGGATCTGGCATTGAGCAGCAGGGAGGCGCAGGTAGGCCCAGAATATTGACTGTTGGTGACAGGAGGGGGCTTGGTATTCTTGTTTCTAAAAAACAAACGAAGGAGTTTAGAAAACTTAAGGCTGGATATGATTGATAGAGGAACTGTGGCTGTCTGTAAGGAGACAATAAGAACTGAGCTGCATGCAATGGGTTGGCAGAAAACACGAGGAATTCCATCACCGATCTTGAAACCTGAATAAAAGGAGCGAAGGTTGAACTGGTGCTTACAGCATAGAAATTTTAACTGTGACAATGTGATTTTCTCAAATGAAAGTTCTGTGTGGCTGTTTCCTAGTACACTGAAATTCTGGACCAAACAAACTGAAAAACCTTTGTATCAGCGCCCAAAGTACAGTCCAAAATTTAATGTGTGGGGTGGCATATCTGTGTTAGGGGCAACGCCCCTCTGTGTATTTGAAGGGAATATGAACAGTGAGCGGTACACAGATATTCTCGAGGGATATTAACTTCCATCTGCTCACATGTTCTATGGAGAGTTTTGGAATATCCAGCAGGACAACGACCCAAAACATCGTTCAAAGCATTCACAGGCCTGGTTTCGGACCCAAAATATGACATTGTTAGATTGGCCAAGCTATAGCCCTGACCTAAATCCAATAGAAAATGATTGGGGACTTATGAACGAAATCAATAAGAAAAATCTGACAAATATTGCTGAAATGAAAGAAGAGGTGGTCCGATATTGGGACAGTAGGACCATGACTTTCTAACTTCTTTGATCAGTAGTATGCCCCGCTGTATTGAAGCCTGCATCGCTGCCCATGGTGACTTGACAAAATACTAACTGTTCACCTGTCTTTGAATCTGGAGTTATGTTCTGCTAATATTTACATTTAATATGTGAGTAATGAGTGAAAAAAAATAATTACAATCTTTAAATTCTCAATAATTTCTGGTTGTACTGTACATAAGGAAATTGTGAGATGTTTGGTGATAGATATCAAGTTTGACATTTAGACTATATTGAGTTTAACTATGAATGAGTACTCTTGCATGCTAGAATATAACATGGTTTTACCTAATGCAGAAGTGTACACCCATTCAGTATGCTCAGATGTATATAATAGATGCTAAATGTTTTGCTTCCTGTATGACTTGAAATAGAAGTACTGTTAGTCAATGTTTTACAAGAATTATATAGGTCCTCTAATTATATTAATTATCCAATATTACAGTACTTTACAGTGCATCTCACCCTTTTAATACTTTAAAGGAAGATCAAATGTCATGTAAGGACCCTGAAAATAGACCCCCATTGTAGTCGGTTAAGGTTAAACCCTGGAACTCTTGTCTGTCTTAGGTAATTTTTTGTGGAGTTAATTGTTGGTTATAAACAGTTTTTACAGCCTAAAAAGTCAATGTTTATTGGATTTTAACATTTTTTTTGTCAGCATGTGTTACTTATAAGATGTAAATAATGCATAAAGATACAGTGGTTGAAAGTAAAGGGATGGTCATAGTCTGTACCGATCCATGTTTGTCCTAAGAGGTGTCTTGTCAAAAGATGTGACTAAGGGGATCGGGTGGTCAGGCATCGTTTCCCAACGACATCGATGATGTGTTGTCTGGTCCAAAATATTATTTAGATACTGATGGTAGATTACAGCTTGAATAAAGGAATAAGTGTGGCATAAAGCTACCCAAAAATTGCAGTAGCTCGAATTTGATTCTTCTCGCTCCCTGCAAAAAGAAATGTTTTCAGGCATTTGTACTTATGATTCTGTAGCATTTTCTGCCTTGTTATGCAATGTGTCCTGTTTGTTCCAGACTTGCCCCCAAGTAGGAACAGCTACAGCAGCCCAGCAGGAGGTGAGTTGTTGTTTTCTGTCTCCAAGAGTTGCGGTGTTGGTTTCATGCACAACAGTCATGTCACTGCCATGGGTTGTCTTACTCCCATTTCATTTGGCAGGTGACGCTGTTTTCAATTATTTATTCTCATTGATGCATTGGTAGTCGGAATTTCAATGTTCCACAAACACAGGAATGCTCCAGAAATGGAAATATGAAATTTGTGAAGAGGAATACTCTTCAACGCACATGGAAATATGAAATTTGTGAAGAATGCTTTTCAGCACACACATGGAAATATGAAATTTGTGAAGAGGAATGCTCGACAACACACTCATGGAAATATGAAATTTGTGAAGAGGAATGTTCCACAACACACACATGGAAATATGAAATTTGAGATGAATGTTCTACAGCACACATGCATGGAAATATGAAATTTGTGAAGAGGAATGTTCTTCAACAATCACATGGATATATAAATATTTGTGAAGAGGAATGTTCTACAACACACATTGAAATGTGAAGAGGAATGTTCCACAACACACATGGAAATATGAAATTTGTGAAGAGGAATGTTTTCTGTCTCCAAGAGTTGCGGTGTTGGTTTCATGCACAACAGTCATGTCACTGCCATGGGTTGTCTTGCTCCCATTTCATTTGGCAGGTGACGCTGTTTTCAATTATTTATTCTCATTGATGCATTGGTAGTCGGAATTTCAATGTTCCACAAACACAGGAATGCTCCAGAAATGGAAATATGAAATTTGTGAAGAGGAATACTCTTCAACGCACATGGAAATATGAAATTTGTGAAGAATGCTCTTCAGCACACACATGGAAATATGAAATTTGTGAAGAGGAATGCTCTACAACACACACATGGAAATATGAAATTTGAGATGAGGAATGTTCCACAACACACACGTGGAAATGTGAAATTTGAGATGAATGTTCTACAGCACACACACATGGAAATATGAAATTTGAGATTAGGAATGTTCTACAACCGGAAATGGAAATATGAAATTTGTGAAGAGGAATGTTCTTCAACACCAGATGGAAAAATGGGATTTGTGAAGAGGAATGTTCTACAACACGCATATGGAAATGAAAATTGTGAAGAGGAATGTTCTAAAACACACACATGGAAAGAAATTTGTGAAGAGGAATTTTCTTCAACAGGCTCATGGAAATATGAGATTTGTGCAGAGGAATGCTACTCAAACACTTAGGCAAAATGACTTATGGGAATTTGTAAAGAGGAATGCTGCACAACACACACATGAGAATATGAAATTTGTAAAGAGGAATGCTGCACAAACATATGGAAATATGAAATTTGTGAAGAGGATTGTTCTACAACGAACACATGGAAATTTGTAAAGAGGAATGCTCAACAAACACATGGAAATATGAAAATGTTTAAGAGGAGTACAGAGATGTAATTATATGATTCTTGTGAGAGGAACACACCACGGACGGATATAAAAATTTCAAGCCTGACATGACAGCAAGACATGTCCTTGATGCACAATTGCTGACAGTGAGAGAAAGATATCAGATGAAAGGTCAGCTGATATCATGAAGCAGGACCAGTGTCACATGTGTCTATACACCCACTCTCACAGCATCAGACACAATAAAAGACCTAACTAAAAGTATTGTCTGAAGGAGCAAGTATCTTCTCAAAGAAATGTTTCTGCAGGAATTTTTCCACATGAATGTTTGTGTTTGGATGCTAATTGTCTCCCCTTGACCACACAGTTGACCCTTGGGATACACCAGAACTACATTATGTCGGAAGAAAATAAGAGGACTTCTAACAGCACAGCCATTCATTGTTTCTTGACATTGTTATTCATATCATTACATACCAACATGCATGCATGTAAGTTGTCGTGAACAATGGATGAGAGGACATGTGAGAACACAGTTGGGGGACACCACACAATGATGGGATCAATACCTACTTCCACCTGTTTATGATCCAACTGCCCTTTGTGGCTACAGAATTCCTCCTCATATGTACCTGTTAATTAACAAGCTTTATGACTTAATTGTATGCTGCATATTTCTTATACTTACCACCTGCCTGAAGACTGTGTGGTCATTGCCAATACAAGTGTATCTGAATAGTGATTAGGTGTTTAGGTGTAATATTTAAACATCATTTGGGAACGATAGACTAATGTCGTTATTTGATTATAAGACATGCCACTTCAGTCTGCCTGTCAAGTTGTCCTTCTGGCAAAACCGTTGACCTCTAATGACGCTAGCAACGCCCTTTATGCTTCATGCAATCAGTTGGTGGAAAAATCATCCTTCAAATTAGTATGGGATTGATGACAACCTAAGTGTCATGGAAGATGATAATCCACAGTGTCCTCCAAAGTGAAGGAATATGACGAAAGCTCTTGGACCCAAACATGTATTTTTTAACCATGGGAATATCGATATCCTGCACCAGAAAAATTCGAAACTCATCTGAACCAATATTCAAGGACCTGCGCTCAAAATTCACAGCAATGACACCAGGTGTATCATGAAGGCACTCTAGAAATGAAGGCACACAAATCAGTCTTGTCAAGGAAATTGTTCTGCCTGAAGTGACTTGGAAATTGAATATTTTTTTTCAAATCGGCAAGTGCACTGACAAGACCAGTTGACATACTGTAGGATCTCCTGAAGGCATTAGTGAATGGAACCACAGGCCAAGCTCTTCACTAAGGAATTATATCCATGAAAAGAAATATCCCTTTGAAGTGCAACTGCAATTGCATATATGCTTCACACTCTTCATATTACTTTCACTGGCATGCTTGGTGATTGTTCATGTTTGCTGTCTACAAATCCTGTTGTCATCTCAAATAAATACGAAATGGGAAGCATTATTGCTTGTACAGATTTGGAGAATGAACCTTCTCACTATAATGCATGAATTATCTCCCTTCCACTGTTCAACATTCCTGCACCCACCACTACGCATACCTGCTTGGATGTGGTACAGCAGAAAGTGCATTTAATTGTTATACCCTGGACTATGGTCTCAATATCGCCTTGTGAGAAACCTGTTGACAGTGAAGTGCTTGACAGAGAAGTACTACAGATACTACATCAACATACTGATAACTTCTTAAGCCACTTCCACCTTTTACAAAGAAAGACATCTGTCAAGTGGATCAGCTGTGATCATTATCCTGGACATTCTCAGCTGTTGGAATTGTTTTATGTTTGTGTTGAAGTACACACAGACTGGAAGAATGACATGTCATCTTGTTGAAAGGAAGTATAGCACCTGTTACCAAAACTTAGTGCTGTTTCGAAATGAAGATTTTAAATGCAAGAGGTTTTTTTTACTTAACTAGATAATCTACCTGAAAAGATGCTTTGTAATGTTGCATGATCATTAAAATGTGTATCATTGTTTCTGGAAACAAATATGGAGTATATTGAAAAGTGAATGAAGCGAAATTGAGATCCATAATCAGTCTTAAAGGGGTACAAGACTCGGATCAATTGGCAGCCTAAGGAAGAAATATTCAAGTTATCTAAACCTTTTCTGCTCCTTCACGTTTATGATTACTCGTCTCTAAATTAGTAGATAAAGTCCTGAGATAGTGTTAGTTTCACCGAGGGTATACTTGAAATAGGCACTTGACCCTTAAAAATTTATATATTAACCAACAAAAAATATCTTTTCCATCTGTAAAGTATAGATTTGAACCTTTTTGATTATTTGGAAGGTTTAACATTCAGCAGTATCATTGATTTGTAAATGAACAAAGCATTTCACATTGACAACCCTGATGATTCAGAACATTTCCAAAAGCTCTTGAATGGGGAAAATCTTGGCACAGTCTACCTAGCTACAGATCATTCTCAAGATTCTTCTTCCTTGAGAATGTGCTTTAGTACTAATGTTGAAAATACAGTACTCTTTCATGAAGGTTATGGAAACAAATATGTGGATGTTGAAATTGTCAGTATGTCTGATTTCTTGCCTCAATAAACAGCATAGTAGCGCACTGGGTCAGGCACTCATGGATCAAGAGCCCAAATATGCATCAGTCCAATACAAATCTAAGAAAGAGCCTGAAACTCTTGTCCTCAGAATTACTGGAAATCATTCAGATACACCTTACCATCTTTAAAGAAAGCATGTGTTCATAAGATGTTTGGAGTCTTCAGTGCTGGTTCACCAACATCAGTGGAATTCAGTACAACAGATGGTAAGTGAATGGCATTTCAAGAATAAGAACAAAACGTGGGTTGCTTCTAAAATATTCTCAAAATGTACTTTGTACCAATCCACTAGGTTCTCGAGGACCACCATCTAGGTCAGGACCATCATTCAGCTCCCCGCGGAGGCGGCAGTAGTGATCGCAGAGACAGTCGAGGAGGGGGAGGTGCAGTTTTGGGAAGCCGACGTCCAGGGCCTCCCCTGTCACGTGGGGCTCCTCCACCGAAACGGTCCCGTGTTGACGGACCCCCAATGAAGCATGGAGGAACACCATCCTTCAGGCCGCTAAGCATTATACTTGTCTGATGTACTTTCAGAATAGAATAACTTCCTCCAAGAAATAGCAGCGACTATTTTATGTTGTCAAATTTCATCCCCTCACCATACCAGCCATCCTCACAATGTTGTTCGTTTTATCTCGACAAATGTTTCATTGTCCAAGTGGAACCCGACTGGAATCAATTTCTTTTAATGTTGTTAGTTTTATGCTACAAATCAAGGACATATGATCATTTCTTACAAAGGCCAAATTGCGTATATGTGTATTCTTGCTTATTTGTCAAATAAGAAATAAACACCATTTCATGTCAACGTACCTGTCTGTCCACACCGCACAGGAGAAGAGGAAAACGAAGCTAAGAATTCACAAACATGTTCTACTCTTGCATTATTATCAAAGTTTCCCCACAAAATTGAACCAAAGCGAAACTGAAATCACAAAATGTGACTTTGGGGGAAACGAAAATTTGCATGGAAGTTACACAACTCACTTATCAGCCTGGATACCAACTGTGCACAAGCTCTCCTGACATTCAGAGCTATAACTAGCATGTCTGAAACATATCCTTACACAGAATTGATAACATGCAAGAGTAAGCAGTTTTGAAAATTCTTAGAAATTAACCCGCTCGTATGGACAAGAGATTGAAATGCAACGATGGATCAACAGCGTCTGGAAACAACAATTGAGGATAATTGGCATATATTGTGGTGCAGGTTCTTCGACTGAGCATGTACATACTGGAGAATTCCAACAAAAATGCAATGCCCCAAGATTTTGTCTGTGTAGTTCCAATACCACTAACTGTTCATGCATTGAATTATTTGTTGAACAGATGTGATACTCCTGCATACACAACAAGTGGCACCTTTGTATTGAATGTAAAATATTTTCTTTTCAAATTTGAATGGGTTCATTAATTTCAAACTAAGGTAAAGTCTGTAGTGCGATGAGAAGATGCTGAGGGTATAAATAAATGTATATCTCACTTGGTGCTGAAAAAGATGTATTAACCACACTTTATGGTGCGTCGTGTGATGGAACAGTGATCACCATGGAGATGTTACTATCACTTTGCAATATGCATTTTTGTACACAGCTTCTTTGGGGAAAATGCTGAATTGTGCTTGGCACATGTGAAAAAGTGAATGAAATGAAAGTGAACTGTCTGAAAAACACCATAAGTTCTATACTTTGAATGTCCTTTTGTCTCACAATGAAAAGTGAACATTCTTCCATCTTTTTCCAGTATACATTGGAAAGATAACATGCAACACATTTCACGTGCAAATCATAATTACAATAATGTGACTGGGTGATTATTTGGAAAACGGCAATATGCATGCAAAAATCAGCATAGAAAAGACGTCAAGAAGTGTTATGCATATTGGCATTTCTAAGCTTAATATCAACCTGACCTGCAATATCCTGACAACAGCTCCCTGTCCTTTCACATTCTCTGGTCACTGAGGAATACGCAATAAGAAAATCCAATATGTGGTTTATCACTTGAGCATTTGGCAAATATATGATTACCAACAGTTTCAACCAGAAGACACTAACATGGTGTGAATGGAATGTTTAAGACAAATATCACAGCGAAAGGGATCTTCTTTCATCCATGTATCTGCTCACTAAAAGTTTGCCAAAAAAATGTATTTAATTACCAAGAGCACAGCTGTGGAGACCATAAGTGCAATTAGGAGAGAACACTTTGTGGTCTTAAATATGTGCTGCTCATTGAAGACTTGAAAAAGGCTCAGGCTCATTGGTTCCCAGAGTCAAGTTCAATTCCCAGGATATGAGTTAGCTGCAGTGGCCAATGAAATCAGCTGTCATGAATAATAATAATAATAATAATAATAATAATGATAATGACTTGCCCATTAATATTACCATTTATACATGCAGTCTTGAAAGTGTTTAACGTACGACACCACACAGCAACCATGACTTCAAGAAATCAGAACCCGGAAGGAGTCATGGTTTAAAAGATTAGTGAAAGTACATGAACTTCCTTCAAAGATTGAAGAGAATCAGCAATGATTGCAGAGTGCAAGCTTCACCAGCGTCACAGACCTATGTAACTTTCATCAACCTGCATGTTCAGAATCTGAATACACATTTTCAGTGATACTTGATGTTTCATACATGTTTATGTTCCTGTTGGTTCTGGAATGAGGAATCAAGGCAAGAAATAAAGTTGTGAAACATGAATGTTAATAAAGGGGGGGGACATGATCCTCTTGCTGCCAGTGAAATTATTTCATGTATCATACATCCAGATGCTTTGTTCTACATCACTTGTTTGGAAGGAACACCCAAGATAATCCTCCAAATGAAGGTCTTCAGTAAACGATTGACACTTATGCTTTGAAAGGTTTCTTACAAGGTGAAGAAAAAAATGACTGATTACCATAATTGAAAAGTTGGCACAAGAAAAGTGGTAAGAGTCATAATGGCATGGGATGGCTATATCCACCTACCTGGTAGTTCACAACATATTTTGGACTGGTTATGTGAGAAAATTCAAAGAAACAAGTCTGTATAGATGTGTCCCAGTATGGGACTAACAATACCATGTGCAAGATGAAGGTCCCTTTGAACTATCATAGCTATCAGTTTGAAACTATTTCCAAAACACTTTCAAATTTAACAAATGATAATTAAAGAACCATCATGATTCTGTTGACAAGTGGTCCAAATCAAGTGATTTTGTAACCACTGATACAAGAAGTTGTTAGTTACCGCCAACATATTTTACTCGTTGGTAATAGAGCAAATGAGTTGCAATGCAGTCACATAAATGTACACCTTTTCTGTCTGGAGCAACAAGAACCAACAATACAATTTCCAGGAGATGCATAGCACATGGTTGTAAGTTGGATGGAATTGCCACAAACATAAGCACAATGAGGGGAGAAGAGCAAGGCCGATAACATGACTAATTGTCAAGCTCATACCCTCCTACTGAACCCTGTGCTTGAATTTCTCTGTCAGAACAAGGTGTTGATCTGACGTTTCAGGATGCAGAAAATTCACCTGGAATGTCAAGTACAGTATTTCATCCAATGCTGAGAAGTTGCTTTGTCGTGAACTGCCAAAGGTGTACATGTGTCCATAATCACCTCCTCCAGTTATTCTAAGATTTGTCACAGAAAAAGGACAAGAGAACTGTGAAACTCATTACCATTCATCAACCATCTCCATTTGTGAAGCAATGATCATGTAAAACACTGACATGACACTGATTAAACTACTCGTACATTTTAAGTGGGGTATGAAATCGTCACCTGCTCGAGTGATTACTATTGCTAATTTACAACAGCCAAGAATTCAACTTCATGTTCACCATTATGTGCAAGCACCAGGTATATGTGTAACGGATAATATCCTCAATAATACCAATGACTGCTAAAAGAATCTTCAACAGTGTGGACTTACGCTTACAAAGCTGTACAATGGAATAAGATGGTTCAAGGTTTAATATCACAGCAAATGTCTTCTATCACCATTCCAAAACAAGTAATTTTGAAACTGAGAAACAACCATATTTTGGCCAAGTTGTCACCTGAAGACTGTTCTTGAGAACTTCCACTGATGCTGTTTATAGCCGTGCATCAACTTCAAAATATGCAAAGACCATCTTGATGAGTTTACTAGCACCTTGATCATTTATTTTGAGGTATATCATCCTCAGCTACTCAAAAATTAGAAAGATGGAGTTGATCATAACCAGTCTACTAGTCCATTTGAAATAGCTCATAAAATGTGCTTGAGACAGCATCTGTGTGGCTCTTAGTGGACACAAGGAAGCAGCCATGACTGCAGATGAGATGTGTGATGCAATGCATAACACACATGGCAGCTTTGCTTCAAGAATAAGGCTTTGAGATGACCCATTAAAGACACTGAAATGTATCTCGCATCAAATGAAAGAACAAACATACATACAGATATATTTTCCTACACAACAAAATAAGAGAAACACCGATGCTCTTTTTCAAGCCCATCTTCATGCTTTGAGCCACCAACTTCTAGTAAGAACATCTGAAGCAAGAGGAGGAATGAGTGAAGCAAATGGACTCTTCACCCGAAACGACGATTAAAACCCATTTGCTCACCATTCACAGATCTAAACTCCAGGTGTCCGAGATGCTGCAGTTCGCTGTATCCCGTCACTGCTGAAAGTAATTTTTGTGGTTTGAAACCTGGTTCACCCGTATTATGTTTATAGGTTTGTCAGCATCATATCATCATAATGTTTGAGCATTGCATGGCATAGGCATGGATCGAACCTTTAAGTTGACACACTGTTGAAGACTGAAATACTGTTCAAAGTGACAATAAACTTAAATTTAGAGAGTAAGAAAGATGAAGCTGCAGATCTCGAATTCCTAACCACCTCCATCCCATGTCCTCTCCCCTCTGATCTGATACCCCAGGAAGCTACTTCATCCCATATCCTCTCCACTCAGATCTCACCCCCCAGGAAGCTTCTTTGAGAGGCATTTGGAAGTTTGGACAGTAAGGAAGGATAACAATGTATGGATGAACAACTTCTTTATTGCTGTGAGAAAGACAGAAGCTGCTTCATCCCATATCCTCTCCACTTAGATCTGAACCCCCATGAAGCTACTTCATCCCATATCCGCTCCATTTAGATCTGAACCCCCATAAAGCTACTTCATCCCATATCCGCTCCATTTAGATCTGAACCCCCAGGAAGCTACTTTATACAAGTTTCAATCCATTTCGATCAGAATTGCCAGAAAGCTACTTCATCCCATATCCTCTCCACTCAGATCTGAAACCTCGGGAAACTACTTCATCCCATATCATCTCCACTTAGATCTGAGCCCCCAGGAAGCTTCTTTGAGAGGCATTTAGAAGTTTGGACAGTAAGGAAGGATAACAATGTGTGGATGAACAACTTCTTTATTGCCGTGAGAACGACGGAAGCTGCTTCATCCCATATCCTCTCCATTTAGATCTGAACCCCCAGGAAGCTACTTCATCCCATATCCGCTCCATTTAGATCTGAACCCCCAGGAAGCTTATTCATCCCATATCCTCTGCACTCAGATTTCAACCCCCAGGAAGCTACTTCATTTCTTAGGAAGCTACTTCATTCCTTATCCTCTCTTACATCTGAACCCCCGAGGAAGCTACTTCATCCAATATCCTCTCCCTTTAGATCTGAACCCTCAGGAAGCTACTTCATCCCATTTCGTCTCCACTCAGATCTGAAACCCCAGGAAGCTGCTGCATCTCATATCCTCCCCATTTAGATCTGAACCCTCAGAAAGCT